TCGACCTCGTCTACGCTGACCTCGATCACTAGGAGCCGTTCGTAGCGAGAACCCAACGACGCGACGATAGCCAGAGACCAGCGAGGGCCTGCTCTCCGGCCCGATGCAGCCAGGTGATGTCCATGGGGTTGAAGTGGTGAAGGATAGGGTGAGGGGGGGAGGGGGAGCGAGAGAGGGAGTGGGACGTTCCGACAGGCATGTCCATGGTGGGTGTGAGCAGTGTGTGCGGCTGTGCGCTTGGTCGTCGGGACTCGAGTGCGAGGCCAAACAAGATGAGGGCCAAGGGGAGGCGGCGAGGGCGGCGAGAGGTTTCGCACCAAAAAGGCCCAGGCCCAAAACCGGCCACCTCTTGCCTCCCACACCGCCTCCTCCTCCCTCCTCCTCCTCTCCTCCTCCTTCCACCACACCATGCGCTCGACTCTGCCGCTCAACCTGCGGCTACTCGCGCTCCCGCTCTCCCGCCCCAACGGCGACCCGCCCCGGTTCCTCCTCCACGCCCTGCGCAGCTCGCTCGCGTCGTCGACCAACGACCTCCCGACCACGACTCGCTACCTCAACAAGGCCATCAACAAGGCGGCCGACCTGTGGGCGGGACTCGGCAAGGCAGACGGCGGCTGGAAGAAGAAGACCTACGTGCGTCGACGCTCTCCTCCCCTCGTCATCGTCGAGCTCGCACTGACGGCTGGCCCTCTCCCACAGCTGACCGGCGAGCGCCTGATGGACCGAATCGAGTGGGAGGAGTGGGCTCTGAAATCTCTCGACCCGGCCCTCGCGCCCAAGCTCCTCCCCTCCCTCTCTGCGCCCTCTTCGTCGCCTTCCTCGTCGTCCGGCGCGCCTGCACCAGCCGGCGCCGGCGCCGGCGCCCCCTCGTCGACCGCCACGGCCGCGCCGCTCCACGCCGTCGCCACGACCAAAGGGCGCCAGCCGCGCGAGACGGTCGAGCTCTTGTACCCGCCGAGCCTCCTCCCCGACGAGAAGGCGCTCCTCGACGCCCTCAAGGCCCAGCTCGACCACCGCGAGCCCCATCACCGCGGGCTCATGTACCGCTGCCTCATGTGCGTCCTCGCTTTCTCTGCCCCCCTCTCTCTCTCTCTCCACCGCGCGACACGGGCCCTGACGAGCGCACTCACCCCTACAGCCTGTCGCCCCTGACGTGGCCGTTCGCCATCATCCCCGTCGTGCCCAAGTGAGCCCCTCTCGCCCTCGCCTCCTCGTCTAGCCCCGGCGCCCGAGCTGACCCCTCCTCTCGTCGCGCCGCAGCCTCCCGCTCTTCTACGTCCTCTGGCGCGCATGGTCCCACTTCCGCGGTGCGTCCCCCTTCCTCTTCTTCATCGTGGGGACTCCGAGAAGGCGACGAGTGACTGACGCCCCTTACGCCCGCAGCATGGAAGGCGACTCAGTACCTCGGTTCGCTCATCGGCTCGCCCTCGCTGCGCCTCAAGGCCTCTCCCGAGCTCGACGAGATCTACCGCTCGGCGACCCCGCACGCCGTCGGCGACCTCCTCCTGACGCCCGAGCGCGTCCCGCTCCTCGTCAAGCGGTTCCGCATGACGGACGAGGAGAGCAAGGAGCTCGAGCGTGCGGTCGGCCAGAGCGAGAGCAGGTTGAGGCAGGCGAGGAGCGAGGCGCACCCCGAGTTGGTCAAGAGCGAGCCGGAGCGGGTCAAGAAGGACTAGACGGCGCCTCCCTCCCCCCCTCCTCCCTCTCTTACTCTCTCCCTCTCTCTCTCGAACTCGCACATAGACTCGTCCTCGTGTAGCACTACCGCCCCCCTTTGCCATTACTTGTCCTCGCACTTTCCCCCTTCCTCCTCTCGCCGCCTGGCGCACCTTCGCAACTCGCATTCTCTCGTCCGTCGACCTTCGCGACCCAAGAGACGTTCGCTTGCGCCCTCTCTCTTTCCTTTCTCGCGCGTTGTCTCTCCCGATTGTCCTGCCTGCAAGGAAGCTTGCAGCTGTCGCCGCGCTCGTCGTGCAGCTCGCTCTCGCCGCTCCCTTTGTCCTCGACCCGCCTTTTGTCTCGCTAGACCCTCTCGGCCGCGCTCTGCGGCTCTGTCGAGTCGCTATCGCTCGTCCGTTGCTCGTCTCTGCTGCACAGGCGCGCGGCCGCACACAGCGCGAGCACACAGCTGCACGTCGCGCCCAACTCAGATCGCGCCCGCACGGACCTTTTTGCTCGACCGCATTCAGCCGACCGAACCGAGGGCGGGGCAAGTGCTCGCGCCTTCCGTTCCTCGCACCTCTCCTCCCCTCTCTTCTCAAGCCTCGCCACCTCGCTCGGCCACCACAACGACCACGACGAGCATGGGCGACTCGCCCACCCTGGGTCGCACCGACACGCGCGCCTGGATCAAGGAGGAGCAGGAGAGCCCGGTCGTGCCGGCGCGGCTGTGGCACGGCGCGTGCGGGCGGCGGCGAGGGCAAGAAGGACAAGGGCACGACGGCGCAGCGCTGCCGCCCAACCCGCAGACGCACAGCCCCCTCGCACGGCGCACCCGCTCGCCGCCGCGCAGCCTCGACTCGACCCGCGCCGACTCGTCGCCACCGCCACCACCACCAGCTCACGCGCCGTCGCCTCGGCTTGACGCCAGCGTCGGGCTCGGGCTGGGCCTCCCGGTCGAGCTGGACGAGCTGCTCGAGGCGGGAGAGGCGTTCGCTGGACTGGGCGCAGGTGCGTCGGTCGTGGTTCTCTTTCGTCTCGACCGGCCTCGCGAGAGGCAGGCGCACGATAGTACGACCTCCTACCGACGCGCGTCCTCATCTCTGCAGCGTCGAGCATGAGCGTGTTGCCCCGCCCAAGCGGCCCTACCTCCTCGCCGACCTCCTCCCCTCGCTCGCCCGACCTCCCCACCACCCCTCCCCGTCCACCTCGCAGCATCCACCGCACCCTCTCGGCCTCGACCGCTTCGACCACCTCTCGCAGCAGCTCCTCGCACCCGAGCAGCCCGCGCTCCGGCCCACACGCCGGCTCGGCGCCCACGCTCGGCGGCGCGGGCCCCGGGACCCGGGCGCGCGGCGCGAGGAGGAGCGCGAGCACGGCGGCGACGAGCGTGCACGGCTTCGAGGGCGACGAGGGCGGGTTCGAGAAGGCGAGGAGCCCCGCGGCGGCGTCGATGCCGAGGACGCCGTCGCTCGCTGGGTCGTCGCCGGCGGGAGGTGACGAGGTCCAGCTCGGGCTTGTGCCGTCAGGGGCAGCGGCGCAGGCCGACTTCCCGTCCGCGACGCACTCGTCCTCGCCGTCGGCGGAAGCGCCTATCGGCCGCCCGTCGAGCGCCCGTCGGCCATCCACCTCTTCCTCGACGACCACGTCCCCACCCGCATCCTCCTCTCCCTCGCGCTCGTCCCCCCCCTCGCACACCGCGCACCCCTCTCCCTCCCCTCGTTCTTCCTCGACCTCCCCTGTACCTCCCGCCGAGCACTGGCACGCCTCCTGGGCGCCTCCCGCCGACGTCGACGACGAGGAGCAGCTCGTCCTCGGGCTCCTGCCGATCTTGCACCCTGGTGCCGGCCTGCTCGAGCCCGAGCCGGCGCACGAGGGCGCCACCGAGCAGCGCGAGCTCGTGTGGAGCGAGTCGAGCGAGCGCGAGTGGGCGTTCGAGTGTCGCAGCGTCCTTGGCCAGGCGCACGGACCGCCAAAGCCCGACACGCCCGCGCCCGCGCACCCGTTCTCAGCGCCCGGCGTCGCGCTCCGGCGCACTCCCACCCCGCCGTCCTCGACGAGCCGCTCCCCTTCGACCTCGTCGCTCCTCGCGCCCCCGCTCGAGCCGCCCAAGCACACCAAGCGCACCTCGGTGCTCTCGACGCTCGCCTCGCCGTTCGCCGGCCTCGCGCGCAGCCGCAGCACGGGCGGCGGCGGCAGCGCTGCGGGGACGGGCCTCGCGCCGCCGCACGACGGCGAGCGCGCGAGCACGTACCGCCTGTCGGTCATCGGCGAGGCGTCGTCGTCGGCGCACTCGGGCGGGTCATCGTCCTCGTCCTCGGCGGCGTCCCTGGCGCCGACCTCGTCGGGCTCTTCCCGCCGTCGACTGCGCCGCACGAGCCTCTCGTCGAGCTCGGGCGCGAGCCAGAGCCAGAGCCAGAGCCGGAGCGGCGCCGAGGCGACGGTGACCGAGACGGGCTCGCAGGTGCGGTACGCGTCGGCCGAGGCGGCGCGAGACGAGCTCGACCGCATGGGCGGCAAGGCGGCAAAGGTGCTCGGGCTGAGCGTCGCGGCGCCGGCCCCGGCGGATGTGCGAGGGGAGCAGGAGCAGGAGGGGCGTGCGGCGGGAGGACCGAGCGCTGCAGCGGTCGAACGCCCGAGGTCGGTGCGATCGTCGAGGTCAGGAGGAGGAGATCAGGAGGAGCGCGGGCTGTCGAGATGGCCGGCGAGGAGGGACGACATCAAGCCGTTCGAGCTGTGAGTCCGAGACGGTCCCGTACGGCCAGGCGCCGCTGTCGCAGCGTCCCAGCCATGTTCTCGCGGTGCTTCTGACTTACTCCTTGCGTCCACAGCCTATCCGCCGACATGTACAAGCTCGGCTCGCCATTGACCTCGCGCTTCCGCAGCGGCGCTCGCACCCACTTCCGCCCGCGCTTCGTCGCCCTCACCGCCTCTCCTCACCCTCCCTCTCCCTCACCTTCTTCGTCGCCCTCGTACCACCTCCGCGCCTTCGTCTCTCGCCACCCGTCCGAGCGCGAGACCTACCGCCTGCACCTCTCGCCCTCGTCCGTCGTCTGCGTCCCCTCGGCCGCCGAGCTCCCCTCGCGCCTCAAGGACGGCCGCGCCTTCGCCATCAAGGTCACCGGGCATCAAGAGCCGACAGGCGACGAGGGCACGACGCAGGCGCACGCCGAGGGCGACTCGGCGTGGGTCCTCGGGCTTGACGACGAGGGCGTCTTTTGCGAGTGGCTCGAGCGCCTCAAGGGCGTCGTGCGCGACCTCCGCAAGCGGGCGGAGCGTCGTCGAACGTCGTCGAGTCAGGGTGGGCACGACGATGGCGCGCCGTTCGACCTCGACATCACGCAGCGGGCGGCCGACGACGAGGCGTCGCTCAAGTCGGGCGACAGCGGGCTCGGCAGCCTCGTCCTCTCGGCGCAGGGGTGGCAGTTCGAGCTGAACCAGGACGACGTCGACCTGCGGTCGAGGCGCCCGTCGGCGGGCCGCATCGAGGCGGCGAGCTCGTCGTGGTCGAGCCGGACGCACACGACCGGCTCACAGCCTGACGACGGCGCATCGTCGCGCTCGGGTCGTCGCTCGCTTGACGACTACCTGTCAGCGCAGTACAACGCTCCTGCCACCACGAGTGCGGCAGCGGGCTCGTCCTTCCTCGACGCCGACTCGTCCGGCGACGACAGCCTCGTCGATGACGTGGCGCCGTCGGCCGCCCGCCTCGCATCCTCGCTCGAGGCGCGCAGCAAGCTCAGCGAGCGGGCGGTGGAGCACTCGAGCTTACCTCCTCGCGGCCTCGTGCACCTGCACGCCCACCTCGCACCGCCGCGGCCTCCTCCCTCGTCGGCGCTTCCTCCCCTCCCGCTCGAGCACGGCGACAGCCTCTCGCCCTCGCACCTCGACTCGTTCCGCCGCCAGTTCCGCACAAGCACGACCTCGCTTCCCTCGTCCCGCCACGCGCGCCCCGACCGCACGTCGTACCTCTCGTCGCACTCGTCCGACTCGCTCCCGCCGCCCACGCCGCCGCCTCGGTCCAAGCTGCCGGCCCTCCCGCCGGTGCCGCCGTCACCCGACCTGGCGCAGCTCGAGCGAGAGCTTGGACGGCGGGCGCCGTCGCGCACGAGGAGCGAGCACAGGGCGTGAGCGGTCCGTGCCCGTCGTCGCCCCTCCTCTCGAGTCGCCTTTCTATCTCTCTATCATCTTTCTTTCTGTCGTAGCACCTCGGGCCTCTCTCCTCGTCTCTCTCTGTGCAAAGGATGTTGTCGTGCAGCCTCGCTCTGTCCCTCTCGAGAGCGCGAGACCAGAAAAGGACCGCGAGAAGGAGTTGCAATTCTTCCGACACTCGGGCGCAAGCGCTACTCCTTCTTCTTCAGCAGCATGGCGCGGAAGTCGTCCTGGCTCTTTCCGCCCTCGGCGGGCTTCTCGCCGCTTGGACCCGCCATCGTCGCGTCGCCGCCGGCCTGACCCTGCGCCGCGAGCGACCCGACGCTCCTCCCCGAGCCGATTCCGAGCCGGCCTCCTCGTCCGCCGCGGCCCCTCGTGCCGACGAGCCCGACACGGCCACGGCTGCGCGTCGCCTGCCGGGGCATCATCGGGAGCTCGCCCGGCCCGTCGCCCGAACCTGCGCCACCGCCGCCGCCGCCGGGCGAGCCATTCCTCGCTCCGCCGGCACCGCCTGCTGCAGCACGAGCTTGGCGACCCTCGGCGAGGAGCGTCACCTGCTGGCCGCCGATGACGAGCGACTCGCGCTGCATGAGGACCTTGCCGACGTCCTGTGGGCAGGGAGGCTCAGAGTTAGTGAACGCGATCGTCATGGCCGAGAGGAAGGAGAGAGAGAGAGGAGGACGCACCGCCGGATTCTCGAGCAGCACGACGGCCTCGGTCGTGCCGGCGACGTAGTTGACCCTCCGGACGGGCGCGAGCTTCTCAAACTCCTGCTGGATGACGGCCTCCTGCGTGTCGCTCGCGAGGCCCCGCACACGCACGCCGCGGTTCTCCGTCTCGACACGGCGCTCGGGCTGCGACGCAAACTTGCCCGTGCCGGCCTGGCGCGCCTGGGCGATCGTGACCGACATGTGGCGCTTCTTGAGCTCGTGGTTGTTGAGCGACAGGGCCTCCTGCGCCGACGCCTGCGAGCGTGAGAGCGAGTCAGTGAGGCGGCCTTGAGAAGACGAGAGGAAGACAAAGGCGAGCGAGGACGCACGTCGTTCTCGAACTCGACAAAGGCAAAGCCCTTGCACAAGCCCTTGTCGTCCTGCGGGATGCGGACGCCCGTGACGGTGCCGAACGGCTCAAACAGCTTGCGCAGGTCGCCCTCCTTGACCGACTTGGCGAGTGACGCGACGTAGAGCTCGCGCTGGTGGGCGCCGGCGTCCGAGCGCGACTTCTTGCGCGACGGGTCCGAGATGAGGACCGACAGGGCGTGGCCGGGCTCGAGCTCGGTGCCGTGCAGCTCGAGGGCAGCTTGCGCGTGTGCCTGGAAGACGGCAGAAGGTCAGACCGCGTCGCAGTGCAGGAAAAAGAAGGAGAGAGAGGCGAGGCGCACCGGGTTGGCGAACTGGACGTAGCAGAACCGCCTCGTGTTCTTGAAGCGCTTGCTCGGCCACCTCGTGTCGAAGATGGTGCCGTACTTGCTGAACAGCTGCTCGAGGGCGGCCTTGTCGAACGACTCGGGAAAGTTGGTCACGTACAGGCACGACTGCCAGGCGATGTGGACCTCGGTCTCGAGGTCGTTGATGCGCTTCTTGTCCTTGGTCTGCGCCGCGAGGACGCTCTCCTGTAGGCGGGGTAGGCTCGTCGTCAGTGATCGTCGAGGGGCAGGAGGAAAGAGAGGCGAGTGAGCGCGCACGGACCTTGTCGACAAACTCGATCTGGGCGTAGGTGCGCTCGTCGATCGACTTGACGTGCAGCTCGCGGATCTCGCCACACTGCGAGCGTGAGAGGGGCAGATGTCAGGCGCGCTCGAGAGAGAGGTGAAGGGGAGGAGGCGAGACGCACGTCGCGGAACAGCTTGCGGACGTCCTCCTCGCTCATCTCGCCCGAGCTGATGGCAAACACGGTCGAGTGCTCGCGGTCGCTGCAGGTGGGAGAGAGTTCAGGGTCAGGTCGGCGCTCAGATAAGGATAGGCGAGAGTCGACGCACCGCTTGGGCTCGCCGGCCGGCTCGGGCGCCTCGACCCGGACCTTCTTGGCGCCCTGCGCCGGCGCCGACTCGTCTTGCGGGCTGCGCTCGCGCTTCTTGCTCGCGTCGACGCCGTCCTGCGCCGGTTCTTGCGCGACCGCCGACGAGATGAAGCTGTCGGCGTCCGGTGCGGGCGCGGCGGCGGCGGCCTTGGCGGCGGCGTCTGCTGCTTCCTGTATGCCATGCACACCAGATCCTATCAGTCGCCGGTCCTCGACAAGAAGACGCCTCCGAAAGGTGAGAGGTAGGGACGCACCCTCGCGCGCCGCTTCTCGAGGCCCTTGCGCTGCCTCTTGGCCTTGACGAGCGCAAACTCGACGTCGGCGAGGACGCCGTACTCGTTCTCGAACGTGAGCCACGCCTCGAGCAGGAACTCGGGGTAGTCGAGGCCCTTGACGGCGCAGCCCTGCGTGTAGACCTGGTGCGCGCGAGCGTAGTCGCCCATGCGGCTGCGAGCGGCGGCGGCAAAGAGGGTCAGGGCCCGGTCAAGGCGACGTCGAGGGGAGGAGGCGGGAGAAGGGGACGCACGTCTCAAAGTCGGCGTGGCCGTACCAGACGGCGTACGAGTACTGGCGGGTCTTGCACAGGTCCTCCCAGATGGCGCGCGCCTCGCTCAACATTTGGAAGCGCTCGTACTGCGGGACATGGTGACACGTCAGGCTCGCTCGACTCTGAGGGGATCGAGAGGGACGCACGATGCGAATGAGGAACTTCTCGAGGCGGAACTGAGGGTCGCCGCCCTTCTTGGTGACTGCGAGCGAGGAGGCGAGTCAGGGATGCGGTGACAGGGCGCGAGCGGGTGGACGGGCTCGACGCACCCTTCTTGGTCGACTCGATGCCCTCCTGCAGCACGCCGATAGCGAGTCCTGCGAGTTGCGCGTCGGGACCGTCGTCGGTCGCTGCGCACGGCCGGGAGGGTCGTCAGGACGAGGTTCTCGGGCGCCGAGCGAGAGGAGGAGGAAAGGGGGACGCACCGTTGCGGTCCATCTCGCGCCGGTAGTAGCTCGCGCGGGCGTGGTACAGGGCAACGGTCGCGTCCATGTCCTTGGAGAAGTAGCCCGTCGCGAGCGCGCGCTGGAAGAGCGCCTCGACCTCCTCGGCGCCGAGACCGAGCTTCTCCTGCGGGTGAGGTACGCCGTCAGGGAAGGGAGGCCGAGGAAGATGCAAGAACAGGACAGGGACGCACAGCGACACGCATGGCGGCAGTCCAGAGCGAGGTCGACGTCGGGAGGTTGCGGATCGCCTTCTCGGACACGTCGCGCAGGTTCGAGTCCTTCTCGGGGATCTTGTGCTGCGGGTGCTCGCTCAAGTCAGGTCGGACCTTCAAGAGAGAGAGGGCGACAGACGAGGACGTACGAGGAAGCCAAGGTACTCGTCCCACAGGTCAATCTCGGTCGGGTGGTCGGCGACGGCGCGCTCAAAGATGCCCTTGACGAGCGGCGTGTCGGGACGCTTGACCTCGCGCTCCCACGAGACGTAGTCGAGGTACGCCTGCGGGCTGTAGCCGGCCGCCTTCTGCTCGCGCACGCGAAAGAGTCAGTGCTGCTCGGCTCAGACGGGGGGCGACGAGCGAGAGGGGACGCACGAGCTTCTCCTCCTCGGGGTAGCGCTCGTCGGCCTTCTTGGCCGTCGCGCTGAAGATCTTGTTGGCGGCAGGCAAGCTCTTGTCGTAGTTCTCGTTGTCAAAGTTGGTCACGAACGACGAGTAGGCCGAAAACGTCTCGGCGATGTCTGCGACGGCGCGACGAGGTCAGCGAGATGGCGCGTGAGGAGAGGAGAGAGAGAAAGGGACGGACCGAGATGCGGAACCTTGAGGCGAGCGAGGTACATCTGCTCGACCTGGAGGAGCTGATCGGGCCTGCGAGTAAGAGGAAGGTCAGGACGGGCGAGTTGAAGAGGCGACATGGGGATGCACGAAGGGTCGAGCTGCACGAAGAGAGAGAGAGTCAGGGTCCCGTACACGAACAGAGGAGGCGAGGGGCGCACCTTGAGGAGGTCCATCTCGAAGTCGCGCCAGAGCGACCAGACCTTGGAGCTCTGCAGGCACGAGGAGGGGTCAGTGCGTCTCCTGTAGGCGTGACGAGGGAGAGGTGGGACGCACCTCGGCAATGTGCGCTCCAGCAACGTTGAGCACCTCGTCGCAGACGCCGCGGACCTCCTCGAGCGAGAAGACGACGCCAAGCAGCTCGTCCGGCTCGCCGACCTTGCGGCTCGCCGGCTCCATGGCGGCGTCCTCGTCGTCGGCGTCTGCTGGTGGCGGTGCCGGCGAGAGGCCCTGCGACAGGTAGTACTTGGCAGTGGTCCACTGCGACCACGAGACGAGGAGCGGAATGGCTGCGGCGCGAGGAAGAAGGTCAGCTTGGCTCGTGGGAGGACGGCCGAGACGAGGCGGGGGCGCACAGAGGTGGTCCCTGCTGGCTCTGCGGTACAGCTCTACGAGCTCGAGGTAGGGCGCGACGTCGTCGGTTGGCGGATTCGGGAGGGCCGCCTTGCGGTCGTCGAGCCAAGCCGTCCACTCGGCTGCGCGGGGGAAGGGCTGGGTCAGCTCAATGCACCATAGGGTTTGAAAGAGAGAGTCGGGCGCACCTTGGCTGAGCGGATACACCTGTGCGAGCCCGTTCCTCGCCTGCTCGACCTCCTGCTCATCAGTGAGCGCGCGCGCGAGGGCGATGCGCTGCTCGTGCAGGCTGCGGTCGTGCGGCGCAGCGTTAAGCTGCTCGAGGAGGGCGCTGTAGGCCTGGACCTGCGGGTCCTGCGCGTTGGCCGCCATGTCGACCAAAGTGGGGAGGAGACGAGCAGCCGCGCACCTCTCGTTCTCGTGCGGCTCTCGAGATCTCGCGAGTTCCTGCCGCCAGTGCTGGGGCATGGCGGGACTGCAATGCAGGTCTATGTACCCTGCTCGAGCCGGCCCTGCTGTGCGCACCTCTCACGGCGGTTCCTCGCCGGCCTCGCTCGGCCGTCAACGCTCGCTCGCGGCTCGGCGGCTTTCCTGCGCACTCTCGACGCTCTAGCACGCGCAGAGAGAGTCTGCCTGCAGAGACCAGACGTGCCCGCTCTCGGTCTCGCCGGGAAATGCTCGCCGCTCGCTCGCTTGACGTCGAGGACAGGGAACAGTGCCTTGCAGGACCTGGGGAACTCGGTACACGCGACAGCGCGGCGACGTGCGGGAGAGAAGGACGCGGAAAGAAGGAGGGCGTGCGAGGACGGCGAGAGAGATGGAACGGGAGAGGGCGAGGTGGGCAGTCGAGGGCACGCGAGCTGCAGACGAGAAAGGTCAGTTTCCTCGACCAGCAGGCGCACAGAGAGAGGGAGAGAGCCGACGCACCGCCCGATCAGGACCACGCCAACTCGAGGAGCTGGAAGACTACGCCGCAAGCGGCGAAGCTGGCCGTGTAGTCCTTGACGATGTCGGCGCTGACCATGGGGAGGACGACCGGGAGGTCGAGATCCGGCTCGACGTACACGTTGAGCCGAGATACCCTGAAAGGTCGGTCTTCCGCCTCGAGAAGCGCGTCGAGGCAATGGAACAGGAGAGAGGGCTCGTCGCGCATGTAGCGGTACTCGAGGAGGTCGAGGTTGAACGGCAGGTCGAACACGATGTCCAGCTCGACGGCATCGTCGTACGCGCCGACGACGCGCACGTGCGACGGGAGCTGGCGGATGCTGTCGTTGAACCAGTTGTTGGTCTCGCCGAGCATAGGGTTTGCCTCGAAGACAGAGTGACGCAGGTGCCGCATGTTGCGGATCGCGAAGTCAAACCCCAGCGAGCTGATGCTGCGCTCGGCGTAGCTGTGCACGGTCTCGAGGTTGCGGCATTTCTCGAGGAGCGTCGCGATGAAGTTGGGCATGTCGAGCGGCGCCTCGTCGTCGTCCTGGATGAAGCCGGTGACGCAGAAGTCGATCGCTCGAGGAAGGCCGAGAAGGTGCGGATTGTGCTCCATCGCGGCGAGAAAGTCGGCGCACTCGTCGGCCGTGTCGAAGCGGAGGGAGTGCAGGAGGGCCGTCTGCGCCGGACCCGCCCAGATGCGACTGACGAGCGCAGCGCTCGCCAAGGCCGCCTGCTGCGAGTACATGTACCGCGTTGTCGTGCCGGGGTTGCGCACACGCAGATCGAGCACCGCGAGCTCCTCGCAGATCATCTCGATGAGCTCGACAGGGAGGCGAGCGGCCGGGCTCAAGACGGCGGGCGGCGCGGCCATGATGATCGATGAAGATGCCGAGGTAGATGAAGAGCTGGTACCGATGCCGCACGACGTCTGCAGGAGGGGGAACGAGGTCAGCGCACCATTCCATGGGGGCGGCGAGGACCGGGGCGGAGGAGAAGGGACGGGAGGGCAAGGGACGCACATGAGGCGGGCTCGAGAGCTCTTGAACTGTAGATGCGGGGGTCGAACGGGTCCTAGATGCGAGTCTCGCGAGCTGGTGGTGAGCGGGAGGAGGACGAGGAGGGAGGTCGACTCTCTCGCTCCTCGTCCACTCGCCTCGGCCTCGCCGGTCGGGCTGGTCAGGGTGGGTCACACTCAGGAGAGGCTGCTGCTGTGTGCAGGCGCTCGACGAGCCCGCCACGAGCCAGCCTCGCTCTTCCCCCGGCGGCTTTCTCCTCGAGAGGTGATGAGGCTCTGGCGCTCTCTCGCGGCAGTCTGGCGGCGATTTGAGCCGTGCAGGGCGTCCACCGACTCTCTGCTCAGAGCTCGAGTGCTCCACAGTGCCCGCTCGGGGCAAGGGGCGAGAGCGAACGACCTCCTCCTCCTCGACTCGACGGTTTCTCGTCGCGCTGCAGGCGAGTCGAGCTGTTTGAGACTCGGCTCTTCTCTCACTCGAGCGAGTCTGCACTCTGTTCTCCGTCCACCGGCCAGCATCGACGAGAAAGGCTCGACATCACGTGCGTTGAAACGAGAGAGACGGCTCGCCGAAGTTTCCCCACTCGGGTCCACGGCACCCTCTCTCTCCTGCGCTCTCTCTCCCTCCTCACTGCACGACAGCGACAGCTGCACGATGCTCCAGACTGCACGCACGCACGCGCCGACCATGCTGCTGCGCCGCCAGCTCTCGACCTCGACCCGCCTCGGTCGCCCGCTCCTCCTCGTCCTCCCTCGCGGCGGCACCTCGTCCTGCGCTGCTGCACCAGCACGGCAAGGCCAGCTCGCGACTCGAGTCACGCCGAGCCCAGCGCACGGCACGACGCGCCTGTTCAGCTCGACGACGGCGCGCGAGGGCGAGCGCAAGCCGTTCGTGCTCGCCGACATTGGCGAGGGCATCACCGAGGTCGAGATCGTCAAGTGGTGCGTCCCCTCTCCCTCTCGTGCGTTCACGCAGGTCGGCAGAAGGAGCGCGGCGACTGACCCTTCCCGCCTCGCCCGCAAACAGGCTCGTCAAGGAGGGCGACACGGTCGAGGAGTTTGACCCCATCGTGGAGGTCATGTGCGTCCAGCCTTTCTCTCTCTCAGCCACTCTACGAGCCTGAACCTGACACAGCACGAGCGACGCAGGTCGGACAAGGCGTCGGTCGAGATCACGTCGCCGTTCTCCGGCCGGGTCGTCGGTCTGAGCGGCGCGGCGGGCGACATGCTGCGCGTCGGCAACACGTTGTGCGAGGTCGAGGTCGACGGCGAGGACGCGAGCGACGAGGTCCAGTCACCGACGATGCCGCTCGCAGCCGCCGAGCCGGTCGCCGAGTCTGCATCGTCCGGCGCACCACCGCCGCCGAATATGGATGGCCCGCTTGAGCCCGTCGACCGCTCCGACTCGGTCGTCATGCAGGACAAGGACGTCCTCGCGACGCCCGGGACCCGTCGATTCGCGCGCGAGCACGGCGTCGACCTCGGCCAGCTCACCGGCACGGGCAAGAACGGCCGCGTCACCAAGGAGGACGTCTACGCGTTCGTCAGCGGCGGCAGCACTTCCCCAACGTCGTATTCCGCCCCTCCTGCACCTCGAGCAGCAGCAGCGTCGTCGCCCGCACCCGCCGTCCAGTCGAGCCAACCACCTCCCGCTCGCACCTCTTCCGACTCGACGACCACGGTCCCGCTCTCGCCGACCCGCCGCGCTATGTTCCGCGCCATGACGGCCTCGCTCGCCATCCCGCACTTTGCGTACTCGGACACACTCGACGTCACCGAGCTCGAGCGCCTGCGCCGGTCGCTGTCGAGCAGCATCCCGCTGTCGATGCGCAAGGGCCTCTCGCCGGCCGACGAGGCGACGCTCGCTCGGCAGGCGCACTGGAGCGGCGTCGACGGCGGCGCAGCAGCGCAGCGAGTTGACGAGGGCAAGCGCATCGACCGTGTCACGCTCTTGCCGCTCCTCCTCAAGGCCCTCTCGCTCGCCGTCGCCGAGCACCCTCTCTTCCTCCACACCCTCGCCCCCATATCCTCGTCCACCTCGCCCGAGCCGACTCTCGTCCGCCGCACGTCGCACGACATCTCGGTCGCGCTCTCGTCGCCCTCGCCCGCCGGCGGCCTCTTCACGCCGGTCCTGCGCGACGTCCAGCACTCGTCCGTGTTTGTTCTCGCGTCGCAGCTCGCCGGCCTCCAGTCGTGCCTCTCGATCTCGTCGTCGGGCTCGGCGCCCCGCTTCCCGCCCGAGCACAGCGGCGCCGGCACGCTCACGCTCTCGAACGTCGGCGTCGTCGGCGGGCGAGGGACGCACCCGGTCGTCCCGCCGACGGGGCAGCTCGCGATCGGGGCGGTCGGCAGGGTCAGGATCGAGCCGAGGTTCAAGCAGGGGAAGGAGGAGGAGCGGGCGAAGCGGGTCGCGCAGGGCGTCGAGGAGGACGAGGTCGGCGGGGAGTGGAAGGTCGAGCCGAGGCTGGTTCTGGTGCGTCCCTCTCGTTCCTCTCGCTCTCTCTCGTCGATGACTCGCCTCGCGCAGGTCGTCTGTCGAGTTGAGGTCGGGCACCGGCACGTCGCTCACTCTCTCGCTCACCTGCAGGACGCGACTTTCACTGCCGACCATCGAGTCGTCGAGGGCGTCGAGCTCGCCCGCCTCGTCGAGACGTGGAAGCGCATCGTCGAGGAGCCGAGCAGGCTCATGGGGCAGTAGACGGCGGTTTGAGCTGGATAGAGTGCAACGGCGGAGCGGGTCGAGAAGGTCTCGTCGAGCGTGCGAACGAGAGGCTCGAGCTTGCCGGCTTCTCTCTCTCTGGGCTTGAGAGCGCTCTCTCCTCGTCCAGACACGCGCACGAGAGACGATGACAGACTGCAGTAGCAACGGCGAGTACGACAAACAAGCGGCTCGACCCTCTTCCTCTCGCTCCTCCCTCGTGACCAGCTCGACGACGACGCTCACTCGGTGTCCTCGTCGGCCGCCTTCTTGCCCTTCTTCGACTTGCTCGGCTGCATCGAGGAGGGAGGGGAGAGAGTCAGTGCGCGATCCGAGGAGCCGCTCGAGCTCGAGAGAGGTGAAGGCCTGAGCGCACCGTGTCCTCCTCCTCGTCGTCCTCGTCATCCTCCTCCTGGTCGTTCGAGCCGTACTTCTCAACAAAGTGCTTCTTGCCCTTGGGCGAGAACCTGAACGAGTCCTTCTCCTGCGAGGGCGAGAAGGGGGAGGGACGAGAGGGCGCGAGGAAGAGGAAGGGTGAGGTCGAACTCGAGCAGGCATCCGTCGACGACGACGCCGTCGACCCGCTGTCGACGGGACGAGTCGACGAGCAGGAACGAAGCTCGAGCGCACCTGGATGAGGAAGCCGTCCTCGACCTCCTTGGCGATGACCGTCTTGAGGCTGTCCTTGACCGAGTCCGACTCGATCTTGACGCTCCAGGTGTCCTGCGGTGGGTCAAGGGAGTGGGTCAGCTGGATCACAGCGCCAACCCACGCGCTGGCCCTGCTCCGAGAGGAGAGAAGGGGCGACGAGAGGGGGCCAGAGGAACGAGCGACGCACGCGGATGTACTCCTTGATCTTGCGGCGGGAGACCTTCTCGCTGTGTGTATCGACGCGAAGATGTCAGCTCCGTCGCCTGCGCGAGTGGACCCAGACGAAAGGGCAAGAGAGCGAGCGAGGACGCACCCTTTGCCCGCCTTGTCGACCGCGCGCTCGACCATCTCGACGTAGGACGTCTTTGGTGCCTTGCCCATGGTGTGCGAGTGTCAAGGGTGTCGTGAGGTGAGGTGCGAGAGAGAGAGCGAGTCGAGAGTGAGAGGGAGGAAGGAGAGAGAGAGAGAGAGAGAGAGAGGGAGACCGAGGTCACGCCGCCGCCTCGCCCGACTTGCGAAGGTCAACTTGGCCGACGCGCCCAGTTTTGACATCCCTCCCAGCTCGCTCTGCAGCGTGCACAGCGCCCTGTGTCGCACGCTATCGCTTCGGGCGATGCATGAGCGCGATTGAGAGGCGGCCGAAGCGCACGGTGTCGCATCGCCGACCTCGCCCTCGTCGACGAGCTCGCGTGAACGAAGCTCGTTGGCGTACTTGACGCTCTCGCTCCCCTCTCTGCCAGCCCGAAGAGTCCAGAGCACGTCAAACACGTCCGACAGAGTGTCTTCAAGCGAGTAGAGCTACAACAAACAAGCGTGACCGGCCGCTCCCTCCTCGCCACCGCCGCTCGGGCCCATCTCGACGGCGCGTAAGCCTCGGTCCATCTGCGAGGGCCGAACTCAGGACCCGCTCACTTGGACTTGACGCTCTTGCTCGGCTTACTCGGCTGCGTGGCGGGCGGCGGGCGAGGTCAGCTGGCGCCGGCGAGGCGAGGCGAGAGAAGAGAGAAAGGGTGGGCGCACCGTGTTCTCCTCGGTCTCGGACGCCTCGTTGTCGTTGTCCGACAGGTCGTACTGGTCGGCGATGTGCTTCTTGCCCTTGGCCGAGAGGTAGAACGAGTTCTTTTGCTGCGCGAGGAGGGCGTCGAGGCTGGTCAGCTCCGTCGTGCTGGAGGGGCCACACCAGGAGAGCAGGCGACAGCGTCGCACACTGCTCCTGCGAGCCGACTGCGCGAGAGAGAGGACGGGTCGACGCACCTGGAGGATGATGCCGGCGTCGAGGCGCTTGGTGAACGCGGCCTTGATGTGGCGCTTGAACGTCGCGCCGTCCGTGTCGATCTTGTAGTTGATCTGGCGGGCGACAGAGGCCGTCAGTCGCATGCCGGCAGCCGGCGACATCCTCGCCTCGCTCGCGGGAGAGTGCTGCGAGCGGAAGAGGAGGACACAGACGAGGCAGTGGAACGAGGGCGACGCACGCGGATGTAGGTGTAGATCTTCTGCCTCGACACCTTCTCGCTGTGTGCAGGGAGGCGAAAGGTCAGTTCCGACAGAGGGAGAGGCGATCCGAGGGCGAACGGACGCACCCTTTGCCCGAGTTGACGGCGAGGTCGAGCATCTCTGCGTAGCTTGCGGTGGTGGCCTTGCCGGGCATGGTGGTCGTGCGTGTGTGGTCGAGCGAGAGAGGGAGCGAGGAGCAAAGTGAGGAGAAGGAGAGAGAGAGAGGCGGACGGCGGAGCGAGGCGAGCACGCCGAGGGCGAGGCGCGAGCGGCCTCCGAAGCGCGGAGAGTCCGAGGTCAACCTCGCGTCGGGTTTGACATGAGGCGCCGAGCGCGGGTGCGGTACAATGCAGGCGTGCCAGGCTGTGAGACGAGGTGCACAAAGGAGGAGGGGGGAAACTAAGGCTCGAGGGAGGGCGAGTGAAAGACGAAGGGGGACGGCAAAGGGGAAGGGGGACCGGGTCGCTCTCCTTAACGACTTAGCGCATCATCGAGTGGATCTCGCTGTGTGAGGGAGGCGAGTCAGTACGAGAGGGAAGCCGAGGAGGAGGAAAGAGGCGACGCACAGCTTCTTGATGAGCCCGCGCAGGCTCTTGCCCGCCTTCTCGCCGTTTTGGCGCAGGTACTCCTCCATCTTGTGGCGCACGGCCGCGAGCTCGTCGACGACGGGCAGGCTCGAGTCGGCGCGGACGCTCCTCGGGTTGAGGAGCACGTCGAACAGGCGCGTCCACAGGTCGACCTGGTAGTACCGCCGGCACGAGTGGGCGAGCGTCCACTTGAGCGGGCCCTCGGGCTGCGCGTCGTCGACGGGCACGCGCTTGGTCTCGATCGTGCGCCCGAACAGGAGGTTGACCGCGATCGAGGCCGCGCCGTAGTAGTCGGGCTCGAACGTCCACGGGCGGCCCTCGCGCATCTCGGCACAGTCGAGCTCGTGCGGGTCCTGGTCGGTCGAGAACGCCTGGCCGCGAGGGAACGCCGACAGGTCGATCGAGCGCCCAAAGTCGATGAGCTTGAGGCCCTTGTGCGCCCACCCGTTGGCGCCCGACGGGTCGTACGTCGGCGCCCACGCTCGTGCGCCGCCGGGCACCTCCTCGAGGCGGAGCAGGCAGTTGTCGATCTTGAGGTCGCCGTGGACGAAGCCCGAGGCGTGGAAGCCCTCGAGCGTGCGCAGGACCTCGACGACGAAGAACATGGCGAGGAGCTCGTCGACGCCCTGGCCCGAGCTGCCCGACGCTGTCGGGGCGACGCCCGACTCGTGCGCGTGGTTGACGGCGTCGAGGAGGCTGCCCTGGTCGCAGTAGTCGAGGAACAGGAACGACTCGTCGCGGTAGGCGTACAGGCGCTGGGCGGCGACGACCGACGCGCGAGCTCGCTCGGGCAGGCGCGCGTGCAGCTGCGACAGGACGTAGAACTCCCACAGGTTGGCCGGGTTCTCGACCTTGACGGCGAGCGACAGCTCGTCCTCGGCGTCGGCGTCAAAGTCGTCGTCGTCGCCGCCGCCGCCGAGCGCGATCCGGAACACGGCGCCGTACGACCCCTCGCCGAGCTTGTCGCGCACCGAGAACGTCTCGCCGCCGAGCTCGACGTCCCACGCCTCGTCGATCGTGCCCGTGCGGTCCTTGCCGCCCTTGCCGCTGCTCGTGCGGTTGCGGCGCTTGGCCGCCTTTTGCAGGCCGGCGAGCCGGTCGGCCGTCTCGTGGCGCAGGTTGTGCACGTCGGCGTGCTCGAGGACGGGAGGGTTGGCCGCACGCAGGAGGGCCGACAGGGTGGCGCCGCTGTACGGGTCGACGGGTGCGGGCGCGTCGGCGGCGGGCAGGCTCGACGAACGGCGGGTCGTGCTCGCGTCGACGACGATGTCGGTGACCATGCCGCTCTGGTTGCCGGCGATGCTGAGGCCGTCGGGCAGGGTGGTGCTGAGCGAGGCGTCGTACGAGCCGTCGTGGCCGAGCGAGGACCGGGAAGGTGGCGCCGGCGACGACACGGGCGGCGGGACGAAGACGGGCTCTTGCAGGAGGGAAGGTGCGGGCGCGTCGTCCTCGTCCGACGAGTCGTCGCTGCTGTCGTCGCTGCTGCTGTCGGCGTCGAGCTGCTGCTGGGGCTGCTGCTGCTGGAGGACCGGCGGCTGCTGGGCGACAAACGAGGGCTGCTGGAACGAGGCGACAAAGGCCCGGTCGCCGTCCTCCTCGTCATCGTCGTCCTCCTCCGTGCTCGGCTCGTCCTCGTCCTCCTCGGCGACAGTACCACCGGCGCCGCCGCCCGGGTAGTAGCTGTCGCGGCGGCCCTTCTGGCTCGCCGACAGGAGGCCCGTGCCGTTGGTGAACTCGAGCGTGCGCTCGACGATGGGCGTCATCTGCTGCACGTACGGCGCGTACCGGCTCGGCTGCCCGGGCACGCGCCGGCCGAGGTCGTAGCCGTCGTTCGGGCCGTCGCGCTGCGACGACTCGTCGCCGTCCTGCGAACCGCGCAACGGCGCCTCGAACTCGTCCTGCTCGGCGAACGAGTCGTCGTCCTCCTGCAGCGGCTGCAGCGGGCCGAGCGGCGTCGAGTCGCTCTCCTGCGACGACGGCACGACGTCGTCGTCGTCGTCCCCAAAGACGCCCTGGCCCGACGGCGGCGCGGCGGCGCCGTCCTGGAACACGCTGAACAGCGACGACGGCGGCGGCGGCTGCGCCGCGAGGGGCGTGCCCGCCTTCATGCCGAGCGGCGCACGAGCCGAGCCGACACGCGTGACGGGGCGGAACCCGCCGCTCGGGGTGGCCGGCGGCTGAGACGAGCCGTCCCGGAACAGCTGCAGGGGCGCTGCGGCGGCGGCTGCTGCGACGACAGGCGCAGGCGTGTTCTCGTCGTTCTCGTCGCCCTCGGCGACGACGTCGAGGCGAGCGTGCGCGTCGGCAAGGTGGCGCTGCTGCGAGCCGTAGTAGGCCGAGTCGTCGTCCATCTGGCTCCGGGTCTGGCTGAATGGCGCGAACGGCGCGTCCGACACGTCGGCGTCGCTCTGCTGCGTCGCACCCTGCGTCGAGAACTGGCTCTCAGTGCCGCCGGGCAGGCCGCCGAACGCCGCCTCGTCGTCGTCGTCCGAGTCGTCGTCCGAGTCGTCCGACGAGTCCTGCCCGGCTCGGCCGGCGCCGTTGACCTTGGTAAAGTCGAGCGTCTTGGCGAACAGGTGGTCGAGGAGCGCGTTGGCGGCGCGCGTGTTCATGGTCGGCGAGGGAGGGCGGTTCGGGTCGAGGGGAAGAGGTGGGGACGGCGAGCGCTCGCGAGCAGGCGATGCGGCGTCGCCGAGCTCGAGTGCGACGCGTTGCGCCGGAGGAGGAGAAGGGGAAAGAAGGCTGCGCTCGGGCTGCGACGAGGGGCGAGTCGGCGAAGCTGGCGAGGGCGAAGCCGCCCCGGCGAGTGCGGGTGCGCCGGGTGCGGGAACAGGTGATGGCGCGACAGGTCGAGGGAGGAAGTCGTAGAGAGGAGCTGCAGGAACGATTGGAGGAGTGAGCGGCGGCGTGAGGAGAGGGGGCCGGGAGGAGGACGGACCGCCCGTGTTGGTGTCGTACAGGACCGGCCAGCCCGTCTCGGCGTCGATCTTGTAGCTCGTCGCTGCGGGCATGTCGACAGCGTCAGGATCATCCGAGTATGAGAGGTAGGAGAGGGTAGGCGAGACGCACAGCCAGTCCTCGCAGTCTCTTCGTCCCACTGCGCCGCCCACTCCCACCCGCCCCACGTTCGCGTCGCCTCGACGTGCTTGCGCGCCCGGACCTCCTCGGGCGAGAACTCGTCCGTCTCGTTCGGGTAGATCTCGGCGAGGTTGATGGCGACGCGCTCCTTGGGCTTGGCGGCCGGGTCGGCGCTCGACGACGATGACGCCGGCTTGCTCGACGCCGTCTTGCCCTTACTCGACGACGACGACGACGACACGCTCGTCGAGGACGAACTCGCCGGCTTCTTGACGGAGCGCACCTTGCGCGCGCCGTCCTTGTCCTTGTCGCCCTCGCGGCTCGAGCTGCGGCTCTTCCCGGCGCCCGAGCTGCTCGCGCCGGCCCGGGGCAGGACCTCGAGGCCTTCGAGCGGGTCGCGCGCGACGAGGCCTGCGTCGGACGCGCCGTAGTTCTTGAACGGGTTCGAGCGCAGGAGGTCGGCCTCGGTCGGAGCGCGCGACGAGCGCGAGAAGACGTCCGTGTCGGACAGGAGGTGCGCCGAGACGGCGGCGGCGGCGATCTGTGGGCGAGCGAGTCAGAGTCAGTGGACGCTCTGACGACGAGGGAGAGAGAGAGAGTCGGGCGCACCTCGTCGCGGAAGACCTCGAGCTTGAACCCTCCCGGCTTGGACGTCGCCGCGCCCTTCTGCGGCATGACCTCGCCCGCCCACTCCTTCTTGTCATCGTCGTTCTCCCTCGTGCGGCTCTTGACCGTCCCGTAGTCCTCCCACCCAGCCTCCTTGCCCGCCTCGCTCGCGCCGCCCGCCCCGTCGCGGAACACGGCGAACAGGCTCCCGTTGCCGGCGGGTCGCACGCCCGTGCCCGCGCCCGTGCCCGAGCCGGCGGCGACGACGGCGCCTGCTGGACGCGACAGGATCGGGCGCGCGTCGGCGGTGGGCGCCGAGGGCCGAGGAGGAGAGGGAACGGGCGGCGCGACGAGCATGCGCGCCTGGAAGTCGAGGTACGAGCGCTTGAGGCGGTCGAGCGGCGTCGCGCGGCGGTTGATGCCGAGGTTGTAGACCTGGTCGGCCTGCTTGCGCCTGTGCACGTCGAGGGTCAGTCGCGGCGCGACCGGGTAAAGGGGGAGGGAGAGGGGGACGCACTTGTGCTTGGCCTCGAGGACCTTGGCGTACTCCTCGTACAGGGCGGCGAGCTTCTCGGCGACGCCCTTGGCGAACAGGAAGCGGTAGCAGTCCTCGGCGTCCTCCATGTTCTTGGCGTAGTGGGCCCATAGGCGAAAGTAGCGCGGGTCGTTGGTGTACCGGCCGTCGGCGAGGAACTTGCGCGTCGTCGCCTCGAGGACAGGGACGAGCTTGTTGGCGGCGCTCGCACCGGCCGGGTAGTTGGCGACGATGAAGCGCACGTACTGGTGCGACACGTCGAGCGGGTCCTCGGCGAGGAGGGCGACGTCGTCTGCGGCGAGGCCGTCGCGGCCGTCGTCCCACGCGCCGGTCGCCTCGTACACGTCGACGGCGGCGATCTGGGCCTGGAACCGGGCGTGCTCTGCATCGAGCTTGAGGCCGAGGCCGGCGCGGGTCGAGGTCGAGAGGGCGGCGAGTTGCGAGGCTGAGCGGCCAGAGTGGAGCGGGACGATGTTCTCCTTTGCGGCCTCGATGGTCGAGATGTCGACGGTAACGGGCGGCCTCGAAGGGGTGACGAGCGGCGCCTGCGGGTCCGCCATGGCGAGGACGGCGAGTCGAGGTTGAGCGATGTGGTGGTGGTCGGGGGAGGAGGACGCCGCGCGGGCTCGCCGAGGGGTGTACTCGGGCTCGGCAGGTGCGAGTGGTGGCTCTGCGCGGTGCTGCAGTGCTGCTCGCGTCGCTGGTGGGTCGAGAGCGAGAGGGTGAGGGCTAACAACAAACTGCCCAGATTCCGCAGGGCGTCGCACCAATTTCCGCCGCCTCGCCTCAACGCGCTGCAGAGAGAGACGGGGTTACACTGAGCAGTCCAAGTAGAATATAATAAGTAGATTGCCCGGTACAGATACGCAAAGCGAGCCGGTGGGAGCGACTCGAGCGCGACACGATCAGCCTTCCCAGGCCGCAAGCTCCTCCCGCTCTCTACTGACGACCAGCTGTGCACTTGCTGCAGCCAGCTCACGCACAGCCGTACACCGCCGCCAGCCAGCGCGCGCACACCCTCGCTCGACGCGCCCCTCGACCTGCCGCCCTCCCCCACCGCGGTCCTCCGTCGCCTCCTCGAACCCGCCTCACCTCGGCTCCAGCACCCGCACCGATGGCAGCAGCTCAGTACGAGATCGCCGCCGACATATCGGAGGACGAGGACCTCGTCGCCACCTCGTCCCAGGGCCTCCTCCCGACCCACAACGCTCCCGCCCAGGACAAGGGCAAGGGCCGCGCGACCAGCCCGGCACTCGAGGGCAGGATTGGCGGCTCGGCAGGGGGCCAGACTGGCGGTTCGAGCGCTCGCGGCCAGCGCCACACGACGTTCGGCGGGATCCAGACCGAGACGAGGTGCGTCGGGCGTCCTCCGTTCCATCTGCTGCTCCTCGCGCGCTCTACTGCGTACGGGTGAGTCAGCTGCGGGAGGAAGTTGACCACTGACATTCGCCTCGTGCAGGTCTACCGGCACCGACACGCTCGATGAGCCCGTCTCGGAAACCATCGTGCGTCCTCACCTTCCCTCCTTCTGCACCCGCGCACGTCCCTGACCCTGCGCGCCCGACCCGACAGATGCGCGATCTGCGAACAATCGGCAACAAGATTGTCCAGGTCCTGCACCCGACCTCGGGCAACGCCGTACTGCAGGACTGGGACCTGTGGGGCCCGCTCATCGTGCGTCGCCTCTGTCTTGATCTCTCTCGCTCGTCACATAGCGCCGTACTAAAGGACCTCTCTCTACAGTTCTGCTTGACCCTCGCCATCCTCCTGTCGACCAACGGTGCGTGACAAGCCTCTCCTGCGCACGCCTGCCCCCGTCGACGAGCCTGACCTCGAACCGCCTCTTGTCGCGCAGCCCCGACCGACCAGTCGCTCCCGATCTTCACCGGCGTCTTTGTCATCGTCTGGGCCGGCTCGGTTGTCGTCACCCTCAACGCCAAACTCCTCGGCGGCAAAGTGTGTGTCGCTTATTCCTCCCTGCTGCGCCTGCCCGGCACCGTCGGGCAGGCCCAGCTGTGCCGTGAAGCTGTCGTGACTCACCAACCTTCCTTGCACGCAGCTCGTTCTTCCAGTCGCTGTGCGTCCTCGGGTACTGCATCTTCCCGCTCGACCTGGCCGCCCTCGTCGCCGTCTTTGTCAAGATGCTCTGGATCCGCCTCCCGATCTGCGCCGCGACTTTCGCCTGGAGCGTGTGGGGTGCGTCGACGTCCCTCTTTCTCTCTCTCGCTCGAGTGAGCGCCTGAACGAGCTCGGCAAGGCCTGGCCGGCCGACGCGCACCTTGTCGCGCGCCCGCCGGCCTTCACCTTCTTGAGAACGTCCAGGCCGAACACCCTCGACGACGTACTGACACGGCCCCCCTCGCCCACAGCCGCCGTCAACTTCCTCGGCGGGACCCGCCTCGAGCAAGACCGCGCCGTCCTCGCCGTCTTCCCGCTCTTCATGCTCTTCTTCCTCCTCGCGTGGATGACGATGCTCTCGTGAGTCGGGGCTCGCGAGCGGGAGGACTCTCGAGCTGGTGGGCGGGTCTGGGACGGGCGGGGCGGTCGGCAGGGCGGGCGCGGACGAGGGCGAGAGGGTGCAACGGGCTGTCTTTTCTGTGCGTCGGCGTCGCGTTGGCGAGAGCCTGCGAGCGGTCCAGCCGTAGCGCGTCGCTCTCTCGGCGTCTCTCTCTCTCTGCGTCCTTGGCTACCTCGACGAGCTGCCTCCGTGCGCCGCATGTCGCGCTGCGAGTCAAGCGGGACGAGCGAGCCTGAGCTTTGTTCTCCGGCCGGTGCTCCCTGAGCGCCTCTCATTCGCGCTCGTGCATCAGTCGAGACGATAGCGAGAGTCACAGGGCGCTGCGCACGCTGCAGAGCGAGCTGGGAGGGATGTCAAAACTGGGCGCGTCGGCCAAGTTGACCTTCGCAAGTCGGGCGAGCCGGCGAGCGTGACCTCGGTCTCTCTCTCTCTCTCTCCCTCTCTCTCTCCCTCTCTCTCTCCTTCCTGCCTCTCACTCTCGACTCGCTGTCTCTCTCGCACCTCACTTCACGACACACTCGACACTCGCGATCATGGGCAAGGCACCAAAGACGTCCTACGTCGAGATGGTCGAGCGCGCGGTCGACAAGGCGGGCAAAGGGTGCGTCCTCGTTCTCTCTCTCGCCCTTTGTCCGCGTGCATACGCCACGGAGAGCTGGAGCTGACCTTCCTGGACACGCACAGTGAGAAGGTGTCCCGCCGCAAGATCAAGGAGTACATCCGCGTGCGTCGCTCGTTCCTCTGGCCCTTCCCGTCGCGCGCGTTCTCTCCTCTCGGAGCAGGGCCAGCGCGTCAAGACTGCCAAACGCGCAAGCTGACCGACTCCTTTGACCCACCGCAGGACACTTGGAGCGTCAAGATCGACTCGGACTCGGTCAAGGACAGCCTCAAGACGGTCATCGCCAAGGAGGTCGACGACGGCTACCTCATCCAGGTGCGCTCGGCGACTCGTGCTCGTCTCGTATCGTCGACGGCGATACGACCCGGTCGTCGTCGACGTGCTCCTCGTAGCCAGCCGCTGAGCTCACCCTCTTCCTCGCATCCCCCTCCTCCCTCCCCCTCCCTCGCTCCCTCTTCTCGCCCTCGCAGGAGAAGGACTCGTTCAGGTTCTCGCCCAAGGGCAAGAAGCACTTTGTCGAGAAGCACGGCTCGAACGACGAGGAGGGGGAGGAGGACGACGATGACGAGGAGGAGGAGGACACGGTGCGCTCAGACCTCCACCTCTCTCGAGCTCGAGTGAGTCGTCGACTCGCATACTGACTTTCCCCCCTCCCTCCTCGATGCAGCCGAGCAAGCCGAAGAAGGGCAAGAAGGCGGCCGACGAGGACACCGAGTGAGCGTCGTCGGCGAGCTGGTCGCGAGGGAGGAACGAGAGGAAGAGGGTCGAGCCGCTTGTTTGTCGTACTCGCCGTGGCCACTGCAGTCTGTCGTCGTCTCTCGTACGCGCGTCTGGACGAGAGGAGAGCGCGCTCTCGAGCCGAGAAAGAGAAGCCGGCAAGATCGAGCCTCTCAATCGCATGCTCGAAAAAGACCTTCTCGACCCGCTGCGCCGTTGCACTCTATCCAGCTGCACCGCCCTCTACTGCCCCATGAGCCTGCTTGGATCCTCGACGATGCGCTTCCACGTCTCGACGAGGCGGGCGAGCTCGACGCCCTCGACGACGCGATGGTCGGCCGTAAAAGTCGCGTCCTGCAGGCGAGCGAGAGTGAGCGACGTCCCGACATCAACGCGGACTCGACGGACGACCTGCGCGAGGCGAGTCGTCGACGAGAGAGCGAGAGGGAAACGAGAGCGACGCACCAGAACCAGCCTCGGCTCGACCTTCCACTCCCCGCCGACCTCGTCCTCCTCGACGCCCTGCGCGACCCGCTTCGCCCGCTCCTCCTCCTTCCCCTGCTTGAACCTCGGCTCGACCCTGACCCTGCCGACCGCCCCGATCGCGAGCTGCCCCGTCGGCGGGACGACCGGGTGCGTCCCTCGCCCGCCGACGACGCCGACGTTCGAGAGCGTGAGCGTGCCGGCGCCGCTGTGCTCGGGCGGGAAGCGGGGCGCCGAGCCCGACGACGAGGTCGAGAGGCACGACTGGAGGCCGGCGAGCTGCGACGCGAGGGCAAACACGGACGAGTGCTGGACGTCGCGCAGGACCGGCGTGAAGAGGCCGCCGGCGGGCGAGGGCGACGAGAGCGCGACCGAGATGTCGTGCGACGTGCGGCGGACGAGAGTCGGCTCGGGCGAGGTGGACGAGGATGTGGGGGCGAGGGTGTGGAGGAAGAGAGGGTGCTCGGCGACGGCGAGCGAGAGGGCCTTGAGGAGGAGCGGCAAGAGCGTGACGCGGTCGATGCGCTTGCCCTCGTCGACTCGCTGCGCTCCTGCGCCACCGTCGATGCCGCTCCAGTGCGCCTGCCGAGCGAGGGTCGCCTCGTCGGCCGGCGAGAGGCCCTTGCGCATCGACAGCGGGATGCTGCTCGACAGCGACCGGCGCAGGCGCTCGAGCTCGGTGACGTCGAGTGTGTCCGAGTACGCAAAGTGCGGGATGGCGAGCGAGGCCGTCATGGCGCGGAACATAGCGCGGCGGGTCGGCGAGAGCGGGACCGTGGTCGTCGAGTCGGAAGAGGTGCGAGCGGGAGGTGGTTGGCTCGACTGGACGGCGGGTGCGGGCGACGACGCTGCTGCTGCTCGAGGTGCAGGAGGGGCGGAATACGACGTTGGGGAAGTGCTGCCGCCGCTGACGAACGCGTAGACGTCCTCCTTGGTGACGCGGCCGTTCTTGCCCGTGCCGGTGAGCTGGCCGAGGTCGACGCCGTGCTCGCGCGCGAACCGACGGGTACCGGGCGTCGCGAGGACGTCCTTGTCCCGCACGAAGACCGAGTCGGAGCGGTCGACAGGCTCGAGTCGGCCGTCCATGCTCGGCGGCGGTGGCGCGTCCGACGATGCAGTCTCGGCGACCGGCTCGGCGGCAGCGAGCGGCATCGTCGGCGACTGGACCTCGTCACTCTCACTCTCGCCGTCGACCTCGACCTCGCACAACGTGTTGCCGACGCGCAGCATGTCGCCCGCCGCGCCGCTCAAACCGACGACCCGGCCCGAGAACGGCGACGTGATCTCGACCGACGCCTTGTCCGACCTGCGTCGCTCGTGCTGTGTCAGGTTCAGGCTCCTAAAGTGGCTGGGAGAGACAGCTGGGCGCACATGACCTCGACGATGGGGTCAAACTCCTCGACCGTGTCGCCCTCCTTCACGAGCCTGTTTGCGGGCGAGGCTCGAGAGGTCAGTCGCCGCGCTCCTTCCTGCCGATGCGTTCGACCGCGTAAGAGGGGAGAGGGGACGCACCACTTGACAATCTCGACCTCGGTGATGCCCTCGCCAATGTCGGCGAGCACGAACGGCTTGCGCTCGCCCTCGCGCACCGTCGTCGAGCTGAACAGGCGCGTCGTGCTGGGCGCTGGTCCCGGCGTGAGTCGAGTCGCGAGCTGGCCTTGCCGAGCTGGTGCAGCAGCGCTGGACGAGGTGCTGCCGCGAGGGTGGGCGAGGAGGAGCGGGCGACCGAGGCGGGTCGAGGTGGAGAGCTGGCGCCGCAGCAGCAGGGTCGGCACATGTGCGCGTGCTGTCTGGAGCATCCTGTCGCTGTCGCTGTCGTGCAGTGAGGAGGGAGAGAAGGAAGGAAGAGAGGCTGCCGTGGACCCGAGTGGGGAAACTTCGGCGAGCCGTCGCTCTCGCTCTCTTCGACGCACGTGATGTCGAGCCTTTCTCGTCGACTGCAGCCGGTCGACGGAGAGCAGAGTGCACACTCGCTCGAATGAGAGAAGAGTCCGAGTCTCGGCAGCTCGACTCGCCGGCAGCGCCACGAGAAACCGCCGAGTCGAGGAGGAGCTGGTCGCTCGCTCTCGCCCCTCGCCTCGAGCGGGTACTGTGGAGCGCTCGAGCTTCGAGCAGAGAGTCTGTCGACGCCCTGCACGGCTCAGACCGCCCGGAGAGCGTGGCGAGAGAGCGTCAGAGCCTCATCACCTCTCGAGGAGAAAGCCGACGCCGGAAGAGCGAGGGTGGCTCGCTGCGAGCTCGTGAAGCGCCTGCAAACAGCAGAAGCCTCTCTAGAGTGTCCCACGCCCTACATAAACCGACCGGCGAGGCCGAGGCGAGTGGACGAGGAGCGAGAGTCGGCCCCCCCTCCTCGTCCTCCTCCCACTCACCACCAGCTCTTGAGACTCGCATCTAGGACCCGTTCGACCCGCGCATCTCCAGCTCCAGAGCTCGCAAGCCTGCCTCATGTGCGTCCTACGCCCTCTCGAGCGCTCCCATCCCTCCCTTCCCCGCGGCTCCTCGCCGCCTGCATGGAATGGTGCGCTGACCTCCCCGCCCTCCTGCAGAAGTCGTGCGGCATCGGTACCACCTCTTCATCTACCTCGTCATCTTCCTCGATCATCATGGCCGCGCCGCCCGCCGTCCTGAGCCCGGCCGCTCGCCTCCCTGTCGAGCTCGTCGAGATGATCTGCAACGAGCTCGCACGTCTCTGCCAGCGCAAATACCGTGCTGGCAGCTCGACCTGTCAGATGCTGCGGCGGCTACGCGACATGATGTCCGTCGCGCTCGTGTGTCGCCTGTGGCGTGAGCCGGCGCAGCTTGCCCTGTTGCGCTCCTTGCACTTCGAGACGGCCGAGGAGTGCGCCGACTTCCTGCACGCCGTCGAAGACGCTCCGCAACTGCTCGAGGTACCACGCGTCCTCACTTTCAACTTCTCGAGCCGTCGCCGCCTCGAGCGCAAACCCTTTCTCGACATGCCCGGTTACGTCGCAGTACTCCTCGAGATGTGCCGCAACGTCGAGCTCGTCTACGTCTACGCCGAGTGCGACGCCGAGTCGTCCACATTCGAGCGGGCGGTCGCCAACCTACAGCACCTACGCACCTTCATCTTCGAGTCGATCCCGGTCATCGGCCAGAGCAACAGGTGGTTCAACTCTACCGCAGCTCAGCTGCCTACGTGTCTTCGAGTACTCGTCGTAACACACGATACTGTCCACCAGAGCGTCATCTTCGAGCTGCCGTCGAGCCTCGAGCTCTTCGAGTACATGTACACGGGCGACCACCCGTCTCCCATGCTGTGGGACCTCGACGAGCTTCTCGAGTCGGATGCTCGGCCTGTCCAGGTCAAGAACATCAAGTTCCACGCCGAATGTGATCTGGTCGAGGAGGACGACGACGACGAGGACGCCGACCGCGAGGTGAGCAACGCGCTCGTAGAGAGCTTGGAGGGCCGGTTTGCCGACCGCGGCGTCGCCTTTGAGCTCCTGATTTTGGAGTGGGACACGATCTAGCCGAGCTTCAGGTGCGCCCCCTTCTCTCTCTCTCGCTTTCATTCTCCCGAGCTCACACGACCGCGGCGTCCGCAGGTCGACCGACTACACCTTTCTCTCGCTCTCCCTCCCGCGCTGGCCTTTCGCGCCCCCGACACCTGCCCACTTCTCCGGCGACGCTCGTCTTCTGCGTCCCCAACTCTGTGTACGACCCAGTTCCTCAGATCCTGCAGTGCGCTTTTGCCCGAGGTCGAAGGAGCAGTTCCCCAGAGAGAGAGAGAGAGCGAGGTCGCCTCGATCCCGTAGCGAGCTGTCGAGCGGCGCGTTCCTGCGAGCAGCTGCCGAGCATGCGACCACGAGAGCCGAAGCTGCCGAACCGAGCGCGGGCGAGCGAGATCTCGGCCGTTGACGAGACGAGGATGGCGAGCAAGAGCGTCGAAGCGAAGCGAGGAGCGAGCGCGCCGTGAGAGGCAAGCAGACATTCGCTCTCGCTCACGGCGTAGCGAGGGACGTGCAACGAGAGACGCGAGAAGGAGAGCGCTCGCCGAGAGAAAGACCTGCTCAACTCGCGCACGAACCCGTCGGTTCCAGCTCTCGCTCTACTGCTCTAGCGCCCTGACGCTCGCGCCTTCGATCGCGCACACCCTGACCTGGCCCGTCTGTCCCGGCGCAAACAGGACGCCGTTCTCGCTCGCGGCGAGGAACGCGTCGAGCTCGACGACGTCGCCCGGGGATGCTGTGGGTGCGTCGGATGCGGCAAAGCGCGGCGCGGTGTCCGAGGGCGAGGTCGAGAGGAAGGTGAGGGAGCTGGGAGGTGGGGAGAGGGTGGCGGGAGAGGAGGAGGAGGAGGATGGAGAGGTCGGGGCGGTGACGAACTGCGAGCGGGACGAGCGTCAGGAGACTGGGCGCGCGAGGACGAACGGCAGAGTGGGACGCACGACGAGGTAGGACCCGGTGACGACCTCCTGCTCCGTCTCGACCGACAGCGCGCCTCGAGACGGGCTGCCGGCCATAATCTTGGCGACGAGGCGCGCCTGGCTCAGGTCGAGCGGGTGCTGCAGGCGGGCGCAGCTCGTCAGTACGTTGTCGCCCCCCCTTTTCGGGCGAGATCGAGAGAGAGAGAGAGCGAGAGAGAGAGAGAGAGACGCACAACAGGCTGCGAGTCAAACATGGCGGCATAGAACTCCTTCTCCTTCTCCTCGCTGCGCTGGACGGCGCTCAGGTTGTCGGCCGAGGTGCCGAACAGCTCGTTGACGGCGTCGAGGAGCAGGCGCGCCGCGTTCTGGTTCGACAGCGAGAGGACGATGTTGCCCTGCGAGCTGTGTGGGTTGAGCGTGTCAGTCTCGAGGATCTCGGGCGAGAGCCGGGAGGGGAGAGGCGCGAGGGAGGGGCGGCGACGCACCTCGTCACCTCGTGCGGCTTGCCGACAGCCTGCAGGCCGCCGTAGTCGAGCTTGACGGCGGGCGCAGAAGTCGAGCCGACGACCGCGACGCCGATCGCGCCGCTCGAGACGACCTCGGTGCCGTAGAAGAGCGAGAACGGCGCGCCGTTGGGCGAGTGGAACGGGGTCGACGTGCCGACGAGGCCGGTCTGCAGGATTGCGAACGCTGTCAGAGGCTGAGCGCTCGACGAGGGATGAGAGGGTGGGGCGGGGCGCACCTTGGCTGCCGAAGAATAGGAGGAAAGGGCGGCGAGGAAAGGCTGCATGCGGTCGGCAGTGAGGGCGACGACCTCCTTGACCTGCGACGGCCTGCGGAATGACAATAGAGTCAGTCTACGAGCTCTTGAGCGGACGCGAAAGAGGGACGCACTCGACGCCGCTCAGCTCCTCGATCCCCTCGCCGGCCGCATCCCTCGCCCCGTTCGCCCGCTCCCCAAACGCCCACTTGTCGCCGCGCAAGAAGGCCTCGAAGCCCGCGTCGTCCTGCGCGTCGTGCTGCAGCTCGGGCCGGATCTCGCGCCCGAGCGCGATGTTGGGCCGGCCGGTGAGGGTCGAGCGGAACGGGATGGCGCGCTCCGTGTCGTGCGAGGGGTGGTGGCGCGCGATCGAGAGCGAGTAGAGCTCGGCGACGGTGTCGTGTCGGGGTGCGAGGCGGGCGACGGTCGAGGGCGGGAGGACCTCGGCGAGACAGCCGATCGAGGGCGACGACGACGACGAGGAGGACGACGTCTGCAACGCGGCGACAAAGTGCGGCACGAGCTCTTGCGGCGTGTTCTTGGACAGGGCGTAGAGGACTTGGCCTGGCGTGCTGGCCTTGTCCTGCGCCTCGACGTGGGCGAGGAGCGATGCCGGCGAGGGAGAGATGAGGGTCGAGCAGCGCCACAGGGACCGTCGTGGGGCGGCCTGCAACGTGCGCTGCGCCCGTGCAGCTCGTGCAAGGCTGCGCTGGAGCATGGCGGAGCTCGCAGGGGGTGGTGAGCGAGCGATGATGCCGGACTCCCTCACCGCCTCCTCTCAGCTCTCGATCGACCGTCTCGCCTTTTCGACCGCGAACGACTCGCTCCGTCTCTCTGCACGCGCTCGGAAGATAGCCAACAGTCCTTGCAACCTCGTCTACTCGAGCCCGCTCGAGACGTTTCTATCGCTCCTCCTCGGTCCCGCTCCGTCGAGTCCTTCTCTGCGAGGCGAGCGACGACAAGTCAGTCTCAGGCTGCGGGCGGCGAGAGAGAGAGAGAGAGAAGAGGCGGACGCACCTGAGAGCGTCTAGATGTCGACCCACCGCCGCTGCGGAATCTCCATCGGCTCGAACGCGACCCTGAACTCGACCCCCCTCTGCGCGAACGCGTGCGTGACGCGCCCGAGCTGCCCCTCGTCGACCGTGGCCTCGTACGCCTCCTCGTCGACGGCGAGCACGAGTTCGGGGACGCGAAGCGCGCACGCCGGGCCGGGCGCGCACCGCGGGTCGCGCAGGACGCCCTCGAGCTGCTCGAGGACCGAGTCGGGCCGGGCGTCCCACGAGATGTACTCGGCCACCTCGACCGAGTCGGGCAGGAGGCGCAGGAACCCGGCCGACGCCGCCTGCTCCGAGATGGACAGCCGCTGCAGCTTGGTGTACAGCGGCAGGAGCGCCTCGAGCCAGTCGTTGCGGTCGCCCGCGCCTGCGCCTGCGCCGCCGTTTGTGCGCCCGCCGCCGCCGCCGCCGCCGCCGCCGCCGCCGCCGCCGTCGAGGGTCGCCGTCGCAGGGAGGCGCGGGGTCGGCGACGCGACGGTCGACTCGAGGCGGAATTCGCGCAGGTTGACGAGCGTGCTGAAGGCGGCGATGGCCACGTCCGGGTCGAGGACGTGCTCCGTGTAGATGTTGAGCCGCACGAGGCTCGGCCCTGCCGCCGACAGCATGGGCGTGAGGCCCCTCGGCGCGTTGACCGTGACCGACATGTTCTCGACGTGCGACTGGACGACGGGCACGCGGTAGTCGGCCTGGCGGGCGGCCCAGGTCGGGCGAAAGTTGAGCTCAAAGTTGCGCAGGTTGGGGAGGCTGAAGGCGCGGTACACGTCGGACGGGACGGTAAAGATGGTCGTGTTGAGGCCGGCCTCGGTGCCCGGGTCGTACATCTTGAGGGCGAGCGAGACGAGCGGGAGGCGCTGGAGGATGTCGACGAAGCGGTACGTGTTGCCGAGGCGCATCTGGTTGACGAGGAGGTGGCGCACGTTGACGCACAGGGCGAGGGCCTCGGTGAGGCGGTCCGAGAGCTCGACCTGGTGGTGGTACGGGTCCGAGTGCTCGGCGGTGCCCTCGACGAGGCCGATGTGAAGGGCCGTGACGCGCTGGGCGAGGTCGGGCCTGGCGGTCGCCGTGTGGATGAAGCCGACGACCTGCTTGCGGCGGATGAGCGACACCGAGTGGAACAGGGACAGCTGGGCGGCGCGGCGCCACCCTCGACAGACGCGCGCGACCTTTGGCAAGTCGGGGCAGGTCGACGTGACGGTCCACGCGACGAGGTCCTCGCGCACCTCGCCGGCGTACATCATGGGCATGAGCTCAAAGATGCGCAGGAGGAGCTCGGTCGGGAGCGAGGCGGCCGGGGTCGGTTGGAGCATGCTGGCGTGCGTGAGGGGCGAGTAGACCGGTGGGCGCGCGGGGACGGCTTTGAGCTTGTCGTCGACCGGTGTGGCGGCATCGGGCATGCTGCGTCGAGCGCGCGCAAGGCGCGGCGAGGGTGCGACGAGGGTTGCTGGCGAGAACAATGGCGTTGGCTGCGGGGGAGGCGAGACGTCAGGCTACGAGGGCACGGGGCGACGCTGAGAGGGGAGGGCGGGGCGCACCGACAAGTCCCAGTAGCGCAGCTCGAGGTGAGCAGGGTCGACTCTGAGCTGGTGGGAGAGCGAGAGGGAGGGAGCGAGAGAGGGCGTCGGATGCGGCCGATGCGGGGTCGGCAACAGACTCAGATCTCATCTTCTCGCTCCTCTCACACCGCACCAGCGTGCGATCCTGCACCATGCTCGTCGGCCTGTGCTGCTTCCTCGCCGGCCTCGCCGTCCCTACCCTCCTCCCCGCCCTCTGGGCTCGCCTCACCGCCCGCTCGTCCGACGCCGACCTGTACGACGATGGCGCAGACGCCCTCGTCCTCAACCTCGACGAGCCAAGCACTCGGTGGTTCAACATGGGCTACTGGCCACCAGGCGAGCGCTCCTTCTCCAGCGCCGCTGCCGAGCTGTGCCGCCAGGTCGCGCGCGCTGCTCGACTCGAACCCGGCCAACGCATCTGCGTGCGCCCCAAACCCCCCTCTCTCGCTGTGTGGGTGCGCTCGAGAGGACCACAGGGCTCTGACTCGCCGCTCTGCCACCGCGCGCGCAGGAGGTCGGCTACGGCTCGGGCGACTCGACCCTGCTCCTCGAGCGCGAGTTTGCCCCCGCGGCCTACCTCGGCTTGACCTCGCTCGCCTCGCAACACGCTACCGCCGGCGAGTTCCCCCCCTCTCTCTTCGTCGCTCCATGTCGTCCCAACTGACGGCGCTGGCACTCGCAGTCGTGCGGGCGAACAAGGCGGGCCTGCCCTCGGACAGGATCCAGCTGCGGCAGGGCGACGCGGCCAAGGACCTCGACGCCGAGCCTGCGGGCAGCTACGACGCCGTGCTTGCCGTCGACTGTGCCTACCAGTCCGTCCCTCTCTCTCTCTGTGTCCTCTCTCACAGCCACGACCTGACGCCTGCCCTGCTCCCAACAGCTTCAACACCCGCCTCTCGTTCCTCTCGTCAGCCTCGCGCCTGCTCGCCCCAGGCGGCCACCTCGCCCTCACCGACCTCGTCCTGCCCTCAACCCCGCTCTCCCTCCTCGACCACCTCCTCCTCTCCCTCCTCCTCCTCGTCGCCGGCTGCCCGCGCTCCAACCTCGTCCCGCTCGACACGTACCGCGCACAGCTCGTCGCGGCCGGGTTCGACCCCGACTCGGTCGAGACGCGAGACGTCAGCGACGAGGTGTGGGGTGGGTTTTGCGGGTTCGTGAGGAGGAGAGAGGAGGGGATGGGGCGCGGGAGGGGCGTGTTGGGCGGCAAGTGGGACGGGTTGAGGAGGTACGCGAGGGTCGTCGAGTGGTACGCCGGCGTGAGGAGCGGGAGGCCCAAGATGAGGTACTGCCTCGTGTCGGCGCGCAAGGCGTAGCGCAGGTGTGCAACGGCGCCGTGTCGTTCGCGACGGAGGCGTTCTCTCTGAGCGGGAGGGTGGCAGCGAGGACAGCTTCTCTCTCTTTCGAGACGAGCGAGTGACCGTGCACGTCGAGAGCCAACAGCGAGTGACAAAAGCGAGAAAGACGCTACAACAAAGACCGACAACCACCAACCTCGCGCACGCCCCTCCTCCTCCGCCCTCTCTCTCACACCCCGCCCGTCTCGCCGCCCTCGCCACCGCCGCCCGACCTGGCCGACGTCTCGCTCAAGCGGCGCATGTAGCCCGAGCTCGTGAGGAGCGCCGCCTTGACTTTGGGCGCGTACAGGCCGCGCTTGATGCTGTCGACGACCCACTGGACCGTGCGCTCGAGGCCGTCTGCGGCGCGGGCGTGAGTGCGGGTGCGGGTGGGTCAGCGAGGCAGCGTAGCAAAGAGAGAGAGAGAGAGAGGGCGAACGCACCGTTGTTGAGCTGGTTCGGGCGCGCAACCAGGATGTTGAGGTCGTTCTCGTAGTCGAGCAGCCGCTCCTGCACGTCGTCGAGGTCGTAGTACGACGAGCACACCTGCGGGCGCCTCGTTCTCATCAGTCGTCCGTCTCTCTCCCAGACAAGCGAGAGGAAATAGGAGGGCTCGGACGCACGAGGACGTCGGCGGGCTCGATGGCCGCCTTGAGCACGACGAGCGCGTCCTGCAAGTCGCTCACGGCCGCGAAGCACTCGAGCGCGCCGGTCGCGTTCATCGCGGCCGCAAAGTCCCACGTCCTGCGTGCGTGTGCGACGAGGGCGCTGGGTTAGCTGGAAATCGTGGGGAGGCGGGACGATGTGGGGCCGCGACTCGAGAGGTGGGAGGAGGAGAGGGAGAGGGGAGGGACGAACCGCTGGTGCCAGTGCCCGAGCATGACGACCCGCTCCTTCCTCCTCTTCTTCTTCTCCCCGGGCGCCTCGCTGCAGGGCTGGCCGGACGGGAGCGCTGGGTCGTCGTCCGGGTCGGCGGCGGTGCGTGTGCTCGAGGGCGAGGGGCCAGCTGGGGGCGCGGGTGGTGCGAGTGCTGGTGCTGGTGCTGGTGCTGCTGGTGCTGGCGCTGGCGCTGCAGAGCCCGGCATCGTGCGCAGGCGAGGTCGAGAAGTGATCGAGGCGGAACGACAAAGGCGAGGCCGCGGCCGACGACGTCGAGCAACGTGGGACCAGCGCGCTCGAGCAGCTGGCGGAGTGCCGTCGCGCTTGTGGATATAAGCGAGCGTCGGTGCGGCTTGCGCTGGCAGCACGAGGGCGGGAGCAGGCCAAGCTTGGAGCTCTCGAGGTCGACTCGCCCGACTCCGCCGCAGGGTCGCCCCGGCCGACAGCGGCCCGACCGCACGCTGGCGACGCTTCCTGCAGGCTTCTCTCGGGCGAGCGGGACACTCTCGTGGGCGAGCCTTTGGCGCTTCACAGCGAAACAGCGAACGAGAGAGGCGCCAGCTCAAGTCGCCGACTCGTCGCTCGGGCCGCCCGTCCGCTCGCGGTCCAACCGACAGGCGCGACGGTCCGCTCTGCAGCCCTCGAGTGCGCACTCGTGTACGGTGACGACGACGCGCTATTGCGAGGGCCGAGCAGTCCGTGACGAGCACGCTGCGGCTCGAGAAGGGCGTGCTCGAGGACGACTGGGTCGCCAAGGATGAGCTCGCGGCACGCGCTGTCGGCGCATGCTCTCGAGGGACGCGGACGAGGAAGGAGAAGATAGGCCGAATGCGTGAACGAGGTTGCGACGAGAGCTACAGCTGCGAGGAGGACACCGGGGGGTCAGTGAGGGGCGCGAGGCGACCGAGAGAGAGAGAGGGGTGGACGCACACAACAAAGACGAGGCACGAGAAAGAGAGACACCGGACGAACGACGAATAGGGCGGGCGCACGACGCGCTACCGGAACTTCTTCTTGCCCGGCCTCGCCTCGTGCAGCTTGACATAATCGACCGAGCCGAGCACGTTGTGCTTCTTTGTCGCCTTGCGCCGCTGTGCGCCCGACAGCTTGTCGTTGCTGCGGTCCTCGTCGTCGTGCACGGCCTTTTTCGCGGCGCGCACCTTGTCGCGCAGGCCGCCCTTCTTCTTCTGCTGCGGCGCACTGGCGGCGGTGCTGGAGCGGTGGTCGCCCTCGAGGGCGGGCTCGAGACCGTCGTCGGCGTCGTCGTTGTCCGAGTCGGCCTGCTGGTGCTGCTGCTGGGGCCGGCTCGAGCGGGACGAGGCCTGCTTGCCGACGCGGCCGGGGACGGACGTGTTGAAGAGCGGGATGGCGAGGGGCGCGTCGGCGTCGTGGTCGGGCGAGGCCGAGCGCGAGAGGGCGGCGGGTGCACTCTGGGCGTTGACCTTTTTAGCGACGCGGTCTGTTGCGAGCGGGGAGGGGGGAAGGGGAGCGGGGGAAGTGAGCTCGAGGAGAGGACGAGGAGGAGAGGGAGAGGGAGAGAGAGAGAGAGCGAGGACGGACCTGCTTTCGAGAAGCGCTTTGTCATCTTTGCGCTCCTGCCCATGGTGGCTCGTGGTGAGGTCGAGCGGGATTCGGAGAGTCGCGGTTGGCGGGAAAAGGGGAGCGACGAGGCGATGAAGTCGCTCCACCCTCTCGACCTCGTGCCTACCTCGCCATCAGCTCCTGCTGAGCTCGTGTGCCGCCAGAAAGTCGTCAAGCCTGCTCAGCAACCACCTGAGCGCGTCAGACTCGGACCCGCAGCTCGTCGTGCGTCCCCTCCCCTCCCCCTCTCTCTCGATCCTCACCCTCGTCCAACTCGCTCATCGTCACTCACCTTTGTGCGTGCATCGACACAGGTCCATGCTGCAGCGCTACACGGCACAAGCATGCCGCTGCGCCTCGACCTCGACCGCCACCACCCCGTGCCGCCACTCGCTCCCCACCATCGTCCCTCGCCGCTCCCACTCCAAGTCGGCTCCCTCGTCCGCCACCGCCCATCTCGCCCGAGAACTCGAGCGCCCCTTCACCTACACGGCCCCGCTGTGGCGCTCGTCGGCTCAACCCGCCGCCGATCACTGGTTCGGCGCCCTCCGCCCCGGCTGGACCGGCTGGAACCGCGATTCGAGCCCGCCCACCTCGTCGATCCAGTACTCGCGTCCCGACCCACCAGAGCGACCACCACCTGCGCGCTCCACCGCGTCCTCCCCTCGAGATGAGCCGCCTGCCCCACGCGCCGCCGCCGCCGTCGACGACGCCATGGCCTCGCGCCTCGCCGCCTACTTTGCCGCGCGCGGCCCACGCTCGACCCTGTCCCAGTTCCGCGACGAGTTTGGCGACTACCTCGCCGTCGCGACAAAGGCCGACATGCCCCTCGTCAAGGCCATGGTCCTCGAGGACGCCATGCTCGCCGACCTGACGGGCGCCAGGCGCCGCCGGCACCTCGGCATGGACCGGTTCGCGACGCCCGAGGGCGCACACGAGGGGGGCGAGATGCAGAGGGTCGTCGAGAGCGGGAGGGCGAGGCCTGCGGTGGCAGAGGTCAGGGTCGAGCGGGACGAGGTCGAGCGCGCGCCGCGCAGGAGGGAGGGCGAGGAGAAGGAGGTCGCGCTGCGGCTCGACGCTGGCGAGCTCGCCGCAGCGAGCGAGACGGTCGACGCGGCGGAGGTGTCGCTCGAGGCGGAACTCGAGGAGCTCGATGCAGCGGGCGCGGCCGCGCTCTTGCGCGAGTACGCCGCCGGCCGCTCGGACTCAACGTCGAGCGAGCGCGTCGCGCTCGCGTGGGACGCCTTCAGCGACTCGGCCGACCTCGCCAACTCGACGAGCGACCTCAAGCTCGCCCTGTCGCTCCTGGTCCGCCTCGCCGAGCCACCCGCCGTCGCCGGCGCCCTCCCCACCTCCTCCACCTCGCCCGCCGACCTCCCCCTCGCCCTGCGCGTCCTCGACTCGCTCCTCGACGTCTTCTCCGACGATGTCGTCGCGCCCAACCCGACCGGCGACGGCGTCTCGAACGCGGTCCCGCACGACGCGCGCCTCCAGGTCGTCCTCCTCCGCACGGCCGCCACCGTCGCCCTCTCGGACGACTTCCTCTCGCTCGCCGTCCGCGCCCTCGAGGCCCTCGCACGCGTGCGCGACGCGCACCCGGCGCTCGAGCGCTCGCCCGAGACGGGCCGGGACGGCGAGCTGCTCGAGGGCGCGCTCGAGCAGGGCCTGGCGAGGCTCGCGGACGAGCGCCACGAGACGTACCGCCCGTCGACGCTGCGCGAGGAGGGTGAGGGCGGCGACGCAAAGGGCCCGGCGCTCGTCGCGCTGGTGGCGTCGCTCCTGCGCGTCGCCGCTCGGTGGGCGCCGCTGCCTCGCGCCTCAGCCTCGTCCTCAACCTCCTCCTCTCTCTCGCCCTCTTCCGCAACCTCGCCCGCCGCCCCCGTCGTCCCGGCCAAACTCGCGCCCGTCCTCGCCTCGTTCGCCGACGAGCTCGCGCACCGGTACCGGTGGGACCTCCTCGCCGCGCACTGGGCGACGTGGTCGGCCCGCGGGTGGATTATGCCCCGGTGGCACCTGCGCCTCGCGAGGTGGCTCGCCGGCGAGGCGCCGTACTCGACGTACCCGCTCGACGACCCGTCCGCCGCCCCCGCCACCAGCGCCGTCAGCGCCGTCGCCACGACGACGCCGCAGCACTCGACGCGCACGGTCCACCCGGCCGCCTTTACGCGCCTCGCGCTCGCGACAAGCGCGCACCTGCAACGCGGCCTCGTCGCCGGCGGCGCGCGCGCCTGGACGCCCGACGAGCGCTGCGACTGGCTCGACCTCCTGAGCACGTCGCGGGCGTCCAACGCGCGCACGCGCACCGCCGCGCGCCGGTGCGCCCTCGCGTGGCACGCCGCCGCGCCGCCCACCTCCACCTCGGCCGCGCCGTTCGTCGTGCGCGCCGGGACGCTCCTCGCGCTCGTGCGCACGGCCTTGCCGCCCAACGTCAAGGGGTGCGCGGCGTCGGCTGTTGCGACGCGCGCGCGCAGCGAGGCGTCGTACCTCGTCGGGGCGCACCTGGCCGTGCTCGCCAACAAGGCGTCGCCGTACGCGAGCGCGTCGGGCGAGATTGCCCACTTTGACTTGACGACGCTCGCGCAGGCGTACGGCCTGCTCGGCGACACGGCGAGCGCGGCGCAGGTGTCTCGCCGCCTGCTCGAGCAGAAGACGGTGCCGGACCGCAAGGACGTCGAGACGGTCCTCGTCGCCCAGGCGACGGCGACGCCGGACAAGGCGCTCGAGCTCGTCAGGACGGCGGCGCGGTTCGGCATCATGGTCGACGTCGACATGCTCGAGGCCGTCCTGCGCGCCATGCTCGAGGGCGTCGTCGAGCGCTCGCGTCGAGCCTCGTCGCCGCCGACGTCCTTGCCCCCGTCGTCGACGGCTTCGGCCGACGCGGTCGTCGCCCGCGAGCCCGCCGCCGACGGAGCGCAGCGCGCGTGGCACGAGCGCAACCAGGTCCTGCAGGGCATGCTCGACCTCGCCAAGGAGCTCGGCCTCGCCCCTCACGACCGGCGCCGCCTCGCCCGGTACGCGCACGACTTCCTCCCCCTGCGTACCCACGCCCTCGCCCCGCCCGGCGCCGCCCCGCTCCCACTCGGCGCGCCCGACATAGCCGCCACCGTCCCGCTCAACGACTCGCCCGCCGCCGCGCACGCCCAGCTGCGCGCCGCCCACGCCGACGGCGACTACCGCGCCGCGTTGCGGGTCCTGCGCCGCGCCGTCGAGCGCCTCGGGCTCCGCGACGAACGCGCGCTCGGGCTCGCGCTCGGGGCGTGCACGGCGGCGCTCGCGCGCGGGCGCAGGGCGACCGAGGGCGACGAGGTGCGCTCCGCCGCGAGGGGCATCATCGACGTTGCGCTCGGGCCCGTGCCGACGCTCGTGCAGACGAGTAGGGGGCTCGACGTCGTGCTCGAGTGGGTGCGCAAGGTCGGCGACGTCGAGGCCGTCGAGGCGCTCATGGGCATCATGCGCGAGCAGGCCGAGGTCGGCGGGCAGGGCGAGCCGATCGCGCCGAGCGACAAGATGGTCGAGAAGACGGTGCGGTGGGCGGTGGCGCAGGTCGGCAAGGAGGAGCTGCTCGCTCGCGAGGGGTGGCTCGGCGATGCGACGAGGAGGACCGTCGCCAAGGCGCAGCGGTAGAGCGCGCAGTCGGCCCTACATGTTCGCTGTCGTTGTATAGCACGCACGCTCGCACACATGCACTCTCGAGCCGGTGAGAGCGAAAGAGAGAGCAATCCATTGCGAGAGAAAGTACAACAAAAAAGAACGGCACAGATCTGGTCAGTCGTCGTCCTCGTCCTCCTCGCTCGCTCACTCGGCCCTCGCCTTGCCCTTGGCCTTGGCACTCGTACTCGCCGCAGCCGTCGCGCGCACCTTCCTCGCCCTCGACTCGAGCCCCTCGACCTGCGCCTTGCCGCGCGCCTTCTCGAGCGCACGGGCCGTGCGCGTTGACGACGAGACGAGCTTCTTCTTCGGCACCGGCGCCGGCGTCGACCGGGCGGTCGCCGAGGAGGAGACGGATGCGGCCCTGCTGACGGTGGCGGTCGAAGAAGAGGAAGAGGCGGCGGGGAGGACGGGCTTCTTGGTGACGGCGGGAGGCAGCCACGCGCTCGTCGGGGCCGGCGCCGGACCTGCTGCGACCGCGCCAGCGTCGACGACGTTCGTGACCGCCTTCAGAGGCGCCGAAAAGGGCGTGCTCGGCGCAGGTGGGAGGGCGGCGAGCTTGTCCTCGACCGACGCCGCCGAGCGCCCGACAGCGGCGGGAGCGGCCTTGACGGGGCTCAACAGCGCCAGATTCGCGACGCGGCTCGACGTCGTACGCTGCAGCGAGCTGACAGGGCGCCTCGACGCCGAGGCGGGCGCCACGAACGCCGCCGACCGGCGCACAACGGCGGGCGACGACGCAGGCGCGCCGGCCGCAGGCGACGCAGCGGCCGAGCCGAGGTGCGGGCGCCAGCTCATCGGACGCTGGAGCGACGCCTGCAGGTCAAACTTCTTGCGGCCGAGGTGCTGCGGCTGCGACTCGGCCTTCTTGGGCGGCGAGGCGGGGACGAGGGCCGTGCGCGAGGCGGACGCGGCGGTCGAGGTGGCGAAGCGAGGGAGGGTGCTCGTCGAAGGGGTGGCGAGCGTGCGCGTCGAGGTCGACGGGGCGAGTGTGCGGAGGGACGAAGAGGTCGGGAGAGGAGGAACCGGCGGGCGAGTCGAGGTCGACGACGAGGACGACGAGGTCGTGAACTTGCGCACGGCGTTCTTAAATAGGCGCGAGGCCGTCGAGCCGGACGACTTGGCTGCTGAAAGACACCACGAGTCAGGATCGACGTTTGCGTGGCGGGCGAGGCGAGGGAAAGGAGAGAGAAACAGGGACGCACGCCCGACGCCCAAACTCGGCCTCCTCCTGCTCAAGCCCACGCCGCTCGCTACCTGGCTCTTCCTCCTCGCCTTGGCCAGCTCCATCTGCCGCTTCTTCTGCGCGCGCTCCTGCTCCTTGCGCGGCAAGACGTCCTCGCGCACGTCCTTGAGCCCGCCGCCGCCACGCGCCGGCTGCGCCGCCGTGCGGAGCGACGCCGAGAGCGAGACGGCGCCCTTGAGCGCCGGGGCGGCCGACCAGCCGTCGTCGCGGAGCGCGGCGACGAGCTTCTGGTCCGTGACGGCGCCGGACGAGCTTGACGTCGAGGATGCGGTCGCGGTGCTCGACGCGAGGCGGCTCAGGCCGAACGGCCTCGACGTCGACGGCTTGAGGCGCTTCGGGGCACGCTCGGGAGCGTCACCTGCGGCTGCGACTGCGGCGGCGCCGATCGAGCGCGACGAGCCCGAGCGCGCCAGGCCCGCGAGGTTGCCGTTCGACGACGACGACGCCGGCAGCGCGCGCTTAGCCGCCCAGTGCGTCGTGATCGAGTCCATCCTGTCGAAGCGGCGCTTGTGGTCGAGGTCGAACGCCGCTCGGCTGCCCTTGCTCGGCGAGACGGGCCGCGTCGAGGAGGCGGAGCCGAACAGGGTCGAGCCGCTGCGGGGCAGGGGCGCAGCCGCGCGCGACTCGGCGGCACGGCGGTTCATCTCGGCGAGGATGCTGTCCATTGTCGAAGGCGGTGGTGCGGCGTCGACGGCGACAGGTTGGTCGGCGTGGGCGGACGAGGTGGAGCTGGTCGAGGCGAAGAGGGTACCGGGCATGGTCGACGAGAAGGTAAAGGTCGACGCCGGCGGTGCGGCCGCCGTCGAGGGCGAGCCAAAGACGAAGGCCGAGGTCGTGTGGGGCACAGGAGGCGGCGGCGAGTCGAGGGACGTCATGGTCGTGTCGGCGACGGTCGAGCGGGACGAGACGAGGCGGATCCCGCCGTCGTCGTCGTCTTCTGCGGCCGAGTTCTCGTGGTCGTCGTCCTCGCTCGTGGCGACATCGTTGAGCGCGACGAACTCGTCACGGGGCGGGTCGGGCTCGCCAGGCGAGTCGGGTGCCGAGTTCGGCTCGTCGTCCCTTCTGCCCGGGTCGACGAGGGCGCGAAGGAGCGTCGCGCCCTTCTCGCGGATCGTGCTCGCCAGCGATGTCGCCGAACTCGAGCTCGTGAGGGTGCTTGGCGCCGAACCGGTCCCTGTGAAAGCGGTCGAAAGAGTCAGTTTCGGCGGTGGGAGCGAGGAGAGAGAGAGAGAGAGAGAGAGAGGGTGGGACGCACCTCGCACGCCGAGCTCCTCCAGACCTTGAGCAGCAGGCATAGCTGCACCGTCAACGATAGCCCACGAGGCCGTGCTGGCATCGCCCGGCTCTGCGCTGCTGCGGTCCCACCCTCGCTCAACGATCAGGGCGCCGTGCTGCTGCAGGCGGCTGACGAGGTCGGTGTTCTGCGGAAGGGTGTGCAGAGAGTCAGTCGGGTATCCCCTTGGCACCCTGCAGAACTGGCGGCGCACCTTGCCCGAGCCCTTGAGACCGAACCTACGGACGAGGGCGAGGAGCTGAGGGCGCTTGAGCGAGTGGAGGGCGGCGTCGTTGCGCAGGATGGCGACCTCGGGGTCGTTCATGGCGACTGGTGCGCAGCAGCAGAGGCTGGTGAGGGCGCGAGGTGGTCGAAGGACGAGAGGCGGTGCTGGTGTTGAACGATTTGGCGACAGCGGCGACTGCTCGTAGTGGAGCTCGCGAGGGTGAGTAATGCTCTCCTTGCAGTATCACCTGGCGTACTGCGCTGTCGGAAGCGGGCCAGAGAGAGGGCGCGACACGAGCCTCTCGTCCTCTCGCTCGTGTGAGAACAGCTCGCAAGCCGCGTTCCAGCTGGCTCTTCGACGCTCTCGTTGCTCGTCAGGGCTCGAGGAGGCAGTCACGACCATTGCAACGACTCAAGCAAACCCACCCGCTCCGTCCCCAAGCGCTCCTCGACCTCCAACCGTGCCCGCTCAACCGACCAGACCCATCGTCACCCTGCACGCCGCGCAGCTCTTGAGGTGCTCACGCGCAATGTCGACGGCCACGCCCTCGAGCTCGACGCCGGCCGCGTCTGCCACCGCGAGGAGGCCGATGACGCCGCTCAGGTTGAAGCCACGCCCCCAGCCGACCAACGCGTCCTCGTCGTCGTCCCACCACAGGACGTTGAGGCAGATGTACTTGAGGCGCTCGAGCTTGGTCGTCCCGCTGATCATGCGACGCAGGTCGTCGGTCGACACGCCCGAGTTGGGGAAGAAGAACAGGTGCTCGAGGCTCTTGAGCGCCTGCAATACGGGAAGCATGGCGCTCGACCAGGTACCGCGGCGGAACTCGATCGCCTCGAGCTGCTTGAAGGGCCTCAACGCTGGAACGAGCGGCGCCGGATCGAGCGCCATCTGCCGGATCGAGAGGACGAAGACCCAGTCGCGCAGGAGGATCTCTTCGAACAGAGCGGGCAAGGTCGCCGCGTCTGAATCCGACTCGTCGTGTAGGCTGAGCTCTTCGACTATGCCGAAGCACGTGAGGAGGTCGGGCACGGCCGGATTGCGGCTCAGAGGGCCCGACAGACCGAGCCACTCGAAGTCGCCGAACCACGGCTGGTGCTCAGGGTCGGGTCGGTACCGGCCGAGGCTGTCGGAGTCGCGGTCGACCTCGAGGTTGAGCCTGTCGAGGATCGGGTAGTTGTTGAGGTGGCGCAGGTTCCTCGGGGCGAACGGGTTGGCCCAGCCGTCGAGCGGGTCGGTGATCTCGAGCACCGTGAGGCTCGGCAGGGCCTTGGGCGCCGGCGAGACGGCGAACTTGGCGAGGCGAGACGAAGACGTCACGCCGAGCTTGTACAGGTTCGTGAGACGGCGGAACGTCGAGGTGAGGATGGCCGTCCTGGGCACGCCGCGGTCAGGGCGCGAGCCGCGCAGGTCGAGGTTGAGCACCTCGATGAAACCTGCGACAGGTTCCGACGCTCCAATCACCTCGCACAGGGCCTGCAGGTGGTCGTACTGGTTGACCGTGACCTCGCGGAAGGCGAGCTTGCGCGCGACAGGCACGAACGCCCTCGAGATGAAGGCGAGGTACGGGCCCTCCTTGGACGCGTGAACGAGCTCGCAGATCGTGATGAAGAGCTCGGCGGGGAGCTGCGTGAGGCGGTCGGTCATGACGAGCTGCGCCGGGCGGCGAGAGGCGTGTCAGCGATGCGCGTGGGGAGGAGGGGAGGGCGGCAGAGGAAGCGAGGGCGTACCTGAAGCTGCTGCTGCACGTGCGAGCGCGATGATGCCGTACTCGATGCCTGCTGCACTCGTCAGGCAGTCCCAAGCTCTGTGTTCGACGTGAGGAGGTCAGTCGACGTGCCAACTGATGAGGCGAGCGGAGAGGACGGGGAGACGTACGATGACCGCAGGGCTCGGACGACAGGCTTGCAGACGACAGGCGGACCAGTAGAGCAGGCGAGCAAGTCAGCAGGCGGGGACGAGCCGATGTGACGGTGCGAGAGGAGCGAGCCCGAGTTGGCGGACGAGGAGCTGCGACGACGACAGCGGCCAGCCGCTCCAGCTCTCGAACCCTGACTCTCGCTCCTCGCGAGGGACTGCAGTGTCTATCAAGCGTTGCATCAAGCGGGCCCGGCCTCGCCGAGCACTTCCTCCCGACCCGTCCCTCCTCGTCTCGCACCTCGCCAACTACCAAAAGTCCCCCTCGTCGTCTCCTCCTCCGCCCTTGCGCTTCTTGCCGGGCCCGCCACCGCCGCTCTGGATCGCCTGACGACGATACGCCTCGGCGATCTGCTCGGGCTCGGTCGACTGCTCGGCGTCCTTGTCGTCGCGGATCCGGATGAAGCGCGGGAAGCGCAGCGAGATGCCGCGGTCGCCGCACAGTCCTGCGTGGGTGCGGCGGGTAGGTCAGTGAGGGCTCGAGAGAATGGCACGGGTGCGAGGGAGGGAGGGAGCGGCAGAGAGGAGCGGAACGGACCCTTGGCGGCCGAGTAGATGGGCGAGAGCGACAGGTCGGCGGCGAGGACCTCCCAGACCTGCGCATGGGACGGTTCGGGCACAGTCAGTGCACGCTCGACGATAGGCGAGAGTGACAGACAAGGCGAGACAGGTGGACGCACGACCTTGGGCTCGAAGTAGACGTCGGGGCCCTTTGCGCCGCCGACGTCGTAGTAGGCCTTCTTCTGCGCCAGCTCGAGTCTGCGCGACGCGAGCAAGCCCATCAGTGCCCGTCGCTGCATGCTGGGCGACGAGAAGGAAGAGAGAGAGAGAGAGAGAGAGAGAGAGAGAGAGAGAGAGAGAGAGAGAGAGAGAGAGAGAGAGAGAGAGAGAGAGAGAGAGAGAGAGAGAGAGAGAGAGAGAGAGAGAGAGAGAGAGAGAGAGAGAGAGAGAGGCGGCGACGCACGGCTTGAGCGTGTCCCAGTGCGCCTTGAGCGCCTCGTCCGAGAAGCCGGTGCCGATCTTGCAGATCATCTGGTACGTGCCGCTGTCGGCGTCGTAGCACGCGAGGTGGAAGGCGCCGTAGACGTTGGTGCGCTTGCCCTTGCCGTAGTCACCGCCGATGACGACGAGGTCGAACGAGTCGCCGACGCCTTGCAGGTAGTCCTTCTTGAGCTGCGCTCGCAGGACGCGACGAGCAGAGGGTCAGGACGGCCTCAGTCGGGCAGCAGAGACGCTCAGGGAAAGGCGCGTGCGGCGACGCACCTTGAGCCAGTGGATGCTCCTCCGACTCGGCTCGTAACTCGCGCCCTCGCCCTCGAGCATCTTGACCATGAGGCCCTCGCAGCCGTCCTTGATCGACTTGTCGAGGAAGGCCTGGATCTCGTCGACCGTCGACGCGTCCTCGGACGTCGCGAACGCAAACTCGCCGTCGACGGCTTGCAGGTGCTCATGCAGGAGGGCGCGCCGCTCGCGCAGGTTCTTCTCGAGGAGGGCCTGCGGGTGCGAGGGTGGGTCCGGGTCAGTGCGCTCCGGCGACACCGTCGAAACGCATCGACGACGGTCGACGCCGGCGAGGGCGACCGTCCTCGAGGCTGCTCGGCGCGAGAGAGAGGGAGGCTCGGACGCACCTCCCCGTTGAGGTACAGGAGGTCGAACGCGAACAGGTGGACCTTGACCTTGATGTCCTCGGCCTTGACGTCCTTGCGCTTGCGGGTCGACAGCTTCTGGAACTCGAGCAGGCGGCGCTCCTCGGTGTCCCACGCGACCGCCTCGGCGTCGATGACGAACGACGTCGTGTTCGACTTGATGGCCTGCGCGACAAGAACGGGATCTCCCTATCATTAGTGCGCGCTCAGGGGAGAGCGCGAGGGACGAACGAGGCGAGGGATAGGCGCGACGCACCCTCGGGAGCTGCGTGACAAACTCGGGGTACTTGACCGTCATGTCCTCGCTGTTGCGGCTGAAGACGCGCACGCTCCCGTCCTCGAGGAAGTGGATCTGGGCCCGCTCGCCGTCGTACTTGTACTCGCACGTAAAGTCCTTGCCCTCGAACCGGTCGAGCACCTCCGAGATTGCCTTGGTCGGCTTGGCGAGCATGGGCTTGAGCGGGATACCTGCGCGGCGAGAGAGGTTCCAGTCAGGTCGCGAGAAGGAGGAGGGAAGAGAGAGAGAGCGGCAGACGCACCCGGGGTGAGCTGGCACGCCTCCTGCAGGTGGGCGACACCCTTCTCGAGCAGCGCCGGCACGACGAGGTCGTAGCTCGGGATCTCCCTGCGTAAGCCCACATCCTGAGTCAATCTCTGCGCCTTGAATAGGCGCACGAACACGACGAGGCAGTGAACGGCTGACGCACGAAAAGACGCTCTTGACGACCTCGGCGCCCTCCTCGAGCATGGCCGACAGCTTCTCGCGCGACCACTTCTTGCCGCTCCTGGCGTGCTCGGCGGTGACTGCGGCGTGCGCGAGCGAGACGAGGGCCTGTTGCGGACGGGAGGTGGAGGAGGGGAAGAGCAAGAGGAGGGAGAGGGCGAGGGGAGGAAGGTAAGCGAGACGGTCTCGAACGACGACGACGACGAGATTCGCCGACAGGTCTGAGAGACTGGGACATGGAAGAGGGAGAGGCGGCGCACCGTCTTCTCGGCGAGGCCGATGCGGAGCTTGCCCTCGAGCGAGCGGATGAGGAACTTGGTCTCCTCGCCCTCGCACTTGGCGAGAAGCGCCTTGATGAGGCCGACCTTGCGCGACTGCGACTGTGTAGCGGAACGGAGCCTTCTATCAGTGACTGTCTCGCGCGAGGAGGGACAGGCCGCCGAAGAAAGAGGAGAACCGAGCAACGCACGTCCTTGCCGCTCGTCTTGGCCACCTTCTTGAGCTCGTCAAACACGCCGCGGACCGTGAGCGGCTTGCTCTTGAACAGCGTCTTCTGGCGCGTGCGCGAGTTGAACGCCACCTCGCCGAGGTCGCCAATCTTCTTGTACTCGGCCTTGACCTGGGCGAGCGTGCGTCCGCACGACTCGCCGATCGCCTTCATGAGGAGCGACTCGCCGATGCCGAGCTCGAGCGACTCGTACTCGGGCGCGAGCTGTGAGTCCGCCGAGATGCATCATCAGTCTCTGCGCCTGCAGGAGGACGAAGGAGGCCGGGGTAGGGGAAACGTCGGCGACGCACGCGGTTGATGCACAGGTACACGCTCTTGAGGAGGTCGTCGGGCGTCTTCTGGATGACCTCGACGAGAAAGTGCGTCAGGTAGGCCGAGATCTCGAGGCGCTTGGTCGTCGCGTCGATCTTGGAGAAAGTCGCCGTGAGCGCGGCGTACGGGACGCTGCGAGCAACAGAGGAGAGTGAGCGAGTTGCTCTCCTGGGTCGACAGAGCACAGCTCGTGGGCGTCGTCGACGACGGGGCCGTGCAGAGGAGGAGGGGCGCAGACCCACGGCTCGCCGGCCTTCCAGCTCGTCTGCGCCTTGTCGGGCTTGCTCGACTTGGTGAAGATGTCGGCGCTGCGTACGGGAGGGCTCGTCAGCTCCGATCACTTCTTCACCCACAGTCGGGCCGACCCGCACGTGGCGGACCGACCAGGCAAGGGGCGAGAGCGCAGCGAGCGAGGGACACACATCTTGCCCGCCGCCTTCTTCTGCTCCTCCTTGTCGGCCTCGTCCTCGTCCTCGTCATCCTCCTCGTCATCGTCTTCGCCCGCGCCGCTCGGGCTCTCGCTCGCGGCCTTCTCGGCGCGCTCCATCGGCTCGTCGTCGTCGTCGTCGTCGTCGTCGTGCTTGGGCGTCGCCTTGCCCTTGCCCTTGCCGTTGTCCTTGGCCTTCGACGCGGCGGTGGCGGCGGTGGCGGGAGCGGGCTTGGTCGAGCGAGGGGCGAAGAAGGAAGAGGCGGCGGGCTTGGGCTTGTCGGTTGAGGTGGACGAGGTCGAGGGCTTCTTGGGCGAGGACGAGGAACCGGCGGCCGCGGTGGTCGTGTCGGCAGAGGGCGCGCGCTTCTTGGGGCTCGTCTTGTCGTCTGCGAGGCGTACAACAAGCTCGCAGCGTCAGTCCCAGCCCCTCGGCGATGCTCGAGGTGCTGAAGGGAGACGCGTCGGACGCGCGCGGCAACTCACCGGCGTCAACCGTCTTTGCGCGCTTGGCCGGGCTCGCGTTGGGCTTGTTGTCGTCGTCCGAGTCGGATGCGGGCGAGGCGACGCGCTTTGCGGGCTTGGTCGAGGCTGCGAGCGGGCGCGACTGATGAAGTCAGAGGCGGCGTGCGAGAGAGAGAGAGAGAGAAAGGGAGAGGGGGGCCGCACGCTTGTGGTCGGTGTCGGACTCTGAGTCGGACTTGATGACTGGCGGGGCCATGGCTGCAGGCGGCGCTGGTGCTGGTGGAGCTGGTCGAGGAGGAGGAGGAGCCGAGGGGAAGGCGAGGCGACGCTGGTGGGGGCGCGTGTCCTTTGTGCCGGCGAACTGGTTGAGCGACTGCTGGTCTGGTGCACGCTCCTTGGTCGACCCTGCTCTGGCCATGCACTGGTGCGGTTGGAGCGCAGGACGAGGCGCCGTCGTCGGCCAACTCGCTGGCCTCGTCGTCCCTCTTGCTTCCACACACGCTCGACCAGCCTGATCACCTGCACAGCTGCAGCAAGCTTCCCGTCGATGGACTGGGACGCCCTGCGCGACGCGGCCCTCGTCCTCCCACCTCCCTCGCCTCTCCCCCCACCGCAAGCCCTCCCTCGAGCCCACCTCCTCGCCCAGCACGCCCAACTCGCCGAGCAGGAGCGCCGACTAGACCGCGAGGGCCAGGTCCGCACCCGCAAGGTCGTAGTCGGCCCGGGCAAGCACTTCTCGGCCGCGCCCAGCGCCGCGTCGCTCCGACCGTGCCAGCTCTCCGACCCCGACCTCGTCCTCGACAAGCCCGCAAGAGGTGCGCACACGCTCCTCTGGACCCTTTCTCACATCGGGTCAGCCTAACTCGAGCTATCCCATAGAACGCATCCTCGTCGTCCGCAACCTCGTCGCGCCAGTCCGCACTGCCGCCGTCCAGCTCGTCGTCGAGGACTGCACCGGTCGGGCCGTCCCGCTGTCGATCTACCACGTCCCTGCACGCTACGATCAACGCGAACTCAAAGAGCTTTGGCCCGTCGGCGCCCTCTACGGTGCGTCCTGCCGGCCTGACTGCGCGTTCGCCCGAGAAACTCTCTCGAGCCGACTGCTAAGCGGCTCGCGTGCCTCGCAGGTATAAAGGAGCCGCTCCTGCGCAGCCTGCGCTCGGGCTTTCACGTCCGCGTCGACTCGCCGGCCGACGTCGTCCGCCTGTTCCCCTCGTCGCCGCTCGTCCAGCACCTCCCCTCGCCCTTTCCGCGCTCGCCCGCCCACGCCCTCGACGGCAAAGGCGTCTCTGCGCTCAAGGACGCCGGCAACGTCGCCTTCAAGGCAGGGCGGTGGATCCGGGCGCGCGAGGCGTACGAGTGGTCGCTCGCGGCGCTCGAGCGGGGCGGCGGGACGGGCGCGAGCGCGGAGGACGAGCTCGGCGCGACGGTGCGGTCCAACCTCGCCCTCGTATACCTCGAGCTCGACTTCCCTGCCGCAGCTCGGCACGTCGCCGAGCGGGCGCTGCACCTCGTCCCGCCGCCCATCGGCGTCGACGAGCCGCCGTCGCCCTTGCGCGCCAAGCTCGTTTACCGCCTCGCGCTCGCCCACTACGCCCTCGAGGCCTACCCTCCCTGCCTCGACGCCCTCGCGCCGCTCCTCGCCCTCATCCCTCCCGATCCTCTCGCCGCCGCCCTCGCCGAGCGCGCGCACGCCCGCACCGTCGAAGCCGCGCAAGGGCCCTCGCCGGCCACCCTGCGCGCCCTCTTCCGCGCCGCGTCCTCGACCACAACGGGAGGCGCGAGCAGCAGCGTCGTCGCACCGCCCGACGTCGCAGACTACGCCTCGCCGCTCATCGGCGTGCGCCCCTCGCCGACCGACCCCTCGCGCGGCCGCGCCCTCGTCGCGCTCGCGCCCATTCCGCGCGGCATGCTCGTCGCGTGCCTCAAGCCGGTCGTGCTCGGCGGCGGGCCGGCGGCTGCGAGAGCGGGCAGGACGGCGTACTGCGCCGGGGTGAACCTGTGGACGAAGGCGGTCGAGCCGTGGGGGGTGGGGGAGTGTGCGGCGGAGCTGCTGTGGCGGGCGGGGGAGGGAGGACGCGGCGAGGAGGAGGAAGGAGGGGAGCGTCAGGGGTCGGACGAGCGCGCGAGGGAGGCGATGAGGGAGCTGTGGGCGGGCGAGGAGCTGGGAAGGGGGAGCGAGCGCGCGCTCGAGGGCGTCGCGGCCGACGCGTCGCGGGCAGAGGGCGCCGTCACCTTTAACGCGTTCAGCGTCGAGGACCTCGCGTCGTCGCTGCCCGGCGCCCGCCCATCCGCCTCGACCGCCAACCCCGACCTCGACCACCGCCCCGACGACCCAGACGACGCCGAGGGCTTCCACTCCCTCACGGCTCTCTACCCTCCCCTCGCCTCGGCCCTCAACCACTCGTGCCTCCCCACCGCCTCGTACACCTTCCTCGGCACCCTTTTCCTCCTGCGTACCCGCGTCGACCTCGCCGAGGGCGACGAGCTCACCGACAGCTACGCCGACGCGACCGACCCGCTCGACGTGCGCGCGAGCAAGCTTGCGCCGCACGGGTTCGTGTGCGCGTGCGCGCTGTGCGGCGAGGAGCGAGGGGCGGGCGAGCGGACCCGCAGGGAGCGCGAGGGGCTCGTGCGGCGGCTCGACGAGGAGGAGGAGCGAGGGCGGGAGGGGCGGGCCGAGCTCGAGCGCGTGAGGGGCATCAAGCGCGCGCTCGAGGGGACGTACAAGCGCGGCGGCGGCGGCAAGGAGGGGGGCGACGAGCGCGCGAGGGTGCGCCCGCCGCTGTACAGCGCCGCGCGGCTCCTCGCGCAGCGGCTCGTCGACTCGCCCGGCGGTGCGACACCGGCGCAGCTGCGCGAGGCGGTCGAGACCGAGGTCGAGGCGCTGCGGGCGCTCGGGGCCGAGTTCGAGCCGGGCGAGGGCGGCGGCGGCGGAACCGGCAAGAAGAAGGCGGAGGAGGGAGCGAGGTGGGAGGCGGCGAGGATGGCGCGACCGCCGCTCGTCGGCGACACGAACGCGGTGTTGAGCGCGCTGTTCATCGCGAGGGTGTGGCGGGACCTGGGACGGGACGAGGGGACGAGGTGCGTCGGCTCTTCTCCTCTCTCTCGCTTCCAGGGACGAGCGACACTGACTCTCGGCAACCCTTTCCTCCCCTCGCCTTTCCTTCCTCTCCCACCACCCGACTCGTCGCTCCCTTCCTCAACTGCAGGCACTGGATCGCCCTCGCGCGCGAGATCGAGGCGGGCCAAGCGGGCGTCGAGCTGTTCGAGCTGCGGTACGGCCCGTTCGCTCGCCGGTACGGGCTCGACCTCGAGCAAGAGGCGAATTTGACCGTCTTGAGCGACTGAGCGTGCGATGCAGCCGTCTCGAGGTCCAGAAGGCGGTGCCGAGAGCGGCCAGGGCGCAGGCGAGAGGGAGAGCGACTCGATTCGCGGCGTGCCAGGGTTCTGCAGAGCGCGTTTATCTAGCTTCCCCGTCTCTCTATCGTGCGCTGCGAGCGCGGGCGCAGGACGAGCCCGCCGTCGCTCGCTCGACCTCGTCGCACGCGACCAGCTCTCGGTTCACCTCCTTCCTCTCACCCGCTTTCTTCCACCTTCCTCCCACGCACCGTGCACAGCTCTCGTCCTTCTTTGTGAGTCTTCATCTCCTCCCTCGTCCTGTCCCCAACCCGCCTCGAGCCGTACTCGTCGAGGTCGGCGGCTCACCGTTCTCATCTCCCCCTCCCTCGCACTCGACCGCAGCCCACCCTTGCGCCTCCTCCAGCTGTCACGAGCCCCAACACTCCCTCATCGTCACTCAGTGCGTCCCTCTCGCCCCTTGAGAGAGCCGAGGTGGGAGGGCGGCGCGTGCTCTTCGTCGGTCAACCGCACTGACCTTCGCGCCGCGTCCTTCCTCCTCCTCTCCAACGCAGCTCTTGCCTTCTACGCCGCTCAACGCCACTCCTCAACGATGGCTGAAGCCGTTCCGCCCGCGTTCCCGTCGCTCGACAACTCGGTCGGAGCCTTGTGCGTCCCCTTCTCCTCGCTCGACGAGCGTGCGGGCGCCTTGACCAGAACGACACTGACCCCTCTTCCTCCTGCAGCCTCCTGTGAGCTCTGTCCTCCTGGCTTGTCCGGACGTCGCACGAGGCAGCACCTCGGGCGCGGACCGTCCTAGGATCTTGGCGACTAAGTCTCTCTCTCGCCCGCCCCTGCAGCGGCACCATCCTGTCGGTCTTCCTCGCGGGCGTCACGTCCGTCCAGGCCTACTCGTACTTCGTCTGGTTCCGTCGCACCGACCGCAAGCTCCTCATCGGCATCGTCTCGTTCCTCCTGATCGTCGACCTGTTCCACTCGGCCATCTCGTGGTGCGTCCCTCATCTCTCTACCTCAGGCCCCACTCGAGCCGCAGCCCCTGACGCTGTCTCCTCCCCTCGTGCAGCTACACGATCTATGTGCGCACTACTTCGCCTCGGTCGAGCCCTGCACGGAACTGACCACTCGCTCTCTTCCGGACTCGCAGGCGACGACGGTCACGAACTACGGCAACCTCGCCTTCCTCGTTAAGTGTCTGTGGAGCTTCACCTGGGAGTGAGCCGATCGTCTCGCCCCCTCGACTCTGCGCGCACTTCGCCTGACGAACCTTGCGAGCGCAGCCCGTTCCTCACCGGCCTCGTCGCGTTCATCGTCCAGATCTTCTGTGCGTCGCACCTCTTCCTCTCTCACACTCTCGCCTCGTCGTCTCGAGCCCGTCGCTGACTCGTACCTCGATCGCAGATGCCTGGAGGGTCTTTGTCGTCTCGCGCCGTCAGTGGCTCATCCCGGCCGTCATCGGCGTCCTCTCGCTCGTGCGTCGCGGCTCCTCTCCTTTCTCTTCCTCCTCGGGGCCTCGCCGATACTCACGAGCACGTCTTTCTCGTCCCTACAGCTGAGCTTCGCCTTCGCCATCGGCTCGACCTGGACGATCTACCGCCTCGACTCGGAATTTGCCCGTGCGTCCTCGTCTTTCTCGTCTCTCGTCACCCGACACAACATGCTCATCCACCTTTTCGTACTGCAGGCTTCCACGAGTTCCGCTACGGCGTCGCCATCTGGCTCTTGTCCGCCGCGTACGCTCGCTCCCCTCTCCCCTTCCATCTCTCGGCCTTCCCTCTCACCCCCAGCCCGTCCACAGGGTCGCCGACATCGTCATCACGAGCTCTCTGTGCGTCCCCTCGCGGGTCGTCCCTGTCCCCTCGCACAGTCCGCCCCGCTGACCTTGGACACCCACAGCATCTTCTATCTGCGCCGTGCGAGCAAGGGCACCGGCGGGCACTCGTCGCCCATCATCGAGCGCGTCATCAGGACGAGTCTCGAGACCAACTCGATCACGGCCATCTTCGCCATCGTCGACGCCGTCCTGTTTATCGCGCTGCCGCAGGACAGCTGGGCAAGTCGACCTTCTCAAACCCGTCTCGAACCCCTGACTGACACCCCGCTCGCCATGCAGCACGTCCTTCCGAACTTGAGCCTCGTCAAGCTCTACTTCAACGGTCTCCTCGTGTCGCGTGAGCTCGACCTCCCGAATTCTCGACCTCGTCGTGCACTGACCTCTTTCTCCCCTCCTCGTTCCTCGTTCGCCTCCCTCTCGTCCACCTGTCCCGGTCCTCCTCTCCCTCGTCGCCTCTCTCGTCTCCGCCACGCGCACCCTCGATGCCGCAGTCAACTCGCGCAAGGTCGGCCAGCAGTCGAACGCGGGCAGCGGCGACAAGGCCTCGCCCTTCGGCACGCCTGCGCCTGGCTACACGGCGACGTTCGGCTCGGTCCCGAACCCGAAGGCCGCACCGCACCGCCACGACATCACGACGCTGTCGATCTCGCCTGCGGGCGACGAGTTCAAGAGCGAGACGGCCGAGCAGTCGCCCGACCTCGAGGTGCGTCCTCCCTTCCTCACCTTCCTCGACCGCGACCAAGCCTGCACGACCTGACTCGCTTACACGACAGCCGCACCCCTTTCAGGTCCGCGCCTACCACGTCACGCCGCCGACGCCTGACGGCGTCGTCGTCCCGATGCAGACGCTGCCCTCGTCCGTCACGACGCGCCGCTCGGCCGAGCGCTCGCCTGAGCACGACGGCGGTGTCTGCTCGCGTGCCGTGCCGCAGGGGTGGTAGAGCGTTGGCGTGGCGTGCGCTCGAGCAGGCGGGCGAGGCGACGTCGCGAGGGTCGGTTCCCTTGGTGCCCTCCTCGTCCTCGCCCTTTCTCCCCTCGCCAGTCCCTCGCACCCTCTCTCGTCTCCTCCCTTCCCTATCCTCGCAGTGTCATAGACCCTCCCCTGATGCCCTCCCCCTCTCGCACCCTCGCACGCCTCGTTTTGCCGTCCTCTCTCGTCCTGGCTTTGACCCTCCTTTGATAGCTCTGTGTCTTTCTTGCCGAGCCTCGTAGCCTTCCGCGCTGCAACATTAGTTCGAGCGATACTTCAGAGCTCAGCTCGAGGAACGAGAGCGCTCCAGCCGTCGAGAGAACTGTCCACCGAGGTCTTCCTCGGAGCCGCTTCTGGCTCTCGCGCTCTCTTCCACCCTCGCTCCCCCAAGTTCCCTCGTTCAAGCTCGCATCCCCTCTCTCTTCCAACTCGACACGCCCACACGCAGGCCTCGAGGCCTTCCAGGCCCCACCCACGCTCGTTCAACCTTCATCGCCTCCAAGCCCTCCCTCCTTTAACCCGCTCGACAAGGGCTCTGAGCGCCCGACGACGCAGTCGAGTCGACTCTAGGGCCATCATGTCGGCTTCTCCAGGCCCCAAGCCGTCGCTCGACGCCAGCCTCGGCGCTTTGTGCGTCCCTTCTCTTCCTCCCAGTCCTTCCCTCGGTTCTCGCGCTCACTCTCGACCGTCGTGCAGCGTCCTGTGCGTCCTCGATCCTTCGTGAGCTTGATAGGAACAGGTCCTGACCCTCTCTCAACAGCGGCACGGTCTTGTCCTGCTTCCTTGCGGGCGTCACCCTCACGCAGACCGTTTTGTACTTCTCGAACTTCTACCGCGTCGACCACCTCGCCCTCATCCTTATGACGATCGCGCTCAAGACGATCGGGATGGCGCACACGGCGATTTGCTGGTGCGTCCACGTCCTCTCGCTCTCTCGCACCAGCCCTGTCGCCTTCTCGACCTGACGTTGCTCGTTTCGCCGCAGCCACACGGTCTACGTACGTGCGCCCGCCGCTCGCCATCTCAAGATACGTCGTACTGACGGCTCCCGAGGCGCGCAGACCTGGACCGTCAGCGAGTACGGGAACTTGGCGGCTCTCGCCCTCGCACCCGTGCAGTTCGCCTGGGGGTGCGTCGCCCGCCTTTTCTCCTCTTGACCTCGAAGAGGGCACAGTCTGACGAGTGTCTCTTTCCACAGACCGTTCCTCACCGGCCTCGCTGCATTCATCGTCCAGTGCTTCTGTGCGTCTCGCCCCGCCCTCGTCCCCTCGTCTCCCTCACGCCGGCTGATTCCGCTTTCGTTCGCAGACGCCTGGCGCGTGTTCGTCGTCTCGGGCCGCAAGATCTTCATCCCTGTCCTCATCTGCGCCATCGCTCTGGCACGTCTAGATCTCTCGTGTCCCTCTGCGGCGACTTGGCACTGACCTTGCGCACGAACCTCTTCCGCAGGTCCAGCTCGCGTTCGCCACGGGCCTCACCTTCAGCTTGTACCGTTGGTCGTTCCGCTTCGCCCTCTTCTACAAGTACCGCTACGGCGTCGGACTGTGGCTCATGGCCGGCGTGTGCGTCCCTCTTTCCCTCTCGAGCACGAGCGAGACGACGGCGAAATTGACTTGGCTCCTTCCGCAGGGCCACCGACCTGCTCATCACTTTCTCCCTGTGCGTGCACTCTCTCTCTCTTCACGGTCCTGCCTTGCGAGACTGACGTCGACGACGCGCAGGGTCCACTACTTGCGCGCGTGCCTCTCCTCGACGAGCGACAGCAGCTGGCGCCCTCTCGTTCGCGCCCTGGTCATCACGGTCGTGCAGACCAACGGCCTCACCCTCGTGACGACGGTCGTCAACGCCGTCCTCTTCCTCGCCGACGAGAACACGGCCTGGGTGCGCACGCTCCCCCTCTCGTCCTCCCCTGTCGACCTTCCTAACTCGCCCTTTTCTCCCCTTTCTGCAGCACGTGGTGCCGGGGCTCATGCTCGTGCAGATGTACATCGTCAGCGCCCTCGTCTCTCGTGCGTCCTCGTCTCGCCATCTTGTCTTTCCGAGGGTTTTGACCTTCTCAAACTCGCGCGCAGTCAACGCCCGCTCGTCTCTGCAGCGCTACGCCCCGATCTCGACCCAGCCGACCCGCAGCCGCGTCACCTACAAGCCCTACCCGTCGCCCGAGTCGCCCAACGCCGGTTACCCGCTCGTGCCGCCCACGACCGTCGTCAGCAGGGTCAGCAGCGGCGGGCCGCGCGAGCTCGTCCGGACGGCGAGCAAGCGCAGCGTCGTCAGCGGCATCAAGGTTACGCAGTTCAAGTGCGTCCCTCTCTCGGACTCTCGAGCGAGCAAAAAGCGGCGCGCACTGACCCTCGCCGTGCCCGCAGGGAGGTCGAGAGCGAGTTCACGCTCGAGAAGCAGCTCGGGTTCGAGGTGCGCCCCCTCTGTCTCCCTCTCTCTCGCCTCGGCGACTCTATCAGAAGTGTACGGCGGACTGACCCTGAGGCGAGGACAGCTCGGCGGCCCCTTTTCCCTCTCGGCCAAGCCCATCCCCGACTCGCCTTACCCGTTCTCGCCCGCCAACGCCCTGCGCGCCGACCGCGGCCTGTCGCACTCGACCTCGTTCGCCTCGATTTCCGAGGAGCCCGAGAGCCCAATCTGTGCGGCGCCTCCTCGCGGCGTGACGAGGTCGCGCATGGGCGCGAGCGGGTGGTGAGACGGCGGCGAGTAACGGCTCCTCTCTCTCTCCTTCTCTCTGTTCGCCGCCCTCCCCAGCCTGTAGTGCCCTCACTGTCGTGCCCATCCTCTTTTGCTCCGCCCTTTCGCACTTCTCGCCCTCGCACTCCCTCTCTCGACGGACGCACGGACCCCCTTTTTCTCGCGCCCCAGCCTGCAGGGCTCACAGCTCTCTGCCCTGCAACGATGCACGGTCGTATTCTCTCAGACTCGCCGCACGCTCTCGAGAGGAAAAAGACCCACGAGAGAGGAGGAGAACGACATGCGACTTGAGAGAACGGAAAGAGGACGAGGAGAGGTGCGAGGATCTCAGAATGCGAGAGAGAGTAAGGGGGCGCACACGATGCAGCAGGTACAACTGAGAATGTCTATGAGAGGCTGAGCTGAGAGGGGGAGAGTGCCAGACGAGGTGCGAGGCGCTAGAAATCGACGCCGAGGGCGAACCCGCCTGCGACGACGCCGACCCAGCCAACCCACGCCCTGCTCGCCGAGACGCGCCGCGACGACGACGACGACGACGAGCCATCGCCGGCGACGGTGGCGACCTGCTGACGAGTCGAGGCGGGAAGAGCGACGACGGGCGAGGTGGGCTGCGTGCCGAGTTGGCCGTTGCCGACCATGAGGTCGTGCCCGATCGAGGGGATGCCGTCGACGACGACGAAGCTGCGGGTCGAGGAACGAGAAGAAAGTGTCAGGTCGCGTGACAGAGAGGCGAGAGAAGGAGCGAAAGAGAGAGAGGCAGAGAGAGAGGGACGCACAGAACGGCAGGACCGGGAACGAAAAGCGCCGGGTTGGGCGGCAGCTGAGCGATGTGCAGCTTGACAGCGCCGTCGTTGCCGAGCGAGTACGAGTGCTCGAGCTCGAGAGCACGAGCGCCCATGTTCATGACGCTGCGGGCGACGTAGAGGAGTCAGTCGTGCGACGGAGAGACGCGACCTTCTCAAGTGAGGGAAGGAAGAGAAGGCAAGGAGGAAGACGCACTGCGTCGAGAAGCCGAAGCGCATGAGCATGATGCTGATGTCGCTGTCGAGGTTGGCGTCGCCGAGGGACGACGCAGGGAGGTCGAGGTCGAAGGGCGCGCCGCCGTACGTGATCGTCGAAGGGAGGCCGGTCGGCTCGGGCCGAGGGGCGTCGAAGTAGCTCTGCAAGGCTCGTAAGAGATGAGTCGAGCGTCTTTCGAGAGAGGTACGATAGAGAGCGAGAACGAGGCAGCGAGAGGGACGCACAGGGAAAAAGCGCTCGACGCGAAACTCGGTCCTGCGACGAGCAGAGTCAGTCCGTCGAGTCGCTTCTAGATACATATCGGAAGAGAGGAGGACGCACTTGAAGGGGTAGCTCGCGTTGTTCTCGGGCGTGATCACGTCGACGTTCGGGTTCGAGCCGCCGACCCAGATGGATCCGTCGTTGAGGAGGGTCGCGACAGAATGGTACATGCGCGGGCTCGTCGAGGCAGGCAGCGACGTGTCCCACATCGACCCAGGCGGCTGCGAGACGTTAAGGTAGGCGGGGCGGAGGACAGGCTCTTGGGCGTACTGCGAGAACAGGCGAAAGAGTCAGGGGGCTTCTCGGCGGCAAAGTCGGGCGACGAGAAGGAGGCGGGGACGCACACTCTGCCCGTACGGCTGCGCAAAGGCGTCCCAGCCGTAACCCTCGGAGCCCTTGCCCGCGCCGTTGAGCAGGAGGACCCTCTTGTCGGGAAGGACGATGAGGTTCCCCATCGACCTCGGCTCGGGCAGGTCGTCGAGGTCGGCGTAGGTCGGCGAGTCCTCGAGAGGCGAGATGGCGACCAAGGACGTAGATGTCGGCGTGTCGACGATGTTCCACTCGTTCTGGTTCCACTGCAGGAGGGGTCCGAGCGTCAGTCGAGGAGGCCCGGGCGTGCACGAAGCAGGGCACGAGAGAGTGAAGTAGAGGGCGAGAGGGAGGTAGGAAGATAGGGAGGACGAGAGAGGGCGAGACCGAGAGCGAGAGCGAGAGGAGGAAGAAGGGAGGAGGGAGGGAGGGAACCGAGGAAAGGGGAGACGCACATCGTCGCGCTCGGGCGTCATGCCGCCGGCAAAGATGATCGTCTGAACGTAGTTGTTGTGCGGGACCATGGGCAGCATGGCGGTGCCGGCGCCGGCCGGGTAGGGACTGCGCGCACGCGAAAGAGGTCAGGAAAGGCTTCTCGGGCGCCGACGACGGCAGAGGGGGACGCACCGCTGAGCGTGTGTCATGTTGGGCAGGCGCGTCTCGATGTTGTTGTCGTAGTCGAGCAGGGTCGTCTGCCAGCCGGCCTGGGTGCGAGGGAAGGAGGGTCAGTGAGGGCGACGCTGGGAGACGACCGAGGACCTCGCCGACGGGCGGCACACAAACGACGGGGAGAGAGGGGGGCTTCGAAAGATGACGCACTTGAAGGAAGAGACGGCCGTCGCTCATGAGCCACGTCAGAGGGTAAAGGTTGACCGGCATCGTCTCGTTCAGGAACGCGATGTTGACGGGCGCGCCCCTCGACGGCCAGTACTCGACGGTCGGGACGTTCTGCAGGCCTTGAGGCGTGTTGACGAAGCTGCCGTACAGCTCTGCGGGCAAAGAGAGAGGTCAGGACGAGGAGAAAGAAGAGAGGACGTCGCGACGAGAAGGGACGCACCGCCGCCGATGATGATTGCGTCGCCCGTCGGGAGCGTCTCGACTGTCGGGTACCAGCGACTCGCCGTCGGCATGGCGTTGACGTCGTCGGTCCACGGGCCCTCGCCGTCGCCGCAGGGCGTGAACATGCGCACGGCCTTGCCGCCGTCCTGCGAGCCGTACGGGTTGGGCGCGTTCTCGGCGACGCCGACGCCGAGCGTCGTGACGCGCGCATTGCCGCCGACGTTGACCCACGAGCCGTTGCCGAGGACATTCCCTGCCGCGCAGAAAGCGTTTGAAATGAGGTCCATGGGCGTGAACTCGTTCGAGCGCAGGTCGTAGCGACCGGCCCATGCCGGGTGGACGACGCCGCTCGCGGTCGTGACGTTGGCCGGGTTGTTCTCGACCTGCGAGAATAGAGGAGATGGGGCGGACCGAGGTTGATGAGGCGGGCGAAAGGGAGGAAGAGAAGGAGGACGAGGAGAAACAGGGGTCAGTGCGCGCTCTCCTTCCGCCTCCTCGTGACATCTCCAGGACGCACCTTGTCGACGATGTAGACATAGTCCTTGAGCTGTATACCAGGGCGCAGAGGGGGCGAGTCAGTCTCGGGACGTGAGTGAATGCGCATGGACTGGGACGCACCGCGAAGATCTGCTGGGGCGAGATGCCTGCGGGTGAAGAGAGGGCGACAGTCAGTACGGCTCCTCGTGTGGAACAGAGAGAGTGAGAGGCGAGAGGGACGCACCGGACGTTCCGACGATTGCCCACGAGTTGGCCTTTTGCGCGTCGACGAGGGTCGACAGGAGGAGCGGCGTGAAGAGCAGCAAGAGCAGCAGCATGGCGCACGAGCGACGGAGGGCGACGGCTCGAGTGCGAGTGGGAGAGAAGGAGACAGAGAGAAGCGGCGCGAAGCGAGAGCCGGACGAGAAGAAAGGCGGACCCGGCTCGGTCGCCGAGGAGGGACATCGCCGCGCTCGAACCCTTCTGCATTGCGCCGTCACTCCATCACCTGCACCGTCGCCGCACGGTACGTCTCGCTGTCGCGGTTGCGGAACAGGACGAGGCGCTCAAGTCCGGGCCTGTGGGCGCGAGGGAGGGGGAAAGAGGAGGGACGAGGTTGGGAAGGTCAGGTCGGTCGATGCGACGGCAGAGAGAAGGAGGACGAGAGGACGCACCTGCGCCGTGCGAGAGCGATGAGCCGGTACAACGAGACGACCGCGACGCCGCCACCGCAGCCCGTCGAGAGCGAAAAGCTGCCCGTCGTGATGCGGCCGATGACCTGGTCCGGCGACGGCGGGTCGCACAGCTGCAGAGGGTGGCGCCGAGTCAGTACTGCGACCTCGAGGTCGAGAAGGAGAGAGAGACACGGGGACGCACGTCCTCGGCGCCGTCGTACTCGCCCGTCGCTCGCGGCTCGGACCCCTTCTTGGCCGCGTCCATCTTGGCCTTGACCTCCTCGGCAGCCGCCTCGCCGACCTCGTAGACCATGCCGAGATCTTGCGGGACGCCTCGCACACAGGGAACGAGCTCGACGCGCACCATGGCGCGGCGCAGAAGCGAGTCGGGTCGAGAGGAGGGCGACGACGAGAGGGCGGCCCAGTCGGCGGTGAGGCGCTGCTCGAGCTGCTTGGCCCTCGCGCGAGGTGCAGGCGAGCCGTCCTCGTCCATCGCGTCGGCCGAGTCGGACGCGAGTGCGCGTGCCCGGGCGAGCAAGGCCTTGGCCAACGCCGGCGGGACGAAGAACGGCTCGCGCGCCTCCTCGCTCGCGCCCTCGCCCTCCTCCACCGCTGCCACCGCGGCCGAGCCCGTCCCGCGTCGCCACGCCAAGTCGAGCACCTCGCCCATCTCCATCCTCCACGGCCACCTCGTGCCGAGCTTGCCGTAGCTCGGCCTCTTCGCCGGCGGCCTCCTCTCCCAGTACCCGCGCTCATCGTCCTCCCTCCTGACCTCGTGCTCGGCAAAGCCCGGCGTCCCGACAAAGTCCTCGGGGAAACGCGCCGCGCCCGCCTCGTAGAACTGGTGCGACCGCTCGCGCAGGCCGCCGACGCGCGGCGTCGAGTAGACGAGCGACGCGAAGAAGGGCATGCCCCACCCGGACGGGACCGTGAGGGTCCAGCCGTGCAGGGTCGAGTCGGCGCCGGCGGGGCCGAGCGTGCGCTGCGAGAGGAGGACCGGGATGCGGTCGTCCTGCGCGATTGGGTCGAGGCGCGTGCCCGGGACGAGGTTGTGCGAGCGGCGGGCGTCGAGGTCGCGCTTCTTGTAGCGCGGCGTGTGGATCGAGGCGCGGTGAGGGCGGGACCAGAAGGAGGGGCAGGCGGCGATGTCGGCCGAGGGGACGAGCGGGTTGCTCGGGTCGAGGGTGGGCGAGTGCTTGTCGAGCTGCGGCGGGAACCTGCAGGCGAGAATGTCAGCTCGTACATCCTCAAGAATAAAGACGAGTAAGGCGAGGACGCACGAAAGACGAGGGTCGTACACCTCGAGCCCGAGGATCATGCCCGCAGGGACGCCGCCGGGTCCTGCCGCCGGGTCGAGCTTGCGCCAGGCCTGCGAGAGCGTAGATGTCAGGGGACGAGATGCGAGGGAGAAAGACGGAAGCGGGACGCACCTCCTTGGTCGTGTCGCTCGAGCCCTTGACCGGCTTGAGCACCGCCTTGACCACCTCGGTCGCCCTCCTGCCCGTCACCTCGAACGTCAGGAACTCGCCCTCGTACCGGTTGAGCGCAACCGACAGGCCGAGACGTAGGTCGCGCAGTACGTGGTCGATCGACAGGGCGGCCGAGCGCGCGACGGCCGGGTGGACGCGGACGAGCAAGGTGCGCCTCGGAGGAGGTGGCGGGGTGGAACTGGTCGAGGCGGTCGGCGCGTCGCTCGATGAAGGTACAGGCGCCCAGATGAAGGTGGCAGGGCCGAGAAGACCCTGAGGGTAGACCTGGGCGGCGTCGTAGACGTTGGTCGTGTACTCGCGCGAGCCGGTCGAGTAGCTGCGGGCGATGCTGCGTCAGTGGCGGCCCCCATGATCGTCAAGAGAGAGTGTGACGGACCGCTTGAATGTAGGCAGAGGCGCAGCCGGGTCGCACACGACTTGAAGCACCTTGTCGAGGTCCTCGACTGGGCCGACGAGCTCGAAGTACTGGTAGTAGCTCGCGTCGTGGACGAGCGCGCCGTGCTGCGACGCCCGGTACGACGCCCGAAAAGCTTTCGCCGTCGGCTTCTCGGCCTGCGGGAGAGGGGCGAGAGTCAGTCGGTGCTGGACGAGGGAGAAGGGCGAGGAGGAGGACGCACAAGACGGTGACCCCAGATCTCGGTCATGTGCATGCGCTTGGCGTGCCAGACGTGCGTCTCGAGCCAGAGCTTGTCCTCTGCAGGTGAGAAGAGGGTCAGGCGGGAGGGCACGGCGAGAGCGAGTGAGAGGCGGACGCACTCTGGCGGTTCTTGAACATCTCGGCCTTGAGGCCCGGGCGCGTTCTGTGCCGGCCGAGCATCTTCCTCGACACGCGCTTGGGCTTGGCCGCGTCCTTCGGGACCTGCAGGTGGGCAAGGAGAGTCAGTCCTGTCGTCGCAGGAGGAGGCGGTCGAGGGAAAGAGAGGGACGCACCTCGCCTCGCGCACGCTCTCGCAGGCGCAATGGCAGTCGGCGGATGTTGTGGCTCGCCGCACGCCGCCGTAGGTGTCGTGGTAGCGACTGGAAGGCGCGCTGCGTCCCGGCCTCCCTGCAAGATGTCGAGAGGAGCGAGGTCAGCTCGGCGGTGGGCGGAGAGGGAGAGAGGTGAGGGAGAGGACGCACTTGGCCGACTTCATGGCGCGTTTCATGGCGGCGATCTCGAACACTCGAGCCTATTGCGCATGGCCAAGGTCAGCTCGCGGCGTGCGAGAGAGGGAGACCTGATGAGGACGGGACGAACTTGGGCGAACTTCTCGACCTCGAGGACGGCGGGCAGGCCAGTGTTGCCTGCAAGTACACTGTCAGTATCGCTCGAGAGCTCAGACAGCGAGAACAGGACGCACCGCTGCCTGCCGACCCGCCCCTCTTTCCCTCGTGCTGCTGGACCGAGATGTTGCGCTGGTCCCGCATGCGCTGGCGCTTGATCTGCGCGCCGGTCGGCGTAGCGTCTGTCGATGGTCGTTTTGGTGGCATCGTGCGCTGTCGACGGGCGGTTTGAGGCGGTCGAGCTGAAGAGGCGGTGCCGAAACGGAAGCTCCTCCTCGCGCCCCCTCACAGACGAGGCGTCTCGCTTCAGCTCCTCGACCTTTGGCTCGATGAAGCAGCAGCTGCTGTCAAAACGTGCTCTCGGTCGGCGGGAGCCTTTCCAAGGGGCAAAAGGAGGGGAGCTAGCCTCCCTGCTCTCCTCGAGAGCGGGTCAAGGACGCTCTGCAGCCGCTCTCGACAGGCCGACAAGGGTGTGGAATAGATACAGTACAGGCAGGGGATGCGTCTAGGTGGCAGGATATGCGTACTAAAAGGGGAGCGGTCCGCGCCGTCAGGAAGACGAGTCCTTCTTCTGGAACGCCGCAAAGACTGTGCGGGCGCAGAGATGACGGTCAGGAACATGCAGCGACGAGAGAGAGAAGAGGAATGAGGACGCACTGAGGCTGTAGCCGTCGAACGAGTAGAGGATGCGGTCGACGCGCTCGTACCGCGCCTCGAGGTGCGGGTTGAGGAGCTGGCGCATGCCCTCGTGCGCGCGCGCGTTCTTCTCGATCCCGGCGTCGTCCTCGTCCTCGTCGCTGACAAAGAGCGTGATGCACATCTTGGCCGGCTCAAAGATGTGGAGCACCTTCTCGACGAGGTCCTGGAGCGACTCGCTCGTGCGCTTGACGGCCTCGCGCGTCTCGAGGCCGCGGTCGGCGTCGGCGCCGAGCCCGGCAAAGTCAAAGTTGCACTCGAACGAGGCGTACGAGTAGGCCTCCTCGGGCGTGACGTGCACGGTCGCGTACCGGTCGCCGCGCACGGCGTTCTGCGAGAAGCCGCACGGCGCAAACAGGAACGAGTCGATCGTCGCGCCGTCGAGGATGGCCGACAGGCCGAGGTCGTCCGACAGCTTGGCGCCGAGCGCGTGCGCGTCGCCGCCGTCGGCCACGACGGGCTCGGCCGGGTACGACGTGTACGGCGCCGTGTCGGACGACGGGTGGTAGAACTTGCGGCACGCAGCGGGCGACAGCTGGGTCATGAGGATCTCGAGCGTCTGGTCGGGACGCGAGGGGACGAGGCGAGGCGCGACGTGTCGCCGCGGCGGGAAGGCGGACGGGGTCGTGTCGAGCGACGCCGAGAGGGTCGAGAGCTGCGTGTCGTGCTTGGCGGGAGGGAGCGCGCGCGACGACTCGAGGGCGTGCGGGAGGAGGACGTCGTCCGACGGCGGCGTGATGTACAGGAGCCAGTGGTCGCCGTTCATGCGGCCGACCGTGTAGGCCGAGCTGTTCTCGAACAGCTTGTCGAGGAAGCTCATCTCGGCGGTCCAGTCCTTGTGCGGGCCGCGCTGCCGCTCGGGGAACATGAACGTCTTGCGCGAGTAGAAGCACCGCCACACGCCCTTGAAGCCGCACGTCTCGGATGCGATGCGGAGGAGGGTGGGGATGCCGAGGAGGAGGGTCGTCGTGCCGCACGTCTTGAGGATGAGCTTGTGCGGCCACACGAACATGGACGACTCGCTGCGCACGGGTGTGCGACCTGAGTCAGCGGGTGGTCTGAGAGAGGAGCACGGGGAGGGCAGTGGGGGAGAGGGAAGAGGATCGGGCGCGACGGACCTGAGGAGGTAGGCGTCGACCTCGTCGCCCTCGATGACGCTGAGCACCTTGCAGCACACCTCGTCGAGCATGCTGTCCCACACGCTCTTCTCGACCTGGCGCAGGCCGTTCCAGCGCTCCTTGCCCTTGCGACCGCCCTTGAGCGGGAGGTTGCGCGCGACGACGTCCTCCTCCGACGGGGCGAACCAGATCTCGAGGAGCTTCTCCGGGCCTGTGGGTGCGAAGGGTCAGCTCGTCCGTCTCGAGCGAGACCAGTAGATGCAGTGCGGCAGCTCACCCTCGAAAGGCCCGGGCGACGAGTCGTCGACGACGGTGACGGCGGCGTCGAGAGCAGTGGCGGCCATGTTGTGCGCACAGGTGAGCTGCTTGAACGGCGGTCGAGCTAGTCTGCGCGTTCGCAAGAGGGAGTGCAGGTGAGCAGGAGCTCGCTCAAGAAGGTGAGGGGGCGAGACGAGCTCACCGATGATCGAAGTAGCCGGCGACTCGGCGCGGGCGGTGGACAGGTAGCTGAGCTCGGCGGGAGAGCTAGCGAGCTGGACCTGGGCTGGATCTGCTGGTTGTACGAGCGAGACGAGCGGCGGTAAGTTCAACCGGGCGGTGCGCTCGCTCACCGGATCAAGCCAGCTCTCTCGAGCCGCCCTGCCTCGCAACTCGCCAGAGAGTTGGTCTGGCACCTGCCTGCTGTCCCTGCGCGGCTCCTGCGCTGCAGCACTGCGCTAGAGCGAGCCCCTCGCGGTAGACTCGCTCCCACCTTTGCCTTCTCTCGGCAGCGCTGCCGCGGCCTGTCAAGCTCCTCAACCAGCGCGCGCTTCGTCCGCGTACTCTGCGTGGGCACGTAGTGCGATACAGCTCGACCAGACGCCGAGGCGAGCGAGCGAGAGAGAGGGTGAATCTGCTCTTTCTCCTCCTCTCGCCGCCGTCCTCGCTGCGAGAAGCTTTGCGACCGGCTTTTGCGGGCAAAGTGCGCGCACCGAGGCCAGCGCAGCGCTCGTACGAGACCAAGCTTGACAAAGAGCAGGCAGTTCGAGCCGTTGAGGTTGAGCGCGTTGGGCGCACGGCCCTCGCTCGAGCGCGCCGAGTTTCGCGCGGGGCGGGCCTCGCTCCCTCTCTTTCCTTCCGTCCCACCACTTGCCCTCGCCGCTTTCTCACCCGAGTCGCCTCTACGGCACCTGCACGCGCGTCACTCGCTCTCTCGACCTCTCGACCACCCTCCCTGGCCCCGGTCGCCCCTCGCCCAACATGCGCCTCGTCCCGCTCGTCCTCGGCGCGCTCGCCTCGCTCGCCACCCACGCCCTCGTCCTCGACCTCGCCGCAGACGCGTCCGCCGTCCAGGACGCCCTCGCCACGCCCTACGACTACATCGTCGTCGGTGGTGGAACAGGTGCGCTCGCTCGCTCGCGTCCACCGCGTCTCTTCCCCGCCTCTCGCAGCAGCATCTGACATCCACTCCTGCCCACAGCCGGTCTCGCCGTCGCGTCTCGTCTCGGCGCTGGCGACTCGAGCAGCACGGTGCTCGTGCTCGAGGCCGGCGGCAACGGCCAGGGCGACCCCCGCGTCGATATCCCGGGATTTGCGGGTGCGCCCTCGCTCTGCCTTTCTAAGCCTCTTCCCCTTCGGTCGTGGCACCTATTGACCCTCCTCATGTCTCTCGCAGGTGCGGCGCTCGGCACGCAGTTTGACTGGGGCTTTTCGACCACATCGCAGAGCAACGCCAACGGTCGCTCGGTCTACTGGCCTCGCGGTGCGTCCCCTCGCGCCCTCCTTCCTCGTGTCGACATACTTACTCGACCCTCGTGCGCGCAGGCAAGGTCCTCGGCGGCTCGTCGGCCATCAACTTCCTCGTCTCGACTCGCCCGAACGCCGCCGAGCAGGACATCTGGGCCAACCTTGCCGGCAGCTCGGCGTGGACCTGGAACTCGCTCCTGCCGTACTACAAGGCTGTGCGTGTTCCTCTCTCTCTCTCTCTCTTTCGTCGCGGACGAGTCGGACTGTCGCAGCAGGACCCAGTACTGACGAACCTCCTCGTCGTCCCTCGCTCTTTCCCCCCCCTCGCAGGCCGAGAAGGGTTCGTCGCCCGGGTCCAACTCGCAGGCTCAAGTTCCGACCTGGGCCGCCGCCTCGCACGGCACGTCGGGCCCGATCAAGACGTCGTTCGCCCCGTACATGGCCAGCTCGTTCGCGGCCTTCTTCAAAGCCCTCCGCGCTCGCGGCAAGCCCGCCGCCACCGACCTGCACTCGGGCGCCAATGCCGGCGTCAACCACGCGCCGTCGACTATCGACCCGTCGACGCACACGCGGTCCTACTCGGTCGCGTACCGTGCGTCCTCCTCTCGCTCCCTCTCTCTCCTGTCGCTCCTCCTGCCACGAGGCCGACTCGTTCCCCTCGCCCACAGTTGCTCTCGCCTCGAACGTGGTCGTCGTCGTCAACGCGCAGGTGACGCAGATCGACTGGCGGGCGGGCACGACCGGTGACGTGGTCGCCGACGGCGTCTCGTTCGTCCCGACTGGCGGCGGCGACACTCTGAGCGTCGTGCGTCCCACCTTCCCTGCTCCTCGTCAAGTCTCTCGCCTGACGCTCATGTTATACAGACGGCAACTCGCGAGGTCATCCTGTCGGCCGGCGCGGTCCAGTCGCCGCAACTTCTCGAGCTCTCGGGCGTGGGCGCCCCGTCGATCCTCAACCCGCTCGGCATCTCGACCGTCGTCGACCTTGCAGGCGTCGGCGAGAACCTGCAGGACCACCCGGAGATCGTCGACGTGTACCGCCTCAAGCCGGGCATCCCGTCGCTCGACCAGCTCTCGGACGCGACCGTCATGGGCGACGCCCTCGCGCAGTACTCGACGGGCCAGGGCATTCTCACCGAGGCGCTGTACCCGCTCGCGTTCCTCCGGCTCGGCGACTTCCTCACCTCGACCGAGCGCGCCGTCGTGTCGACCCTCGGCAGCCAGGCCAACAACCCGCAGCTCAACAGCCGCCAGTTCTCGGCCAGCTCGCAGATGTACTCGGCCAACGTCCCCGTCATGGAACTCCTGTCGATCAACGTCTACGTGCGTCCACCGTTTACTCTCGCTCTCTCTCACGAAAGCCCGAAATTGACGTCGCCTTCCTCGACGACGCAGTTTGGCGACTCGTTGGCCGAGCCAGGTCAGGCCTACGTCTCGCTCGCCGGGGGCCTCCAGCACTCGCTCAGTCGTGGCAGCATCGTGCGTCCCCTCTCGCTCCACGTCGTGTGCCGCTCGGGCCCCGCTCACCGTCGTCCACCCTCGCCCGCAGCACATCGCCTCGTCGAACCCGCTCTCGCCACCCGTCATCGACCCCAAGTACCTCCAGTCGCCGCTCGACACGTACCTGCTCGCCAAGGCCGGCGCCTACCTGCGCAAGACGGCCGCCCAGGCCAAGCTCGCCGCCGTCGTCGCGAGCGAGAAGGAGCCCGGCCTCGCCGTCCAGAGCGACGACGACTGGATGACGTGGGTCCGCAGCACGGTGCGCACCGAGTACGTCCTGCCTCTCTCTCTCTCTCTCTCGCGGTGCCGAAGCCGAGACCGCCGTCGAGAGCGAGCCCTGACTCTTTGTGTCGCGCAGGTACCACCCCACCCGGTCGGGACGTGCTCGATGCAGCCGCGTCAGTACGGCGGCGTCGTCTCGCCGTCGCTCAAGGTGTACGGCACGGCCAACGTGCGCGTCGTTGACGTCTCGGTCGTCCCGATCCACGTCTCGTCGCACACCCAGTCGGTCGCCTGTGCGTCCCCCTCTCGCTCTCTTCTCTTTCGTTCGGCAGCCTCGTCGAGGATACTGACTCTTGCCCTCACCCTCGCAGACGCGATCGCCGAGAAGGCGGCGGCGCTCATCCTCGCCGGGCAGTAAGCGTCCTCGAGTTGTCGACCTTTCCCCTTCCCCCTTCCTCTCCCTCCCCTCTCGCTTTCACGACCCCCTCGCACGATTTGTCCCCTCACGACCCGCCTTTGTCCAGCTTCTCTCCCTCTCGTAGTACCCCCCTCGTCACGTTCTGAGAACGAGATGCGCCGCCTGGTTGCGCGCTTTGACCGCTTCTTTCTCGCATTTCTCGAGCGGGCACGATCGAGAGCAAGCTCTTCTCTCGAGCACAGCGAGCCGAGAGTGTGCAAAACCGCTCTACGTTGCACAAAGAGCGAGAGCGCCATCTAGCCGAGCTTGACCGACTTGACGGTCGCCCTCGAGATGCCGCTCTTCTCGCCCTCGTACCCAGTCCTCGCCTCGCCGCCGCCGTACGTCGCCTGCATGCTGCGCAGCTTCTTCTTCTTGTCGTCGTACTGGCGGCGCTTCTTGACGCGCGCGTTGCGGTTCTCCTTCTTGCGCTTGGGCGTCAGGCCCTTGTTGGCCAGGATCATGCGCGACGCGCCGCGAGGACCGTCGACGGACGACGCGGCGAGCGCCTCGATCTCGGCCCTGTTGGATGGAGAGGAGACGACGGTCAGTGATGCTCGGTGAGAGAACGAGAGAGAGAGAGAGAGAGAGAGAGAGAGAGAGAGAGAGAGAGAGAGAGAGAGAGAGAGAGAGGGGACGCACTTCTCGGCCGCGCGCTCGTCGTCGTACTTGGCCTTCTTGGCCCGCCTGCCCTCGTCCTTCTCAGCCGCGACGAGGTCGTAGTAGTCGTCGTCGGCGTCCCCCCCACCACCGCCCTCGTCGTCTCCCGCCTCGTCGCCCCGCACGGCCTTTGCCGCCCTCCTGTCCTCCTCGTCAAACTCGCCCTCGTCGAGCGCCGCGCGCTCCTTGGCGTCCTTTGCCGCGCCGTGCTCCTGGCGCTTGAGGACCTCGCGCCTGGCCTGCTCCTTGCTCCGTCGCGGCACGTCGTCGTCGCCCTCGAGGCCCGTGCGGCGCTTCTCGCGCTTGGCCGCTTTTTGCGCCACTTGGGACACGTGGAACCGCAGCGTGTGGCGCGACGAGGCCTTGTCGGCGCGGTCGGACGCCGAGAGCGCGAGTGGGTCGAGGAGGTCCGAGGCGGCCGAGGCGGCGCGGGAGGAGGACGAGGGACGGGGTGCGGCGGCGGAGGAGGAGGAGGAGGAGGGGGAGGGCTTGGTGCGCGCGAGGGGCGCGAGCGCGGGCACGACGCCGACGCTGCTGCTGCTGCTGCCCTTGCCCTTGCCGAGGCGCTTGGCCTCCTTCTTGGCCCGGCGCGCCGCCTCGATGCGCGCGCGCTCCTCGTCCTCCTCGCTGTCCTCCTCCTCCTCCTCCCCCAGCTCCTCGAGCATCTCGTCGTCCTCGTCGCCCTCGCCCTCGCCCTCGCCCGCAACAGGCACGCCCTTCTCAGCCTGCTTGGCGCGCACGCGCGCCATGAGCTCGGCGGCGCCGTCGCCCGGCCCGAGCTCGCCCATGATGGCCTCGAGCTCGTCGTCGTCGAGGCCGGCGAGCATCGAGTCGGTCACCTCGTCCTCGTCGTCGTCCTCGTCGCCGCTCCCCTCCTCCTCGTCGTCGTCCGAGCCCGAGCCCGCGGCGCCGAGCGACGCGTGGAAGTCCATGGCCTCGCTCGCGAGCATGTCGCGGCGGCGGCCGACGCTCGGCGCGCTCACCTCGCCGTCCTCGTCCTCGAGCTCCTCGTCCTCGGCCTCGTCGTCCTCGTCGGCGCCGTAGGTCGTGCTCGTGAGGTCGAGCTCCTCCATGGTGGCCAGGCGCTCGCGGAGCGACGACAGGCGCGCGAGGACCTTTTCAACGAGGGCGGCGGGAGGTGGGGTCGGCGCGAGGAGGAGCGAGAAGTAGAAGGCGAGGGTCGGGAGGTAGGTCGTGAGGGCCTCTGTATACGTGGAAGCGTTGGTCGATACGCCCGAGAGAGAGAGAGGGAGAGAAGGAAAGAGAGCGAGGACGCACGGTGCTCGAGCTCCATGATGGCCAACGCCGGGTGCTCACCGCCCTTGCCGTCGCCCTTGCGCACGACCTCGAGGTCGCTCGCGACCTGGCGCACCTTTGACGCCGTCAGGACAAAGTCGTCGACGAGCGCGAGCGTCTCGGGCTGCGTCTGGAGCAGGTGCGCGATGGCCTCGGCCTCGCCCAACTGCGACGCGTCGACGACGGCGGCGGCGCCGTCGCCAGCCTGCGCCGCCTTGCCCTGCGCCGCCGCCGCCGCCGCCGGCTCGTCGACGTCGTCATCGAGCACGAGCCGCTCATCTCCCCTCGCGCCGCCGGCCGCGCCCTCGTCCTCGTCCTCGTCGTCGAACCCGAAGTCGGCGCCGCTCATGCGCTCCCTGGCGCGCTTCTGGAGCCGGCGCGCCTCTTGCTCCTCGAGCTCGAGCGCCTCGTCGTCCTCCGAGTCGGCCTCGCCCGGCGCGCGGCGGCTCACGTGGTAGTGACCCGCCGCCCAGCGGTCCTCGTCGTCCGAGTCGTCCGAGTCGGACGCGGCGCTCTTCTTGCCCTTGCGCCGGGACGAGGTCTCGTCGTCCGACGACAGGGTCGACTCGAGCTGGGCCGTGTCGAGCGCTTCGGCGCCGGCGTCGTCGTCGTCGTCAGAGCCCGACTCGTCGGACGAGGGGAAGACGACGTCCTGCTTGGGGTCGACTTGGTGGCCGTAGCGGCCCTTGGTCTTGTCGTCGCGGTCGGGCCGCTTGTAGTCCTTGCGGGGGCGCTTGGCCGGCAGCTCGTCGTCGTCGTCGTCGTCGGCGAGGTCGACCTGGTCGTCGTTGTCCGAGTCGGACGCCGAGGGGAGGTCGAGGTCGTAGACCGTGTCGGGGATGTCGAGGGCGTCGTCGTCACCGTTGGGATTGGTGCGCGAGTGCGAGAGTCCGTCGTCGAGGAGCATCTTGTCGCGGTTGAGGTGGACTGTGGCGGTGCAAGGGGGGGAGAGTGAGCTCGGCGGGCGTGAACGGGCGAGGAGAGGGAGAGAGCGAGGCGGCGAGAGTGAGGTTGGGACGCACACTGGTCCTCGTCGCCGTCCATGACCGAGTCGTACGTGTCGTAGTGGTGCGAGTTGCGGCTCTTGCGCGGGTCAAAGGCCTGCTCGTGTTGGATGGCTTTGGCGCGGTACTGAGTGGCCTTGCGGGCGCCGGTCTGCTTTGGGCGGGCCATGGCGGGCGCGGTCAGGGGCTGGTGGAGAGCCCTGAGTGGTGGAAGAGCGCAGGCAAGCGAGAGCCGGGGCGAGGTGGAGCGCGACAGTGAGCTCGGGTCGGACACCGGGGGGGAGGAGAGATGGCAGCTCACCAGCCTCCTCTCTCGAGTCTGTACCAGCTGCGAGACTACACGCACAGCCATGCCTCTCACCCGCTCGGCCATCCACCGCCTCCACCTCGAACAATCCGCCTCGCCTGCGCCCGTCTCGACCACCACCTCGGCGCCCCTCGACGAGTCCATCTCGTCCACCCTCGTCTCAGACGACCGCACCCCGGGCCCAGACCCCTCCACCTCGTCTGCCTCGTCCAGCTCGAGCGACGGCGACTCGGACTCGAGCGACGACGACTCGGACGACGACGACGACGACGCCCCCGCCGCCGACCCGACCGCCCACCTCTCGGCCCTCCTCGCCCGCGCAAAGGACGCCGCCCGCGCCCGTGACGCCCACCTCAAGGCCGCGCACGACAAGCGCCGAGGCGCCGCAGGCGACGGCCTCGCTGGCAACGACGAGCTCGTCCTCTTTGCCGACGACGGCGACGACGACGACGACGAGAGCGGCAGCGATGGCGAGCGGCAGCGCCGCGACAGGGACGACAGGTGCGTCGTGCTCCCTCTTCAGTGTCGGCGCGAGCGTACTGACCCAGCCACTCGTCGTCGCGCAGCTCGACCCCTCGCGCTTCGACCTCTCGCGCCCTCCCTCCTTCCCTCGCACGGCCCCTCTCGCGCTCCCACCCGCTCCTCTCGTCCCTCCCCACCCGCCGCACCGCTCCCTCCTCCGCTGCGACCAGCGCCGGCGTAGGCGCCCACGTGCAAGCCCGCTCGGGCGGCATCTCGCTCGCGCAGGACGTCGGCGGCGCCCTGTCGGACGTCGGCGCGACGCGCGTCGTGCGCAAGGGCGCTGTCGTCGTCGATGGCGAGGGGAGGGGCAAGGGCAAGGCGAGGGAGGTCGAGGACCGGTGGGGCCAGGCCCCGCTGCCGCAGTTGTCCAAGAAGCAGCTCAAGGCCGTGCGTCCCTCTCTCCTGCGCGCTCTCCCCAGTCACACAAACTGACCTGGCGTCCCTCGTCTCTGTGCGCAGAAGCAGCCCCACACGGCCGGCGCCGCCTGGTTCGACATGCCCGCGACGCCCATGACGCCGCAGCTCAAGCGCGAGCTCGACGCGCTCCGGCTCAGCGCCGCCCTCGACCCCAAGCGCTTCCTGCGCGGCGGCGCCAAGCGCGACAAGGTCGGCGAGTTTTTCCAGGTCGGTCACGTCGTCGCGCCCTCGACGCGCGCGACGACGGCGAGCACCGCACCGAGGGTCCACAAGCGCGGGTTCGTCGAGGAGCTCGTCGAGAGCGAGGAGGCACAGGCCTATGCGCGCAAAAAGACAAAGGAGGTGCTCGCAAAGACGATGAGCGGGCGCAAGCGGCAGCGCAAGGGTTACAAGGGCTCGGCCGGCAACGGCGGCGCGAGGAAGTAGTTCGCTCGCTCCGGGCCGGCTGCACTTTATCGGTGCCTCGAGTCCGAGTAAGCGCGAGAGCGAGAGAGACGAGAGAGCTGAATGTCGAGAGCCGGCGAGGCGAGAAAAGAGAGAAAGAGAGTGTCGACGAGGCACCGCTCGGACCTCCTGTCGCTCCTCCCTTGTTCTCTCGCTCCTCGCACTCGAGCACGCACGCACGACGACTCGAGGAACGACACCAACAACGTTGCACCTGACCCTCCTTGCCCGGTCTCTCGCCCTCGCTCTCGCGCGTCCCTGCTCACGCGTAGAGCTCGAACGGCCTCGCCCATCCGTCGACGGCGAGCAGGTCGGTCCCTCGCCCGTCGCACCCTGCGACCGGACACGTCGTCCAGTCCTCCTCGACGCCCGTCTCGTCGGCCCGGCTGCGCGCCTTGCCCTTGCCCTTGCCCTTGCCCTTGCTCTTGGCCGCCGCCGCCGTGCTGCTGCTCGTCTTGGTGCGGGTCGACGTCGAGGGCGGGTAGTCGTCGTCGTCCGAGTCGGCGCCGACGGTCGCGTCCGAGTCGGACGCGAGGTCGAGCGGCTCGTCGGCTTGCGCTCGAGCCTTGCCCTTGCCCTTCTTGCTCGTCGACGCCTTGGCCCGGCCCTTGCCCTTGCCCTTCGACCCCGCCGCCGACTCTGCTGCTGCCGCGCTCGCCTTGCCCGCCTCGGCGTCGGCGATGGCCTGGCACCTGGCCTTGGCCTCGTCGAGGCAGCGCGCACACACGGCGTGGCCGCACCGCAGCGCAAACACCTTGCGCGGGCCCTCGCCGCCGAGCCGCAACGTCTCGAGGCAGCTCGCGCACACGGGCTCGAGCTCGACCGGCGGCGGGCGGGCGGCGGCGGCGCGCTTGGTCTTCTTGGCCGGCGGCGGGGCCGCGTCCGGGTCGGGCGGCTCGACAATGTCGCGCGAGAAGCCCGACTCGACCTTGTCCGGGTGGCTCAGCTTGAGCGCGTACTTCTTGCTCGCCGCCTTGACCTTGGCCGCGCCGCCCCATCCTCCCGGCGGCCCACCGCCGCCGCCGAACGTGAACATGCCGCCGCCGTACGAATACGACGGCAAGTCGGCCCACGAGCCCACAAGGCGCATGGTGTCGAGGATCTCGCGCGCGCCTTGGCTGCCGCCGAGCCCGCCCGACGCGCTGAAGAAGCCCCAACCGTTGCGCGCGGCGAGAGCCTCGGCGGCGTCCGCAGCCGACGACGCCGCGCCGAACGAGAAGCTGCGCCCTGCGGCAGCGCCACCGCGGCCAGAGCGCCCGGGCCCGCTCGAGCTGCCGCCGAACGAGAACGGGCTCGGCGCGCCGCCGCCGCCGGCCGTGGACCGCTCTGACGCACGGCGCGCCTGGGCGTACGCGAGCGCCTGCGCTGCGACGTAGTCGATCGAGTTGTCGCCGACTCGCCCGGCAGCGTCGAGGTCGGCTGCGGCGAGCGCGCGGGCCGTGGCGGCGTCGAGGTCGTCGGTGCCGGCCGCGCCCGAGCCCAAGGCCGAGCCCGACGCGGGCCCATGCCGCCTCGCCGAGCGGCGCACGCGCGTCGCGCCGGTCGGGACGACGAACGGCGGCGGCGAGCCGAGGACGTCGTTGAAGCCGGGCTGGCGCGCGGGTGGACCGGGACGGACGGGCCCGACCGAGAGGATCTCGACGTCCGAGTCCGAGTCGGTGTCGGCGACGAGGACGGCGCCCGACGCTGATGTCGAGGGACCGGCACGCGAGGGGCGTGACGGCCCGGCGGTCGGCCCGCCTGTGTGGCGCGGCGCAGGAGGCTCGTAGTCCGAGTCGGACGACTCGGACCCGGACGAGAGCGTGACGGCGCCTCCTGCTGCGGCGCTGGTACTGGCGCTCGGCGCACCGAAGCTGAAGGCGACTCGCCGCCCAGGGCGAGCGTCGGCGCTGGTCGACGCGACGGCGGGCGAGCCCGATGCACGGTCGGCGGCGGGCGCGGGCGCACCGGGCAGGACGAGCCCTGCGGCGACGGCTGCAGCCGGCAGGGCACGTCGTCGAGCAGAGGCGGGCGGCGACGACGACGTGAGGTCGAGGACGCCGCTGGACCGAGGGCCGGGACCCGCTCGAGAGGGCCCGGCCTCGCTCGAGGGCCCGACGGTCGACGAGCTGCGGCTGCGCTCGCGAGGCGCGACGCGCTCCGCCGACGAGTTCGAGCTCGAGCCCGAGGCGGACGGCGTGGGGAGGGCGAGACGTGCGGCGGCGCCGGCGTACGCCGAGAAGCCGCCCGGGTCGGCGCCTAGCGGCGGAGCTGGGTTGGCGGCGGTGGTTGGCGGTGCTGGGGGCTGCATGCTCGACTGCGCGCCGGTCTGGCGAGCGCTCGAGTCGGTCGAGAAGCTGGAAGAGGAGGGTTTGTGGCGAGACGAGGTGGGGTCGGTAGGCGTGGCGGAGGATGAGGTGCGCGCGAGGGTGGACATGCCGTGGGCGCAAGGGCTGTCGCGCAGGGCATCATGTCAGTCCTGTAGAGGCTTTGTCGAGCTGGGCCAAGGGGACGAGCGTGCTCACCCTGTCAGCACGGCTTGGTGGGCTCCCGGTTGAGCGAGCCCGACAGGCCAGGAGAGAGAGTCGACGGCTTGAGGCAACGACGGCTGGAGGCTGCACAGGCGTGTTCGTGCAGGTCAGTACATGGCTTCTGTGCCGTTTGGGCCCATCTCTGCTTGCCAGTGAGCGCGAGCGCTGGGCGGGCGCGCCACAGCTGGCCTCCGGGAGAGACGGCCCTTGTCTGTGGGAGGTCGCGACACAGAGAGGGGGGCGACGCACTTGATCGGGGTAGGCGAGCGAGCCGCTGTAGCTCCTCGGGTGTCGGGCGAGGGACGAGGGTGAGGTCGGGGTCGGTGATGCTGATGAGCGAGCCTGGCGGCCGTCGTCGACTGGCGGGACAGGGCGGGTGCGCCTCGCGGTTGGTACGAGGCACTTGCTGCAGTCGAGCGCGGTCGCAGAGGCGCTCGAGGTGCGTGAGCGACGTGGTGTCCCGGGAGAGCTACGTCGCACCTCCTCCGCTCCCTCGCCGTCGTCCAACCTCGAGCCGTCTGTTGAATAAAATCGGCGATGCGCTCTGCTGGCCAGCGAAGGCTCTCTGAGAGTATTCGGGCGAGTGCGCAAGCTCTCTGGGCTGTCTTTCGTTTTCCTCGTCCTCCCGGACGCTGCCGCAGCGTGACCCCTCGCCGCTCTCCGCCCTCGCGCACTCGCGCTCTCTGACGATACGACATACAGACTGGTCGGGGACATTCGTCGCAGTAGGTCGGCTCGAAAAGATCAAGGCGCGTCGTTCATGGCGGGCGAGGTCGAGAAAAGGGAGGGGAAGGGCATCTCGGGCGTCGGCTGCAACCTGCGGGATCGAGGTGCGTCAGTGCAGGCGCTCGTCAAGCTCGTGAGGTGGTACGACGAGGTCGACGTCGGTCATGAATCGTCCTGCGACGGCAGGGCTGCGCGGCGAGGCCGAGAGGGAGGGGGCAGGAGCGCTCGGGCGCGCCGGCACCGATGTGCAGACCGAGGCGTGGGACAGGGAGGAAGATGGGACGCACCAGTTGTCGTCGAGCCACTCGGCCGAGCCCTCGATGCAGTGGAACGTGTAGATGAACCGCGACTTGCTGCTCAGGTTCTTCTCGCTCCGGTGAATGACCGCGCCGTGGATGAGGACGAGATCTGCGTCGTGTCGAGAGGATCGTCAGTGCACGTCAAGGCGAGTCGACACATAGGAGGAGGAAGAGAAGGGCGAGGACGCACCGCCAGCCGAGCAAGGCGCCGCCACCCAGTTGACGTCCTCCTGGTCCCAGTCCACCTTTGGCTCGTCCTCCATGCCGGGCACCGTGACGAGCTCCGTCCCGCCTCCCGGAGCCCGCACGAGCCGTTTCGTCACCTTGGCGTTGACCTTGTGGCTGCCCGGCACAAACGACAGGCAGCCGTTCTCGGGCGTGCAGTCCTCGAGCGCGAACCACAGGCCCATGGCGGTGCTCGGTCGCGTGGTCAAGAACGTCTGGTCGTCGTGCGAGCCGACCTTGCCGCCGACCTCGCGCTGCTTGCAGATGCTGCCGGGAGAGACGAGGGTGAGCGACTGCCGTCGGGGACTCGAGGAGGCGAGAGGACGCGGGACGCACACCATCGACTGGATGACCTTTGGGTCCTCGTGGAAGCCGAGGTCGCGCACGAGGTTCTTGACGTCGTCGGAGAAGGTGAACGCGCGAAAGTCGGGGTCGAGCATGGCGAGCGCGTGCCCGATCTTGTTCACCGAGAGCTCTTTAGGGCGGTTGAGCTGCCCGTCGGGCCCGAACGCGGCCGGTTCGAAAAATAACCGGACCTTGTCGCCCGACTCGAGGAAGTAGGCGTCGCCGACGTGCTTCTTGGACGACGCCTCGGCCGTACCGACGAACTGGGTCATGGGATGGTCGGCCTGCGAGACAGGGTGGGGACGAGAGACGGTCAGTTCACCGAGGAGCAGGGAGGGAGGCGGGCGTATGGGAGGAGAAGGGGCGTGGATGAGGGGGAGGGGGCGTGGAGGGACGAGGAGGGAAGAGGAGAAGGGGCGTGGATGAGGGGAAAGGGGCGTGGACGGACGAGGAGGGAAGAGGAGAGGGGAGGGAAGGAGGGGAGGAGGACGCACAATGTCGAACTCGCGCAACAAGCGCTGGCTCGTCTCGAGCAGCTTGCCAGCCTGCGTCTTGGTGAAGAAGTCGCGAATGACGAGGTACCCATCCGCCTCGAACTGCGGGAGGACGAGTTTAGTTCGAGTCGGGTTGAGGAGGTGGGGGTGAGGGTCAAGGTGCGACGGGGGGTCTCCAGCGTGCCGCCACGGACACGCACGGCCCATGCAAGAGTCTGTCCACCCTCCCAGCCACTGCGCAAGCCGCCTCAGCGTGTAGACGCTGCCCTGCGTCCTCATCACCTCTCGCGGCAGAAGGGAGACGAGGGAGGACAACGGGGGAACGAGAGAGGACGCGGGGCGCACCTGGCTCTTCTGAGCATCGGTGAGCTGGAACGACATGTCGGCGTGCAGTGCTGAGCGGTGTGAGGGCGAGATAGCGAGCGAGGCGAGGTTCAAGGCGGTCGCCTCGGCCGAGCCCGAGTGAGCGAGTTCCATACGCTCGGCTCGTGGACGCTCAGGCGCGTAGCTATGCACAGTCGACACGGTCATGCGCTGGACGGGCAAGTCTCTGCCAACCGTGAAGTGCGGAAACGCAGCGCGAGCAGGAGGCTCGAGAGCGGCTCTTCTCTCGCTTGCTGGCGACGCCGCGTGTAGTTGGACACGGCTCGAGGACTCGGCGTTCCAGCGTCCGTCGTCGACACGAACACCCGCCGCGCGTGCGCCCTCATAAGGAGCCCTCGCCCGCCCCGCTCGCCTCGCGCTCCTCCCGCTCCCTACGCCGGACCTCGCTCCAGAACCCGCCTCGTCCCGACCGTCCCTCGACGTCCAAGTCGACCTCGACGCCGGCATCGACGAGCTCGACCCGCCGGTCCCAGCGCTTGAGCTCGCCTCGGAGCTCGCGCACCATCTCGCCGAGCCCATCCTCGGACGCCCTCGAGGGCAGGACGACGCGCTCGAGCGCCTTGCTGCGCTGCAGGGCGCGAACCCAGCTCGAGAGCGTCGCCAGGTCGTCGGCGTTGACGCCCTTGTAGGGAAAGAGGGCCTCTGGCGGGAGGAGGAGGATGCGCAGGGCCGCGAGGGCGTCGTGCAGGAGCGAGTCGGCGAGGGGCGCCCAGCGGAGCTTTTTGCGCGCCGCACCGCTCGCGAGGACGCCGTCGAGGGAGAGGGAGATGGTGCGGAGGGAGGCGAGGGTCGAGAGGGGGAGGAGTGAGAGGGCGTGCGTCGGGATGGCGTTGACGACGTCGAGGTGGACGAGGGAGGTCATGGAGGGGAACGCGTCATAGATCGTCTCGATGATGTCGGGATGGACGAGCGACAGGCTCGTGGCGGGATCGTGTGCGGCTTGATCGTGGACCGAGAGGGAGCGCAACTGCGGCGCGACGCCTCGCAGGAAGTCGACGAGCTCGTCGGGGGCGGCTCGACTCGCGCCGGGGACGACGAGGTGCAGAGCCTTGACGGATGGGAAGATGGCGGAGTTGAGGGACGAGGGCGAGGGTCGGCAGTTGATGAGGGCGAGGTTGGTGACGGGGAGGGCGGGGAGGGCGGGGACGAGCGGCCGGTCCCTCGTCGACGCGAGAGAGGAGCCCTCGATGGTCAGGGCGCGCAGGTCTGTATCGAGGGAGATGGCGACACGTTAGGAGGGGTTCGTCTCGACGTCCGCGGCAGGAGGAGGAGAGGGTTGCTCACGGCGCATCTCGACGAGGTCGTCCAGGCGCATGCGCTCGACGCCGCGCAGCGTGAGCTCCCGCACGTTCCCGCACGCTCGCGCCAATCTGCCCAGGTCCACCGACGCGCAGCTCCACGCGCTCGCGCCGAGGCGTGCGCCGCAGCTCGTTGCGCTCGCGGGTCCGACCGTCAGGCTGCGCACCGCCTCGCCCAGGCGTCCGCCGTCCTCCTCGTTCTCGACGGCGGCGATGAAGGTGCGGAGGGATGTGGGTGTAGGAAGGACGGGATGGCGGAAGAGGAGGGGCTGGGAGAGGGAGCGGAAAGTGCGGCTTGTGAGGGTGTACAAGCGCACGAGGCTCGTGCGGGAGGGCGAGACGGTCGCGGCGGCGCGTCGGTCTTCCTCGTCGACGCGAGGCGTGGTTGAGCCGGCCGAGGCTGACGAGGGCGGGTCGCTGAGCGGGCGAGGCGTCGTTGGCGCCGAGTCGAGCGAGAGGAGGATCGTCTGGAGGATGAGCTCGACGGGGAGGGTCGGCGCCGCCATGGTCGGTCGTACTGATGTCGATGGCCTGGAGGAAAGGAAGATGGACGACGAGAGGGAGGAACGGCGACTTGACGAGCGTCGACGGCGATGCGACGCGAAGAGCGAGATCATCTCCGAGCACCGATCGCGCCGGCGTGTCTCAAAAGAAAGATGGCGCCGAGGAGGAACAGCGACAACAACTCGACCACGTTGCAGGCGGACACGTATGTACAGCGACTCGTCGAGACTGTAGGCGAGGACGATCAGTACCCTGCGCGAGGAACCGACCGAGAAGACTGGAGGACGGACCGGCTCAGCCTTCCCGCTCGACGTGCTCCTGGATCCAGGCGTTGTAGTCGTTCTTGATCTGGCTCGGCAAGGCGTGCCCGGCGTTCTCGACGATCTTGAGCCGCGAGCCCTGCAGAATTGAGGAGGTCGAGATCAGTCCCCGCTCACTTGCATCGACGCCGCCGAGGGTGGGGGAAAGAGGAGGCGCACCGGAAGGTCCTTGTGGAGCTCGTGAGCGCGGTCGACATGGATGAGGTTGTCGTCGGTGCCGTGGATGATGGCGATGTGCGGCACGGACGCGGCGAGTCGGGCGAGGCGCTCAGTCGAGACACGGTGCTTCCTGCGAGCTCGACGTCGTGCGCACGTGAGCCACACGCAGGTAGAGAGAAAGGGAGAGAGCGCGAGACGCACATGACGGCGACCATCTGTCCAAGCTGCCCTCGAGGCGTTTGTCGACGGCCGATGTGGTAACGCCGCAAAAAGTCCTGCGACGCGAGCGGGGTCAGCGCCGTCCTCCGTACACGTCACGGTCTGGCTCAAGAGAGAGGGAGAGAGAGAAAGAGTGAAAGGGAGACGCACCGCCTCGACCTGGTCCCTGCGCGTCTTGCCTTTGAACTCGCCCTCCTCGTGCACCACCTCGTCGAGCCACGCCTCGGGAAAAAGCGTGTTGGTGACGAGCTCGATCTGGGCCGCCGGGGTGCGGACCGTGCCCGAGCTGAGGCGCAGGAACATGCTCGCCGCCTTCCACGGCGGGAGGGTGAAGCGCGAGCCCGACTGGGTCGAGGTGAGGAGGAGGGTGCGAATGCGGGTCGGGATGAGGAGGGCCTGCGGGTACGAAAGAGTCGGTGAGTCGCGCGCACTACCACAGCAACAAATCGCGCTCCTGCGTGCGCAGGCGTGAGCCGCGAAGGGAGAGCAGGCGCGACGCACCAGTTCTTGGGCGAGCATGCCGCCCATCGACACGCCGACCACATTGAGCGACTTGTCCTCGGTCCAGCCGACGTAGTCGAGCAGCTCCTCGACGTCCTTGGCCATCTCGGACGTCGAGTACGTCCCGAGCGGGGTGTCGGACCAGCCGACGCCGCGGTTGTCGAACACGAGGACCGCGTAGCCGGGCAGGGCGGCAAAGTGCGACACTTGGTGGTGCCAGGCCTGGACGAGGAGGCGCGACGAGTCAGTGGCTGCTCTCTGCGACGTCGCGAGAGAAGGGAAGAAGGGTCGGCGACGTACGAACGACGAGTTGTTGAGGCCCATGATGAAGACGAGGCGGTGGCTCGAGGGTTTGTCGTCGCCGTGGAGCTCGTAGTAGAGCTTGTGCGGTGCCGGTGCGCGCTTCTTGTCGTTGGCGACGGTGCACCAGCCGCGCTTGACGAGGTGGACGGGCGAGAAGATGGTGTCGGGGAGCGGGTCCGAGGACGACGAGGGGGAGGGAGGAGCGGTAGCTTCTGCCATGGCGACGGCGAGTCGGCTCGGGCTGGTAAGCGTTGGCGAAAGGAGTGTCGAGGGGTGGACTGATGAGGATGGACGGCGAGACGGTGGCTCGGCAACGAGGGGTCGCGGCTGTGCGCCGCTGCGTGGGTCGGTCGATAGACTTGCGCTTAGGCGGTAGCAGTTCTTGTCACAGCAGTGTGCGGCTTGTCGGTCGAGGAGGTTGAGCGAGTCGGCCGTCGGTCCTCGTCGCCCGCTTCCCCGGCTCGACCACGACCTCGAGCACCAGTGCAGCAGCGCCTACTCGACTCGCAGGCTCTTTATTCAGGCCCGACAGCTGCGCCGCACACCAACACGCCCCCGTCGCCGTCGACCACCCTCGCCTCCCCACCTCTGCGACCCCCTCGGCCCTCGACTCGCCGCGCCCAACGATGCACCTCCTGCCGCGCGAGATCGACAAGCTCGTCATCTCGCAGGCCGGCACCCTCGCCCAGAAGCGCCTCGCCCGCGGCCTGCGCCTCAACGTCGCAGAGGCCACCGGCCTCATCTGCGCCGTCCTCCACGAGCTCATCCGCGATGGCAACCACTCGGTCGCAGAGCTCATGAGCATCGGTGCGTCCCTCGTCTCTCTCTTGGCCATGCCCCGGAGCGATAGTCTCTCGCACGAGTCGCTCGCCGAGACGGAGACGTGGACGGGCGAAGCGGGCGAGGCGGCGATATCCTCAACGAGGCGTGCTGGACGAGCGAGGGATCGCGCACGAGCTCCGTCGAGGCGTCCCGTGCCACTTGGCGAGCGCGATAGGGCTGGGCTCGAGTCGCGCTCCTTCGTCCGGCTCGACGACTTTCACCTTGCCGTGACTCTCAGGACACGGTCGACTGACACTCTCTCCCTCCCTCCCTGCGCAGGCAAGAAGATCCTCGGTCGCGTTCACGTCCAACCTGTGCGTCTCGTGACCCACACTCATCTTCTCCGGCGAAACTTGACCGTCCTGCCCCCCGCAGCACGTTCCAGCGCTTCTCCACGAGCTCCAAGTCGAGGGTGCCTTTCCCGACGGCGTCTTCCTCGTCACCGTGCACGACCCGATCTGCAGCGCGTCGGTCGACGACGACCTCACGCTCGCCCTGTACGGCTCGTTCCTGCCCTTGCCTGCCGAGGGCGTCTTCCCCAAGGGCATCGAGGAGCCTGTCGGCCTGTCGGACGACGAGCTCCCCGGTGCGCTCGTCCTGCGCCAAGAGACGATCCGGATCAACGAGGGCCGCGAGCGCATCAAGCTCAAGGTCACCAACACGGGTGACCGGCCGATCCAGGTGCGTCCACCGTATCCGCCTTCTCCACTCGCCAGCTCCTCACGGAGCGAGCGGGACACTGATACGCCGATTCGCCATACGCACAGGTCGGCTCGCACTTCCACTTTAGCGAGGTGAACCGTGCCATGTCGTTCGACCGCGAGAAGGCCTTCTTCAAGCGGCTCGACATTGCTGCGGGCACGGCCGTCCGCTTCGAGCCGGGCGACACCAAAACCGTCACGCTCGTCCAGATTGCCGGCAACCAGGTCGTCTCGGGTGCGTCCCCTCGTTCCCTCGTCACCACGTTCCGAGACCCGCAGAGCCGGACCCTGACCCTCCTCGCGCGCTCAACAGGCGGCAACCTCCTCCTCAACACGGCCTACACCAAGGACTTTGCCGACCTCTCGCTGTCGTCCAAGGCCCTGTCGCGCCTCATCTCGCTCGGCTTCTCGCACTCGCCCGAGCCGTCGGCCGTCGCGTCGTCCGACCCGGCGCGCATCGCCCCTTACGAGCTCAGCCGCGAGAGCTACGCGAGCATGTACGGCCCGACCGTCGGCGACCGCGTGCGGCTTGGCGACACCGAGCTGTGGGTCGAGGTCGAGCGCGACGAGACGGTGTACGGCGACGAGTGCAAGTTCGGAGGAGGTGCGTCGGCTCGTCCTCTCGCCTCGCCGTCCTGGATCGTCGTCGCCCCGCGACGACCCTCGGCGGCTGCGTTCGACGAGACTGCCGACTCACGCTGCTCTACACGCCCGCAGGCAAGGTCATTCGCGAGGGCATGGGCCAGATGGCGAACCAGCCCGACTCGGCGACGCTCGACTGCATCATCACCAACGCGCTCATCATCGACTGGAACGGCATCTACAAGGTGCGTCCCTCCTCCTTCTTCGGTCACTGCGTCGTCGCCGTCGAGCGAGAGAGCTCACTCGTCGCCGCACGGTCCGCTCGCAGGCCGACGTCGGGCTCAAGAAGGGCAACATTGTCGGCATCGGCAAGGGCGGCAACCCGGACGTCATGGACGGCATCACCGAGGGCATGGTCGTCGGCGTCAACACCGAGGTCATCGCTGGCGAGAAGCTCATCCTCACGGCGGGCGCCATCGACGCGCACGGTGCGTCGGCTCGTCCTCCTCCTCTCGAGCCGTCGTTCCTGCCCATGGGGCTCGACGACGACGTGTACACGGCCCTGACGACGTACCATCCGGCCCTGACGACGTACCATCCGGCCCGCAGTGCACTACATCTGCCCGCAAAGCTGCACCGAGGCGCTCGCGAGCGGTATCGTGCGTCGGCTACTTCCTCTTGTCTTTCTCGGCCTGCGCCTGCACAACACGTTGCCCCGGGTCCGGTTCGAGTTCGGCGTGAAGAGGTACTGACGCTCATGTACCTGCGCGCAGACGACCGTCATCGGCGGCGGCACCGGGCCTTCGGCCGGCTCGTGCGCGACGACCTGCACGCCGTCGCAGACCTACATGCACACGATGATGGCCGCCTCGGACGACCTGCCGCTCAACTTCCTCTTCACGGGCAAGGGCAACGATAGCGGGCCAAAGGGCCTCGAGGACCAGGTCCGCTTTGGCGCGGGAGGGCTCAAGCTGCACGAGGTGCGTCGGCCGTTCTTCCTCTCTCTCTCTGCGCAGCTCAGCGGTCTTCGGTCGTACTGCGCCGATGCTTGATGAGGGGGTCGCCCTGACGCTCGCGTACCCGCAGGACTGGGGCACGTCGCCCGCCGCCATCGACGCCGCGCTCGACATCGGCGACCGCTTCGACGTGCAGGTCAACATCCACTCGGACACGCTCAACGAGGCGGGCTTTGTCGAGGACACGATCGGCGCGTTCAAGGGCCGCACGATCCACACGTACCACACCGAGGGAGCCGGGTCCGTCCCTCCTCTCCCTTCTCCTCGCTCGTCCGGACCGTCTCTGACCTTCTTCCTCGCGACAGAGGAGGACATGCACCCGGTGAGCACGCTCGTTCCACTCGACGACAAGCGCCGCTTGACCCGATACTGACCCGCCCTCGCCGCAGACATCATCCAGGTGTGCGAGCTCGAGAACGTCCTGCCCAGCTCGACCAACCCGACTCGCCCTTACGCTGTCAACACGCTCGACGAGCATCTCGACGTGCGTCCCAAAATCTCCGTGTCGCATCGTACGAGGAGGAGGCGCGTCGACGAGCGACTGACGACCCCTCTTGCGCGCGCAGATGCTCATGGTCTGCCACCACCTCGATCGCTCCATCCGTACGTCCCACCCCTCGCCGCTCCCACCCAGACGCCCCTCGTCGCTCACTCTTCGGGCCCTCTGTCCGCAGCTGAGGACGTCGCCTTTGCCGAGTCGCGCATTCGCGCCGAGACGGTCGCAGCCGAGGACGTCCTGCAGGACTCGGGCGCCATCTCGATCATCTCGTCCGACGCCCAGGCCATGGGCCGCATCGGCGAGGTCGTGTCGCGCACGTGGCGCACGGCCAACAAGATGAAGGAGTGCGTGGGCCCGCTCAGGGAGGAGACGAGGGAGGGGGTCGACAACGAGAGGGTCAAGGTGCGTCTCAGTCGTCCTCTCGAGCCGTGTCCGTACGCCCACAGCATGATGCTGCGGTCGTGGCGGTGAACTTCTGCGGACGACTGACTCGCTCCCGTCCTCCCTCTCTCGCAATCTCCTTGCGCACCTCGTCCTCCCCGCAGCGCTACATCGCCAAGTACACGATCAACCCGGCCATCACGCACGGCATCTCGCACCTCGTCGGCGACGTCGCCGTCGGCAAGCTCGCCGACCTCGTCTTGTGGAAGCCGCACAACTTTGGCGTGCGGCCCGAGACCATCATCAAGGGCGGCGTCATTGCGTGGGCCAACGTGCGTCCCTCTCTCCCTCTCTCTCTCCCAGCCCTGTCTCTCGTTCAGCAGTATTGACGCGCTTCTCGTGTGCGCAGATGGGCGACGCCAACGCCGTGCGTGACCTCCCTCGCGCCTCGAATCGAGTCGACCTTCCCAAACTGACTCTCTCCCTTCTCGCCTCGACTCTCGCCCGCAGAGCATCCCGACCGTTCAGCCCGTCATTGGCCGACCGATGTGGGGCTCGCACCCGAAGGCGGCGGCCTTGACCTCGATGCTGTTCGTCTCGCAGCTCTCGATCGACACGGGTGCGTCGCTCGGTCCTCCTTTCTACGTCGAGCCGTTCCGTGGCTCGCTCCAGGGCAGCCGTCCTCCTTCGCGTCGAGGTATCCACCGACAACCTGAGCCCAATTGACCTCGTCTTGCCCCCTCGTCCCGCCCCTCGCACCCTTTCTTCGCTCGCCCGCAGGCACGATCGCCTCGTACGGCCTCTCGAAGCGGGTCGAGGCCGTCAAGAACTGCCGCAACATCTCGAAGCGCGACATGAAGAACAACACGGCGACGCCAAAGATGAAGATCGACCCGGAAAGCTACAGGGTGCGTCGTCCCTCTCGCCTTTTCCGCCCTTGCCTTGTCCCTCTCTCCTGCCTCCTCCTCTCTCGCGCCCCCTCTCTCTCGACGACGAGCACGATGACTGAAAGCACGTGCACAGGTCGAGGCCGACGGCGTCCACTGCACGGTGCCGCCGGCGACCAAGGTCGCGCTCGGCCGAGGGTACATGCTGTTCTGAGCGGCGAGCGGGTTCTCTCTTCTGTAGCGGTGCGCTGTCTGTTTGCGCAACTTTGTGTGTCTGTCCTCGTGTCTGTCCTCGAGCCTCTCGAGAGCTGCTCTCGGACCCTCAGAGAGAAAGAAAGAAAGATCGGGCGCAGCGAATGATCGTGCACGCCTGCCGAACTACCGCTTCTCGCCCTCACCCTCGCCCTTGCCCTCACCCCCTATCCGCGTCGCCTGGCCCAGGTCGGGCAGGACCGACCCTGCCGGAATCCCCTCCTGGCCGTGGCCCTCTGCGGCGAGCTTCTGCTCGAGCTCCTCGGGCGAGAGGTAGACGTCCTTGGTCGCCGAGAAGAGCTCGTAGAGCTGGCCGATCTGGTCGGCCGAGAGCTGTCGTGGTGGCAGGTCGATCGTCGAGGAAGAACGGGAAGGTCGAGGAGCGCGGGAGGTGGGGGAGGGAGGACGACGAAGGAGAGTGAAAGGGTCAGGTTCATGGCTCGGCTCGTCTTGCGCGCACACCGAGAGGAGGGGGAGAGACGACGCACCGTCTCGAGGATGCTCGGATCGAGCGCCTTGCCCGGCTTTGCCCTGCTCATCTCGTCGACCCGCTCCCTGCGCACCGCCTCCTCGACCTCGGCCGTCGCGCCTCGCTGCGGCGCCGCTCCGGGCAGCTGCGCCTCGTGGTAGTCGAGGTACTTCTTCCACTCGGACAGGAACCCGACGATGTGCAACGGGTTGTCGGTCGAGCGCGTGCGGCGGAACTCGGCCTGTTGCCGGGTGGGTGGTGATCGAGAGGTCAGCGCTCGCTGTCGGAGGGGAGGGGGAGAGGCGGGCGCACCTTGACGTAGTCGTCGCCAAAGATGCGCAGCTCGGCGGGCAGGACCTTGCGGTGGACGCGCAGGAGCCGGCGGTAGAGTGGGAGAGGCGGGAGGAGCTCGGCGGCGAGCTCGGCGGTCGCGTTGGGCGACAGGCCCTGAACACCTGCTGCGAGGAGGCGAGTCGAAGCTCGGAAGGCCATGGCGAGAGAGCGAGTGTGTGGTAGCAAGCGGAGCTGCGGGAACTCGAAGGTGGCGGAGCGTCGATGAAGTCAGCGACTCTCTGCAGCAGCTCGCCGTGCAGCGCGCTCTAGCTCTGGGCCACTCTCACAGAGTCACGAGAATTGTCGAGAGACTGGACCGGCGAGAACAGGATGCGAGTCGCGAGAGGAGCTACGCCGCCGTCGACGTCTCGCCCGCCGCCTTGCCCGCACCCTGGCCGCCGCGCCGCCTCTTGCTCTTTGTCTCCTCCTTGGGCGCAGGCGCACCCGGGACGGCCGGCCGAGCGGGCTGGACAAACGCCGACGACGCGACGCCGGCGTCGAACGTCCCCTCCTCGTCGTCGTCGCCGCCGCCGCCGTTGATGAACGCCTCGTCCTGCGCTGCCCAGATCGGCCGGTCGGCCTCGTCAAGCGTCACGTTGACAAAGACGCGCCCGTCCTCGGCGCTCGGGCGCGACAGGCGCGCGAGGTCGTCGCCCTTGCGGGAGCGCAGCGCCGGCTCGCCCCGCACGCCGTCGTCGTCCTCGTCGACGAACGGCACGAGGCCGTCGTCGTGCTCGTCGGGCGCGATGACGCCCGTCGTCTCCTCGGCGACGACCGAGCCCTTGCCCTTGGCCGCCGGGCGCACCACCTTGGTCTGGACTTTGACCTTGCCCGTCTTGCCGTCGAGGCGGAGGACCCTCCCTCCCGCACCGCCCTGCGCCGCCGCACCGCCCCGGGCCCTGCTCAGCTGCTGCTCCCTCGCGCTCGCCGCCGCCCGCTCCTCGAACGTGCGCTCGATCCGCTCGGCGAGCCCGCCGCTCCCGCCGCCGGCGTGCCCAGCGTAGCTCCGCTGCGCCTGCTCCGCGCGCCGGATCCCGTCCATGTCCATGCCGAGCGTCGGGAACCGGATCGCGGCGCGCTCGCGTGCGTCCTGCTCGCGAGCGGCGGCGGCGCGGCGCTTCTCGCGCGCGATGAGGTCCTCGCGGCGCGACTGGAGCGCGGCGATGTGCGACGCGGTCGTGGCCGACGAGAGGAGGGGAAAGTGCAAGCATGAGGGGCAACGCAGGGCGGGGCTGTTGAGGGTGCAGAGGACGAGGGCGCAGGAGGGGCACAGGGGGATGTAGGGCGAGAGGGGGTGCTGGCGGGCTGCGCGCGATGAGGTCCACCAACAGTCAGATCCGGATATCTCTGGCAGAGATAGATGCGCTCGAGAGAGTTGAAGGAGGACGCACCTTGGCAGAAGCAACTCCTCTTGGCCTTCTCGGCCGCCCTCGCGTCAAACGCCTTGAGCTCCCTCCCGATCTCGAGCAGCTCCTTGACCGCCTCCTCCGACAGCTCGAGCTCCGGCTCGGCCTCCTCCTTGCCCTTGCCCTTGCCCTTGCCCTTGCCGCCCTGTGCGCCCGCAGGCTGCGCCCTCGGCGCCGGCGCCGGCGCCACCCGCACCTGCACGCCTCCTGCGACGGCCGCGCGCGGCACGCTCGGCGCCCGCCCTCCTGCAGGGCTGTCGTTGCGCGCCTTGCCGTGGGGGCGTGCGCCGCTCGTGGTGCCGAACGGGCTCGGCGCGCGCGAGCCCGCAGGCGTGCTGGCCCAGGACGAGGTGCCGCTCGCGGCGGCGGCGGTGGTCGAGGCGGCAGGGGCGGAAGGGAAGCGGTAGGCGAGGTAGGACGCGATGAAAGATTGCGCGGCGGGACCGGGTGCGAGGAGGGACTGTGGCCAGGACGAGGAGGGTCAGCAAGCGCGAGGCGAGGGGAGGTGGGGAGGAGGCGGAAGGGAGGGAGGACGCACATCGAGGTAGTTGCGCACTTCCGACTGGCTCTGGAGCGATTCGAGGTGAGGCAGAAGCTGCTCCTTGGCCGTGTCGCTGCATGGTGGACAGTGCAAGGTCGGGTGAGGTCAGGACGAGGGAGGTCGGCAGAGCGCAACGAGGACAAGCACGGCGCACCTGTCGAGTCCCGTGAGCTGTGCGAGCGATGCAGCAAAGGCGGCAGGGGCCATTCTCGCGGCAGCTGTGGCGGCGAGGCGAGTAGACGACGACCAAGAGCGAGTCGACCCCGATGAGAGCGGCTGGTCGACTCGACGACCGACAAAGCACCGCGACGAGCCGTTCTTTCGGGCTCACTCGCTCTCTCATACTCTCACAATGTGGACGAGAAAGGCAGCGAAAAGTCCAGAGGCGAATAGCGCGACAGCCTCGCGGCCACGGTCACCGCTCGCGGGGGAAGGCAAAACGACGGCTGCACTGCATGGTTCCCTGGCTCGGGCGCGAGACAGGTTGTACAGGGAAGAGGGAATTAGGGTCTACTTGTCCGAGTCTGCCGGCGAGGGAATAGGGTCAGCGCTGAGTACGACGGCGACAGCCGGCGCCGCCGCCCGCGCAGGGCTGCAGCGCCGGCGCGCAGAGACGGGGACTCGCAAAGACGCACAGTCGAACAGGCCCTGACCGCTCTTCCTCCCCTTCTTGCCCTCGCCGACGAGCTTCTCGAGCAGGCCGACCTCCTCGACCTGCTTGGCGTCGATCTCGCCCGTCGAGACGCGCTCGGCGCGCCAGCCCGACGCGATGTGCGACAGCGTGTCGAGGCCGACGAACTGCGGGCATGGACGGATGGGTGAGTGAGCGAGGGCGCGAGGGAGGGGGAGGGAGGGAGACGAGGACGCACGTCCGAGAGCTCGAGCGGGCCTGCGTTCGTCAAGGAAGGCCAAAGAAGAGTCAGTTGACGTGCGCCTAGACTCTTCGAGCTCGTGGTAGACGGGACGCACCCATGGGGACGCCGGCACCGAGCTTCATGGCCGTGTCGATGTCCTCAGGCGTCGCCTCTCCTCGTTCGACCATGCGGATCGCCTCGAGGAGGTACGGCACGAGCAGGCGGTTGACGATGAACCTGTCGTCGGGAGCGAGTGTCAGTGGGCGACCATGGGTGGGCGAGGAGGAGGGAGAGAGGAGAGGGACGGACCCGGGCGTGTCGGCGCACTGGACAGGCACCTTCTTCATGCGCTTGCACAGGTCGAGGAGCGCGGTCGTCACCTCGGGCAGCGTCTTCTCCGTCGAAATGACCTCGACCTGTGCGCGACGAGTCGCTCATGTAGTCAGTGCGCGCGCTCAAGGGGAACGTCCTGACGAGGAGGAACGGCGGCGACGCACGAGCTTCATCTGCGGCACCGGGTTGAACGCGTGGAACCCGGCAAAGCGAGTCCTCCTCGCCTCGGAGCACGTCTCGGCGATGCGCGTGATCGACAGGCTGCTCGTGTTGCTCGCAAAGATGGCCTCCTTTGGCGCGACGTCGTCGAGGCGGCGGAACAGCTCCTGCTTGGTCTGGAGGTGCTCGACGATAGCCTCGACGACGAGGTCGGTCGACGACACGGCTTCGGGGGCCGACGTCGTCGTCGACAGGTTGGCGAACACCGAGTCGACGAAGGCGCGCTGGGCGGCCGGGTCGTCGGGCGACTTCTTGCGGGCGATGCGGGTGAGCGACTTGGTGATGATGTTGCGGCTGTTGCGTGCACGGACGAGGTGTCAGTGAGTCTGGCCGCAAAGAGGCCGAGGTTGGGCGTTGCCGGCTCCTCGAGCAGGTCGAAGGGAGAGTGCCCGCTCGGGGAGAGGAGCAAGTGTCGCCCTCGCGCTGCAAGGCTGCTGCGCCCTTGCGCCCGCTGTCCGTACACCGCCCGACCGCCTGCTGCACCTGCACGAGCCGCCTGTGCCCCCTCGCGCCGCTCGTCGCCCTCCCCACCGGTCGCCCGAGGTAGCCGGACTCGCTCCTCGCTCTCCTCAAGGGGGCAGGGACGCACCCGTTCTCGAGCGCACCGTCGCTCACGTCGGTCATGGTGACCTTGACGCCGGACGCGGCGGCGACCTGGGCGATGCCGGCGCCCATGAGGCCCGCGCCGACGACGGTCAAGTGCTCGATCTGGCGCTGGGCGGCCGAGGACGAGGCGTGCAGGGCGCGGTGCTGGAGGGCGAGGGTCGGAAGAGTGCGCGGCAGGGCGCGAGAGGCGCGGAGGGCGAGCATGGTTGCGAGTGAGCTGGTGGTGAGAGCGAGACCAAGGTTGAGCGTGAGGCGAGTGGGGGTTTCTGAGTCTCTCCGCGGCCATCCGCTCTCGCTCGTTCTCGTGGGAGACACACGGCTGCCGTGCTCGACAGTTACCTGCAAGGAGCGCACGGGCGAGCGAGCAAAGGGCGCGGGCCGGAACCGCTTTACACCTCTCGAGCGCTCGCTCCTCCACGTTCGACAGCTCAGCTATGCACACCGCTAGTCCCCCTGCCCCGCTACGCCCTCCCTCCCTCCTCCCCGTACGCCCACCGTCCCGCGCCGTACCGCAGCGCAAACGCGAGCACCGTCCCGGCAACCTGGCACGCCGCGAGCCGCTTGGTGAGCGTGTCCTCGCGCACGCTGCCGCCGCGCAACAGGAGCAGGTTGAGCACCGTCAGGTTGGTCGTCGCCGTCACGTCGCGCGAGTGCGGGTCGCGCTGCAGGGCGACGAGCCCGACGCGCTCGAGCGCGACGAGGAGCGCGACGCCCGCCTTGTCGCGCGAGGTGCGCTGCACGCGCGGCCGGACGACGGCCCACGACGGCGTGAGCTTGCCCGTCGCCGGGTCGAGGCGCGGCAGGCGGTGGCGCGGGCACGGGACGAGGCCGAACAGCTGCGGCGTCGAGTAGACAAAGTTGACGATTTGCGGGACAAAGAGCGCGAGTAGGGTCTTGCTGAAGTGGCCGAGGATGCCGACGACGGCAAACGCCATGCCCGAGAAGTAGCAGAACGTGTCGCCGACGAACGCTCGGGACGGGTACCTGTGCGAGGGCGAGACGGGTCAGTGTGCTCGAGTGAGTGTGAGGCTGACTCGGTGCGACGGCGCTGGAGCCCGTCTCGACAGCGCCTCGTCGCGAGATCCCGAGAGACATCATCGACGAGTGCGCAAGAGAGAGAGGGAGGACCGGCGCGACGCACCAGTTGTGCTTGAGGAGCCCGAGGCACACGCCGACGAGCGGCAGCATGAAGTACAGGCTGAACGCGTGGCGGTCGGCGAGCTCGCGGCTGCCGTGCGCGAACCCTGCCGTCCACGACATTGCCGCGAGCTGGTCGGGCGGCGGGAGCCGCAATGCGAGGGCGACGGGGAGGTGAGGGACGAGGGGGACGAGGGGCGAGAGCGAGAAGGTGAGGTACAGGAGGTCGTTCAGGATGATCGACAGGGCAATGACGAGGGCTTGCGTGACCTGTGCGAGAGCGTCACATCGAGCGAGAGTCAGTGTCGGGGCTCGAACGCCATGGTCTGACTCGGGACGAGAGCGAGCGCGCACGCACCTCGACTCCGTTGACGCCGGCGAGGATGTTGATGCTATTGGTGCAGAACGTCGACAGCATCGACATGTACAGGTAGTAGAGCGGACCTGTCGTGCGGCACATGTTCAAGATGTCAGTGAGGCCGCTCTCGAGAGTCGCTGGGAGAGAGAGGGGAGACGCGGGCGCACCGAGGTGGACGACGCCGTTGGTCGCGACTGCGCCGAGGAGCTCGCGGATGCGGAACACTCGAGGGAGGACGACGTCGGTGACGCCGTGACCGGCGGCATAGGTGACGAGGAGCGGCACCGACGCGATGACTGCGAGCGGCAAGGAGTCAGCGACGACCGCCTGGGCAAGGAGGAGCGGTCGCGGCTCACTTGGGATCGGGAGCTTGAAGCGCCAGCGGATGTCGAACACGTCGTCGCAGAAGCCGAGAAAGGTGGCGATGAGGAGCGACAAGAGGCTCGCGAGGTAGGTCGCGAACGAGTGGTGCGGGAAGGCGAGCGAGCCCTCGAGGAGGAGGGCGGCGCAAGGGTCGCCCTCGGGGAAGACGAGTTGGGCTGCTGCTGATGCGGTCGTGTTGAGGGTGGGGAGGGAGCTGGGGTGGAAGGCCGAGGGGAGGAGGGCCGAGAGGTAGGGAAGTGGGGCGAAGAGGGCGAGGAGGAGGATGTAGACGGACGCGCCGATGACGCCCGTCGCTTCGGGTCTGCGTGTGGGAGTATTTCGGTTAGGTTCGGCGAACGGAAGGGCGCTCGGTGGATGCGCAGAGCTCACATCAAGCGGTTGCCGGGGAGGTCGTCGTCGTTCGAGGTGGTGTCGCCGTCTCGGCCGTCGCGGGTCGGCGGGGTGGCGAGGGCGGGTTCTTGGCGCTTGAAGCCCGGCTTGAGCATGTCCTTGCCGCAGAGGCCCTTTGCGACGAGGTGGGGGGCGAGTTGTGGGACGAGTGCTGCGACGAGGCGGTACGCAACGAGGGCGAGCGCGACCGATACGAGGACGGTGACGGTGGGTTCTGCCGACTCTTGAGGGCGCGCCATGGTGGCCATGCGTGCGTCGCGTGCGAGTGAGACGAAGAGAAGGTCGGCTCGTCGCCTCGGCCGGTCGCGGGCCGAGGACTTGCTCTCTTCACCCTCGCCCATAGCCTCGTGCGCCCTGCTGCGCTCTTCAGAGGCTAGCAGAGCTCCCCCTGAGCCCACCGAGCCGCCCCGCCTGCGGCCCCAAGCCCTGTCGCTCCCTTACTCGTCCTCATCTCCCCGTCGTCGTCGTCGACTTCGCCCTCGCCCCGTCTGCCCACCATGAGCACCGACCAGGTCGCCCAGCCGGGCACCAGTCGTGCCCTCGTCCTGCGCGTGTCCATCTTTGCCTCGCTCGGCGTCTTCCTCTTCGTGCGTCTCGACCCCTCCTCTTTCTCTTTCTCCGACCTCTCCCCGGACCGGACCCCCACCTCGAACCTCACTGACCCGCTTCCTCCTCCTTGCTCCCTGGCCGGCGCGCCACGACAGGGCTATGATCAAGGTGTCATGTCGTGCGTCCCCTCTCCCGCCCTCTCTTTCACCGCGCCGCCCGTCGCCGAGCTAATCTCCTCCCATTCCACCTTCCCTCGCCTCGTCGCGCACCTGCAGAGGCGTCATCTCGCAGCCCTACTTCAAGGCCTTCTTCCACCAACCGACTCGGGCAGAACTCGCGACCATGTGCGTCCCGCCTCTCTCTGCCTGCCCTGGCGACGAGCGTTCGGACCTGCACGCACGCTCACACGCCCTTCTCCCTCAACTGCAGGGTCGCGATTCTCGAGGTTGGTGCTCTGAGTGAGTCCTGCTTTGCATGGACCCGCTCGTCGCTTGTCGTTGGGTAAACAGGACAGGCGCTGACTCTTGCCCGTTCCCCCGTCCCGCTCGTACCCTCTCTCCCTCCTCGTCTCCCCTCTCGCGCCCGGTCACAGTCACGTCCCTCATCGCCGGCCGCGTCGGCGACATCTTTGGCCGGCGCGCCACCATCTTTGTCGGCGCCTGTATCTTCTCGATCGGCGGCCTCTTCCAGGCCTTCACAAACGGGTACCGCATGATGGTGTTCGGCCGCATCACGAGCGGGTTCGGCGTCGGGTTCCTCAGCATGTGTGTCCCCGTGTATCAGAGCGAGATCTCGCCGTCCGAGAACCGCGGCAGGCTCGGCTGCATCGAGTTTACGGTGCGTCCTCCCTCTTCTCTCTGCCAGACCGAGCACCGAGTTGGGCGTTCGACGACTGACCCTCCTCGGCTCTCGCAGGGCAACATCATCGGCTACGCCTCGAGTGTTGTACGTCCCCTGTCCCGCCTCGTCGCCTCGCCTCGGCCTTCTCAAAGCCCGCGTCCTGACGCCTGTTCCCCTCGCTCCCACAGTGGCTCGACTACGGCTGCAGCTACATCGAGTCGGACCTCTCGTGGCGGTTCCCGCTCCTCATGCAGTCGGTCATCGGCGTCGTCCTCGCGATCGGGACCCTGTTCCTCCCCGAGTCGCCCCGGTGGCTTCTCGACACGGACCAGGACGAGGAGGGCATGGGCGTCCTCGCCGACTTGCACGGCGATGGAGACCCCGAGGACGAGCGCGCGCAGGAGGAGTACCGCGAGATCAAGGAGGGCGTGCTCGCCGAGGTACGTCCCTCGCCTCAGCGCCTTCTCTCTCTCTCCCTCTCTCTGTTCCTCTGTGGGCCTTTGCGACGGACCCTGACGCAGCCCTGCCTCCTTCGCGACAGCGCGCATACGGCGACCGCTCGTACAAGGCCATGTGGCGCCGCTACAAGTCGCGCGTCCTCATCTCGATGTCGGCCCAGTTCTTTGCCCAGTTCGTGCGTCCGGCCCTCTCTCGACCTGTCGTCGTCGAGTCCTCTGTCGTGTGAGAACGTGACTGACGGTTGTTCTTCGCGAACGGGCGCAGAACGGCATCAACATCGTCTCGTGCGTCGTCGCCTTTCCCATGAGCGAGCCAGATCAGGTGAAGGAGGACGACAGCTGACTCTCCCTCCCGGCCTGCAGGTACTACGCCCCGCTTGTGTTCGAGAGCGCCGGCTGGATCGGCCGCGACGCCATCCTCATGACGGGCATAAACGCAATCAGTCCGTCCCTCCCTCGCCCTCCCCTTCTCTGCGCCGCAAGCTCACCCTTCCGCACTCACGCAGTCTACATCCTGAGCACGATCCCGACCTGGTACCTCGTCGACAGCATCGGCCGTCGCAAGATCCTCATGAGCGGCGCTGCCGTCCGTCGACCTCTCTCCCTCCTACCCTCTCTCGCGCCCGCACTGACCCCCTCGAGCGACGCTCACACAGGTCATGGCCGTCGCCCTGTCGCTCCTCGGCTTCTTCCTGTTCCTCGACGCGTCGTACACGCCCGTCGCCGTCGTCGGGTGCGTCATCGCGTACAACGCCGCGTTCGGCGCGAGCTGGGGACCCGTCGCGTGGCTCTTCTCGGCAGGTGCGTCGCCGCCCGTTCCTCTCGCGATCTCTACCGAGGCTCTCTCTCTCTCTCTGGAGCAGGAGCAGAACGTTAAGACTTGTGGAGCGGCGCACACAGAGATCCTGCCCAACGCGTTCCGCATCAAGGGCTTCTCGCTCGCGACGGCGACCAACTGGCTCTGTGCGTCCCCTTCTCACCCTCCCTCCCTCCTTTGCCCTCGTCACACGTATACTGACGAGCCTGACGTGCTCGCAGGCAACTACATCGTGCGTCGGCCGTCTTCGAGGCCAAGAGAAAGCGCAATCACTGACCTCGTCCCGTTCACCTCCCTCTGCCCTGCCCGGTCCCTCTCCTGCTTCGCCGCCGCCTCTCGCCGCACTCGCCTTCTCCCTCTCCTGCCGCCCGCAGGTCGGCGAGATGACGCCCATCCTGCAAGAGACGATCGAGTGGCGCCTGTACCCGATGCACGCCGGGTTCTGCGTCCTGAGCTTCATCCTCGTCTTCTTCGCCTACCCTGAGAGTGCGTCGTCGCCTTCTCTCTCTTCTCTCTTCGTGCGACTTGCAGGCATTGACTCTCGTTCGCCGTGCGCAGCTGCCGGTGTGCCGCTCGAGGAGATGGGTGCGTCGACCGTTCCGCTCTCTCTCATGATTTCTTTCTCTCGAGCTTACTGAACTCTGCCCCATACGCAGACGAGCTCTTTGGCGACCAGCCCGGCCCGACCCTCGGCGCGTCCGACACCGAGTTCGACTCTGAGCGCGCCCCCTTGCGCCGCTCGCACTCGCTCCCCTCGTTCCGCCGGGGCGAGCTGCACTCTCACGGCCCCGAGGTCGAGCCGCCCGTCGTGCCCAAGCGCGACAGGAACCACCGCCGGACGCTCAGCGGCGCGAGCCTGCCCGGCCGGGGCAGCGACGGCGAGAGGGCCGTCAAGGGGTGGTGGAGCGGGCAGGGGAGCGCGAGTGGGAGCGTGGGCGGGAGCAGGCCGACGACGCCGAGGCCTGGGCAGGCGAGGGGGTACGAGGCGATCGAGCAGACGGACGAGGAGGAGGCGAGGCGCTGAGTGGGCGCTCGCTCGTCGGGCGGTGGAGCGGCTTGATCTCTTTCTCTCTCACATCGGCCTCCCTCCTTCGCTCCCTCCCTTTCTTCCACCCTCCCCTTCCTTCCGACCCTTCTGCCTGTCGGCGTCCTCGCTCCGACCGCTTTTGCCCCCTTCCTCCTCGCCGTCACGTCGAGCGACTCGCGAGCCGGTCCTCGCCTTGTAGATACATCTCGTGAAACCAGCCTGTGTGACTCTGACTGCACGCGCGAGATGCTAGAGAGGCTGCGACGCGAGCGAGGTCGCCCACGAGAGAGCCGCTTCTCCTTGCCCCTCCACCGCTCGCGTCGCCCGGCTCGACCGCGCCCCTGCGCTGCAGAACACGCATCCCATCTGGTACATCTCAAGGGCCCGCCCACCGGTTCCCACAGCACTGTGCGTCCCCCCTCCGCCCCCTCCTCGTCTTCATCAGCGCCGAGCTGATCCCCCTCCTCTCCCTCTCCTCACAGGTCTCGGGGCATCGCGAGACTGCCCGACACGCATCTAGTACCAGTACGGCATCCGACGCACAAGTATCGCAAGCTCCTGTTCGTCGCCACCTTCCGCCCGCTCCCCCTCTCCTCCGCACGCCCCGCTCACCCGCCCCTCGCCTGTTACGCAGCTCGACCATGACCGACCACCTCGCGCGCCTGCCTGTCGAGCTCGTCTTCATGATCTGCGAGCTCGTGCACGAGTCGGGACAAGGGCCGTACCTCGCGCGCCTCTCAAAGGCGTTCGTGCCTGTCGGGCGTCGTCTCGCGTTCGGCAAGGTCCAGGTCAAGAAGCGCGTGCATCTTGAGCGCCTGTGCAAGGTCGTCGACTGGTCCTCGGACGTTGGCGCCGCCATGGTCGGCGTCGCGCTGGACATGGTCGAGGACGACGCCGTCGTCGGGCCTACTCGAGTCGAGGTATCGTCTTTCCTTCGCCGCCTCGTCAACGTTGAGGCGCTCCACATCGACAACTCCCCGATGGCTGTCGGCGTCGTTCTCGAGGCCGCAGACGACCAAGCGCCTGTACTGCCTCGCCTCGTCAAGCTCCGGATCAAGGGCCCACCAGACGGGCCGACCAGCCTGTTCGACCCGAACCACTACCGCAACCTCCACAAGTACACTCGGCTCCGCGAGCTCGAACTGCTCGCGGCGAATGTGGCGCCCACAAGCATGTCGAGCACCGAGGTGTCGGCGCAGCCGCTCCTCTCCCCGATCACCCTCCTCGCCCTGGGCGGCAACTTGAGCGGCGATGAAGCGGCATTCAGCCTCTTGTCAAGCTTCGCCTCGGTCACACACCTCGCGCTCTGCGACTTTTCGCCCGCCGGCCCGCCGCAGGACCTGTCGCCCCTTCTCGACGCCGTACAGGCGCCCGCGCTCGTCAAGGCCCTCGTGCTGGTGCAGGGGGCGCCCGGGCCCGGCCTCGCCGCCGACTCGCTCGTCCGACTCGTCAACCTCGAGTCAAAGATCGGCTTCCACGCGTGGACACCGACGTTGATCCCGTCCTTCGCGTCGCTCCGCCACCTGTCCACCGTTGGCCTCGTGGCCTGCGTCGGCCTGTCGATCGCCGACCTGGACGACCTCTTTTTCAACGAGGAGCTGCTCGCACACCTCACGCACGTGGACCTCGCGCGCGCGCCCGGCGAGGACGAGGGCGAGCCCGCCGACGAGGACTTGCTGCCGAGCGCCGACCTCTTCGCGCTCGCGGTCGGGGCGCACTTCATCGGGGTTCTCATGCACGGCACCCTCATGGACCGGGTCTACGCTGCGGGCATCGCCTTACTCGAGGCGCGCCAGCAGGAGCAGGATCGCGCCGCAGCGCAGGAGGATGCGGGCGCGAGGGTCGGTGCGGCGGCAGGAGCGGCACCCGGGCAGACGGGCGCGAGCGAGAGTGGGTCGGGCGAGGGCACGTCGGACGCGTAGCTTGAGACGGAGTAATGCAGGCGAGCTTGAGACGGTCTGCAGCAGTCTGTGGGCGGCGAGCGAGGCCGTGTTGGCGAGCTTCGAGCGGAGCTGGAGCTGGTACAGGAGAGACGACTCTTGAGCGGGTCGGCTCGACTGGCGAGATACTCTGAGCAGCTCGAAGAAGGTCTCGAAAGCGGCAGAGAGCAGCACGGACTTGCGTCGAGGAGCTTCACGCTCGAGCTGATGAGAATGACGCTCGAGCAGGAGAGGCGAGCGGGCACGGAAAGGGGCGAGCTCTCGGCCGCGCCAGGCAATAGTGTGGTGTCCAGAGACTAGTACGCTGCGCTACGCTCTAGCTCAGCTGCAAGGCGGCGGCTGGACGAGGAGCAGAGGGTCGGCGAGCGGGGCAGCAGCTCTCGCCTTGCTCTCCACCGGCACATCTACGAGTGAGCTGCTGCTCCTCTTCCTCTAGACGAGCCTGCAGAGCTGACCCACCGCTCGCCCGCAGTGGACCCGCTGCGCTCCCGCCAACTCGCCGTCCCCGCCGGCCTCTCGCCAACCTCGTCTCGCGGGCCATCGCTCGACGGAGCCGCCTCGTTCGGGTCCAATCCCTTCCGCGACCCGTCCCTCAACGCCGCGTCGCGCGACGCCTCGCTCGACCTCTCCTCTCGCGACCCCTCGTTCGACCTCTCGTTCGCCTCGATCCACTCAGGCTCGCCCTCCGTCTCGCCGCCACTCTCCGCAGTCAGCAGCAGAGCGCAACCAGCTCCGTCGCAGGGCCGACCAGGACTCGCGACCCGACCGAGCGAGGTGTCGCGGCAGCTCGCCGACGCGTTCAAGGAGGACCTGCCCCGGGTGTCCGAGGAGGCGAGCCCGAGCCCGCCAGTGTCGCGAGCGTCGAGCACCAACAAGGAGTCGAAGAGTGGGCTGTGGTCGCAGTTCCGCACCGGTGCGCCCACTTCTCCCTGTGTTGGCTCTCGAGGACGGCGAGCCGTACTGACCGACTCATTCCTCGCGCGCAGGCTCGGGTTGGTTCGCCCCGCTCGTCGAGGCCGACCAGCCGATGACTCGGGAGGAGCGAGCCGCGGCAGAGAAGGAGCGCATCGAGAAGCTTAAGGAGGGGCGGGCGTCCAACTCGTCGAGGAGGGTGCGTCCTCGTCCGCCTTTCCTCCTCTCCTGCCGAGACTGACTCGCTCTCTCGCCTCGCAGCCCGGATTGATGAAGCGCATGTCGAGCGGTGTCGAGATGGGCTTTGCGCGGTCGCGGTCAGGCAGCCAGAGCACGATCCGCAAGGGCTAGAGGGCCGTCTGTGTCGAGGAGCCAGTGTCCATAGTCCGTCGATCATGTAGCGATCCCCCTTCTTGCCCTTAGCATTCCCCGGCATACTCTAACGCTTAATAGCACGCTGTACCTTCGTGATCTGACCCGTTGCCGCCGAGAATGAGAGGTGCACCGCCCGCTCGCTGTGGGTCGCTTCGGACTCTGGCTCGAACCGCGACCATGCCCCTGTCGCAGCGCTTTGGGGACGCCTTGTCCATCTTCCTGCCGGCCAACAGCGTCTATCTCGACCTCGACAACCCGCCTGACGAGCCGCTCGACGAGGCAGACGCCGCTCCTCCCCCTCACCCGACGACGACGACCTCCACCGCGGCGACACGCCCCGACCTCGCCGCGAGCGCACTCGACAGCGAGCCAGCACCAGCGGACGACGACCCGTTCGCCCCCGGCTCGCCCTCGGTCCTCAGCCACCCCTCTCCCTCTCGACCGCCGTACCCCCACCCGGGCTCATCTCCCCACGACCCTCACGCCGCCACACCGCCCCACGCCGACCAGCCGTTCGCCCTCGACGACGATGCACGTGACCCCTTTTACGACGAGCCCGTCCCGCCCTCACCACGCTCTCACTCGCCCTCGCCGACCCCCACCTCGAGCGTCGTCCAGCCTCGGAACCACCCGCAGCACCGCGCCGGCCGCTCGCCGCCGTCGTCGTTCGCGAGCTCGAGCAGCAAAGGGCGGCTCGGCGCGAGCAGGAGCGCGATCGGGACCAGGAGCCTCATGGGCTTGATGGGCGGCACGCGGTACGAGGGGCAAGGGTTCCCTTTCGGCGGCGTCGGCGTCGGCGAGGAGGACGAGGAAGAAGAAGACGAGCCCGATGCAGACCTTGTGCGTGCTGCCGAGCCGCCGAGACCGAGATCCAGGTGCGCCCTCGCCCCGCTCTCCCCCTTCTCCCGTACCGGCGCTCACGCAGCTTGCGCGCACAGGGACGACCTCGACCATATCGCCGCCTCCCTCCCGCCACCTCCTTCCGCCCTGTCCAACTCGTCCCACGGCGACGACACCGAGGAGGACGACGACGACGCCAACGCCCCGCCCGATTTTACCGCCCGCATCCCGCTCGTCGGCTCGTCGCACAACCCTCGGCGCGCCCACCGCGTCGCGCACCCAGACCGGTCGTCGAGCTCGGGCGGTGCAGGGTTTTCGCGCAGCCGCGGCGGGCCGCTCGGCGGCATTATCACCGGGCGACGGTGGGCGGCGGGCATGAGCGCCAAGGAGCGCGCGCTGTGGCGCTGGGTCAACGTGGGCGACCTCGACGGGTTCCTCCAGCAGGTGTACCTGTACTACGTCGGCAAGGGCATCTGGGCTATCGGGCTCGAGCGCACGCTCAACCTCCTGTGCGTCGACCCCTCCTCCTTCTCTTCGCAGAGCGCGCGCACTGACCCCGGCCGCGTTCGCCTCGCAGGACGGTCGGCTGGGTCATCGGCTTCGGCACGTTCCTCATCGGCTGCATCGACTATCCGCGACTTTGGCACTCGAACCACCTGTCCGACGTCGTCATCCCGAGGTGCACGAGCCGGTGCGTCCCCTCCCGTCGCCTTCTCTGTCGTGTCCCGACTAACGCCTCTTCCTCCTGCAGCATGTCGGGCTTCACCTTGCTCGTCTTCATCATCGTCGCGGCCTTCTACGCCTGGCGCGTCGTCCGTTTCGGCATGGGCGTCCGCCGGCTGTGGGAGATGCACGAGTTCTACACCGAGCTGCTCGAGGTACCCGAGGTGCGTCTCGCTCTCTCAGCCTCACCACGCTCTCGTACTGACCCTGTGTCTCCTACGCAGAGCGACATCCAGACGATCCCGTGGCACGCCATCGTCGCCCGCCTGTCCGACCTGCGCGCGAGCCACCCGTCGGCGCTCTCGACGCGAGGCCCGAACGGCCAGCCGACCGAGCGCCTCGACGCGCACGACGTCGCCAACCGCATCATGCGCGAGGAGAACTACCTCATCGCCCTGTTCAACAAGGGCCTCCTCGACCTGTCGCTGCCGCTGCCCGGCCCGCTGCGGAGCACGGTCGGGCGCGTGCTCGGCAAATCGCGGTTCGGCAAGAGCATGCTCACGCAGACGCTCGAGTGGAACTTGAGCTTCTGTCTGCTCGGGTTCCTGTTCGGCAAGGACGGCCAGGTGAGGAGGGCCTTCCTGAGCGAGCGCAACAAGCGCGAGCTCGTCGAGACGTGCGTCCCTCTCTCTCTCTCTTTCCGTCCCTTTCCTGCGAGCCAATCCTGACTCTTTACTCTTGCGCACAGGCTACGTCGTCGTTTCATCCTCATGGCCGGGATCAACGCCGTGTTCGCGCCATTCATCGTCCTGTACCTCGTCACGTACTCCTTCTTCCGCTACTTCGAGGTTCGTCCCGCTCCTCTTCCCTCGTCCGAGGACGTCGAACTGACACGCATCCTCACCCGCAGGAATACCACAAGAACCCGTCGTCGATCGGCTCGCGCCAGTTTACGCCGCTCGCGCGGTGGAAGTTTCGCGAGTTCAACGAGCTGCCGCACCACTTCCAGCACCGCCTCGCGCTCGCCCACCCTCTTGCCGACCAGTACATCAACCACTACCCCAAGGCCAAGACGGTCCTCGTGTCGCGCTTCGTCGCCTTCCTCGCCGGCTCGTTCGCGGCGGTCCTCATCCTGTTTTCGCTCATCGACCCGGACGCGTTCCTCCACTTTGAGATCACGCCCGGCCGCACCGTCCTGTTCTACATCGGCGTATTCGGCACCGTTCTTGCCGTCGCGCGCGGCATGGTCCCCGACGAGAACCGCGTCGTCGACCCCGAGGAGCTCATGCGCGGCATCGTCGAGCACACGCACTACTTGCCCGCCGAATGGAAGGACAACCTGCACTCGTCCAAGGTGCGTCCACTTCCGTCCTTCTCTCTTTCGCGTTACCACGACTGACTCGCTCTCTCGACGCTCGCAGGTCCACGTCGCGTTCGGCAAGCTCTTCCAGATGAAGATCGTCCTCTTCGTGCAAGAGCTCCTGTCGGTCCTCATCACGCCGTTCGTCCTGTGGTACTCGCTCCCCGACTGCGCCGGTCCTGTCGTCGACTTCTTTCGCGAGTTCACCGTGCACGTCGACGGGCTCGGCTACGTCTGCTCATTCGCCGTGCGTCCCTCTCTCTCTCTCTTCCTTCTCGAGTGCAGCCTCGAGCCAATCCTGACACGTCGTCGACCCGCCGCAGGTGTTCGACTTCAAGCGGCACGGCGACGCCAAGTTTGGCGCGCCCGTGCAGCAGAGCGCGCGAGACGAGCGGTGGAAGTCGACTGAGGGCAAGATGGAGAAGAGCTTCCTCACGTTCGCCGCCGTGCGTCTCTCTCCCTTTCTCTCCGTCTCTCTCAGGCCGGACTCGGGGCACGATACTGACCGCGCTTGCTCGTCGTCGCAGTCCAATCCGGCGTGGGTCCCGAGGGACCAGACGCAGTCCCTCTTCCTCAGCAAGATGACCGAGGCCGGTCCGTCGCACCACCTCGCCCCGCACTCGTCTCAGCTCCATCCGCACCCGCACCACCCGACCTCGTCGCTGTACGGCGCCCCGTCGGCGCTGCACTCGCGCCACCCGACTCTGTCCTCCTCGACCGCCCTGCAGCCTCACCCGCACGCCCACGCCCAGCCTCGCTCAGCAGCCGCCGCTCGGCAGCGCTTTGCTCCTGCGCGCCTCGAGGAAGGCGCCGACCCAAGCTCGGCGGCGGCGCACTTGCGAGCCGAGAAGGCGAGGATGTACGACCGCGCTTTCGCGCAGAGCGCGCTCCTCGCCTCGACCTCGGGCCTCGGTCCCGGCGCCGCAGCACCCGGTGCAGGCTACCGAGCGGGGCGAGCGTCGAGCGCGTCGCGCCGAGGGCGGCTCGGCGCCGTCGGCGGGCCGGGCGCAGACGCCATCGACGAGGAGTCGGCGCTCGACGGCGACGTGTTTGTCGCGCCGACAGACGCGCAGCCGTTTGGCCTGCCGATGAGCGACGAGGAGGACGAGGAGCGGGGCGGGGCGGGCGCAGGAGGAGGAGCCGAGGTCGAGCGCATGAGGAGGAGGGGACTCGGCGGGCTCATGAGCGAGATGATGAGTCGGCCGTGAGGCGCTCCAGGTGTAGTTGTATCCTCTCTCGTTGCTGTTGCCATTCGACTCGAGTTGTCTCTCCTCGACGCGAGGCTCGAAGTGCTTGCGAGAGAGCACGGTCGGGCCCTCGTGGCGGCTTTCCAGTTTTCTCGCTCGTCGCACGGACAGGTCAAAAGGCTCGATTGCAGCTTCGACCAGGCTCGTCGAACTTGACCCCTCGAGAGTGCAAGCGTTCGTCGCTCGCGCCGCTCGAGGAAGCGACGCGGCGCACTCCTCCCTCGGGAGCGGTTGCAGGGCAGGTGCACCAGTCAAAGGGCCGCTCAAGCCCACAGCCGACTCGCTAAGGATGCTTGGTCGGTCCCTACGAAAGGAAATGTGCTCCAGCTCCTTGCACGAGGTATAGAGGCAAGAGAGGGGACGGACGTGGGGGGGAGGAGGCGAGGGGGACGGCGCACAGCTCGAGGCGCGCGCGTCGGATGCGGCGACAAGTGGTAGAGCTCTGAGCTGCAGCGAGTGCAGGTCTGAGGCCAAGCGGTGTCGAGTGGGAGCGCAAGCGGGGGCGAGTCTCGGGAGGAGATGAGGACGACGACGTTCGACCCGACTCTACCAGCGCAGCGCCACGAGCAGCGCAGCCAGCCCGCACACCGACTCGCAGAGCTACAGCGACCACATCCAGCCCAACCGCCATGGCGTCCGCCGACCCTCTCGTCCTCCTCCGAGCTGCCCTCTCGTCCGGCAAGCCCATCTCGCTCCTCGCCCAGGACGGCACCGAGGTGTTCGACCTCAAGGCGTGCACCGACATCTCGTTCGGCCAGGGCCGCACCTTCCCCAAGACGACCCCGACCCGCTTCCTCACCGAGGCGCCCACCGACGTCGACGACCCCGCCGCGCCCACCTTTGACCTCCAGACCCTCCTCCTCGCCTTCAACGAGCGCGAGACCGCGTTCGGTGTCTACATCCGCAACGCCGGCGCGAGCGGCGTCGGCTTCGTCCCGGCCACAGACCGCCGCGCCGTCCTCGACTACCTGCGCGGCTCTGGCCCGCCCGAAGGGCCCGACAACCGCGTGCGCCCTCTCGCTGGCGCACCCGTCAAGCGCTCGGCAGACGGCGAGGTCGGCGATGCGGCGGCGGGGCAGGGCAGCGCGGCGGCAGCAGCAGCAGCAGCAGCAGGAGCAGGAGGGGCCGAGCCGCCGCAGAAGAAGGCGCGCTACATCCCCAACCGCGACGACCAGGACAAGGTCAAGCGCATGCTCGCCATCATCGAGGGCCCGCAGTACGGTCACGTCGTCGGCCCGAACGAGATCAAGACGGAAAAGCAGGGCGGCGCGTACCACAACCGCGAGACGGTCTTGCGAGGCGAGCGCATCAACGTGCGTCCCTCCTTTCCCTTGCCCCGCTCCTCGTCTGGCCGAGCGCACAACCTGACTCGTCGTCACCGACTCGCGCCTGCAGAACTTCGAGTCGGTCCGGGCCCTCATGGCGCCGCGGCTCAAGGCGCTCAAGGAGGACCCGGCGCGGAAAAAGGAGGCGCAGGCCGCCGCTCCCGCGCCCAAGATGCCGCAGAAGAAGAAGCAGCTCAACCCGATCATCATCATCTCGCCCTCGTCGACCGCCATGATCACGATGCACAACGTCAAGGCGTTTCTCGAGGAGGCCAGGTGCGTCAACTTGCCCGCCCTCTCTCTCCCCACCTCCCTCGCCTCGCGCCGACCGTCGCTCACCTCTTGCGGGCCTCCAGGTTCATCCCGTCCGAGCAAGCACGAGCACAAGCCGCCGCCGAGAACGCCAACACGCCGGGCAACACGGTCGAGGACGTCGTGCTCGTCAACCACGCGCGGTCGTCGGCGACCTCGGCACCAGGCGCAGAAACGCGCAAGTCGCGCTACTTTGTCGTCGACAGCGTCGAGGCGCTGAGCAAGTTTGGCGGCGGCAAGCTCGACGAGGCGTGGTGCGTCCCCTCTTCCTCTCTCGGCGTGTCCGGCCTGGACGAGCGCTCACACCTCGTCTCTTCGCGCACAGGGAGCGCGTCGTGTGCGTCATGACGACGGGCCAGGAGTGGCAGTTCAAGCCGTACAAGTGGAGCGAGCCCAAGGAGCTGTTCCACCACGGTGCGTCGACCCCTTTCTCTCGTCGTCGTCGTCGCCTCGAGCCGACTGACCCTTTCCCTCCTGCCGCTCACAGTCAAGGGCGTGTACCCGCAATGGACGACCGACCCTCCCAACGCCAAGGTCAAGGCGTGGAACGTCAGCGAGCTCAGGGTGCGCCCGTCTCGCTCTCCCTCTCTCTCTCTCTCTCTTTCGCGCGATCTGACCCCTTCGTCCGCCTGCAACAGGTCGACAAGTCGAAGCGGCACACGGACAAGTCGACGGTTGCTGAATTCTGGCGCACGCTCGAGGCGTGGTGCGCGGCCAACAAGCCCTGGGTCGCGTACTGAGCAGCCGGGCTTTTTTCAGGTTTTTGCTTGCTCGGACCTGCAATACGTGCAGTGAGTAGCTCGCCGTCGTTGAGAGAGTGCTCGAGAGCAAGAGCGAGTTGCCCCCGTCGTCTCGAGCGAACGACTGTCCTTGAGAAGGCGGCTCGAGCGTCTGCTGGTCCGGGCGCAGCTCGGTGTCTGGTTCGGCGTTCTCCTCGAGAGCTCTCTGCTGCTGTTTGTCCAGCTGCGCGCTGGCTCTTCCCCTTGCGAGCCGGTGAGAGCTATCCTCGTCGAAGATCGTCAAGCGGAAAGTCCGACCGACACGACGCGACGACGACGCGCGCTGGTCAACCCGGGACCGACCTCGCCTCGTCGTTTGCTCCCCCTCACCCTCTCTGCGCACACCTGCACCTCGACGCTACGCGCACTCTGCACCACCAGGCGCCATGCCGACACCGCGCGCACCCCGCAGCGCCTCGTCGTCCCCCTTCGACCTCCTCCCGCGCCTCATCTCGCCCGCCGCGTCCGCCGGCTACTCGTCCGGCCTGTCTTCGCCCTCGAGCCGCGACGGGAGCGCAGCCGGCGGTGCCACCGACCCGCTCCTCCCGCGCTCGTTCCACTCGGCGTCGGACCCTGCCTCGCCCCACTCGACCTCGCACCGCCGCAGTACCTCGCTGTCCGCCAACGGTCACCCCGGCTCGGGCACCTTCACGCCCACCTCGCCCTCGTCGCCTGTCGGCCAGTCGCCGTTCGCCGCTCCTGCACCAAAACCCGCCCGGCGCACCTCGGCGAGGCGCTGGGCCGCACTCGTCGTCGTCGCGCTCGTGTGCGGAATCGCGCTCGTCTCGACGGGAGCGGGCCCGGTCGACGGCGGCGACGGGTACGCGACGAGCGTGCGGGAGGGGTGGCCGGCAAGCGTCGAGGGGGTCAAGAGCTGGACGGGCGGGACGTGGCAGGGCGGAGGAGAACCGCCAGGCCGGAGCGAGGGCGTCGACGGCGCGAGAGCGCCCCTGGCGGCGCCCGCTGTGTCGGGAGGACACGTTGAGGGCGACGACGCGGCGGACGAGGGGTTGCTGAGCGAGGGCATGGGCGAGTCGGCGCAGGACGTCGAGGACCACCCGGCGGTCCAGGCGACGCAGGACGTCGACACCGCGACCGCCTCGAGGGCCTCACCCCGGCCACCAGTGCTCAACGTCAACCCGTATCCGCGACCTGTGCCTCGTGACCCCAAGGTCGCCGGCGAGATGCGCTTCCTCTCGTTCGAGAACCACTCGGGCTTCCACAACCGTGCGTCGCTCTGTCTCCTCCACCCCTCCTGGCCGTCCTTCTCCCTCACGATTACTGACACGCCGTTTCCCGCAGAGCGCAAGTCGCTCGTCAACGCTCTCGTCCTCGCCGAGCTCCTCAACCGCACCCTCCTCCTCCCTCCTGCCCGCCTCGGCTCGCCCATCCCGTGGGAAATGGACCCCAAGTTCCGCGTCGCGTTCTCCGAGCGCTGCAAGGCCGGTCTCGAGCCCGACAAGCCCCTCGTGACGCTCGCCAACGCGCACGCCGTCAGCGTGGGCGAGGCGTGCGAGGACCCGCTCAAGTGGACGTACACCGGGTGGGACTGGCTCATCTCGCCGAGCCTGCTCGCCGGCCGGTCCCTCGTCGACCGGTGGAACTCGTCGTCGTCGTGGTTCACGGCGCCGCTCGACGAGGGAGGCCTCGGCCTGCGCCCCGACGAGATCCACCAGTTTGCCGACGCCGACCGGCGCTCGTACCAGATCCTCGACGACCGCGACGCCCCGATGAGCGTCAAGCAGTTCACGTCGCGCATCGAGCTCGACGACCTGCGCGACGAGGCCGGCCTCGGCGGCAAGCGCCTCCTCCAGTTCGGCAGCCTGTTCTCGAGCGCGCGGCTCAAGTTCGTCCAGGACGGCAACCGCAAGCTCCTCGACGACACGACCAACGCCGTCGTCCTCGAGAGCGGCGGGCTCGACGCCATCAGCGACCGCATCCGCGACCAGCTCGGGTCGTACGTCGCGGCGCACGCACGCCTCGGCGACGGTGTCTTCAAGGTGCGCCCACAGTCTCTCTCTCTCTCTCGTTCTCTCCTGCTCGAGAACGTCGACTGACTCTCCTCGTTCACTCTCTACAGTCCAAGGCCGTGTCGAACATGCAGAACGTGTTCCGCCAACTCGGACACGACGTCCTCGGGCTCAAGAAGGCGCAGGTCGACGCCCTCCTCGCCGAGGTCTCGAGCAGCCCGCCTGCGCACAAGTCGGCGGGCAAGAAGGGCAAGGGCAAGGGAGGTCGGCAGAAGAAGCCGAGGGCGTTCGGGTCGCCGGCGCCGCCAGCCCACCTCCGGTTCAAGCGCGCCCTTGCGCTCGACCCGGTCTCGCCGTGGACCGAGATCGACGACGACTACGACGAGGCCGACCTGCACCTCGGCGACGGCCGTGCTCCCTCTTCGCCGCTCCCTTTCGCCCTCGCTTCCTCCGGCCTCGACCGCCGTGCGCTCAAGGGCGGTCCCGCCCAGCCGATCGCCTCGTCCCTTCACTGTCGCCGCCCTCTTCACGACGTCCACGCGACGCCTCACCTGGCCCGCCTCAACGTGCCGCTCTACATCGCGACCGACTCGCGCAGCCCGACGACCGACCCCGCCCTCGCGCCGTTCAACCGCTGGTTCCCCTGCATCTTCTTCCTCAGCGACTTTGCGCAGGCGAGCGAGGTCAACGACGAGCCGGTCGCAGAGCTGGAGGCGCTCGTCGAGGGCAAGGGCGTCGACGAGGGCGGCAACGAGTGGGTCAGCGACTGGGACGGGCAGGCCATGGCGCGCTACCTCTTCCCTTTCCTCGAGGCCGAGGTGCGCACCTCTCTCTCTTCTCTCTCGTAGCATGCGCACTCCTGACTCGCGTTGCGCCTCGCCCACAGATTGCCGCTCGCGCCGTCGAGGTCGTCGGGACGCCGCAGTCGACCTTCTCGGGCTACGTTCGCGGCATCCTCCACCAGGCGTACCTCCTGCGCGGCATCACGGCCCCGTGGCGCAGGGCAGCTTGAGTGTGAGTCCCGTCGCCTGCCTCGTCGAGCGCAGCCTGGGCGCGTCGAGAGACTGACTGACCCTCTCGCTTCCCGCAGGCCCCTCTCGAACTCGCCTCTCGCCCTCTCGCCTTCACCTACGTCGTCGGCCATCTTCGTCATCTTCCTTCGATTTACCAAGTGCGCCTCGCTCTCTCTTTCCGCGGTGACGCGCCCTCGGTCCCCCTCCTTCCCCTTGCCCTCCTCCCTCGCTCGACCTTCTCTCGACGAGCAGCTTCTTCCATCGGCCGATAACAGCGATCTATCGAGATTCTGACACGCCCCTCCACGCTTCTTCCGCAGCTCATCGACTGGCGCACTCGGCCGGTCCAAGGGTCGGCGACGATCACCTTGTCGACGCTCGGTCGGCGACTCTTCCCTCTCCTCGTCACCGCCCGTCCGTCCCCGTATAGACCCCCAACCTGCACCTCCTGTTGCTCTCCCACTGCCCCTCTGCTATGCACACCCAGTCTCTCTGCGTCTCGAGTCGTCGCGCAACGAGAGGTCGTCTCGCTCGAGTCGTGAGAGGTGACAGCGAGCCAGAGTCGGGGCTCGCCTGCGGCCGTCGAACGGACCCACATCGGCTCTGACGACCGCGGCGAAGCCGGGGAGACGGCGCAGAAAGCGCCTTGCGTCGGGGAGAAGGGGCTGCGGCCGAGTTGACGAGTTGACCTTCCCCGCGCCGGATCTACAAGTGACGCCCGGAGGACGGTCAGTGCGGGCCTTCCTCGGGCTCTGCGTGCACGAGCGACCGACCGACGAGCTTGCGCTCCTCCAAGCCCGCGCTCACGCTCGACGACGACGACGACGACGACGCTCGAACCCTCGGCGGACGGGCCGAGCATTTGCAGCCTGCCCGAGGCCTCGACCTCGCCTCTCCGCACTCTTCCTCGGCGTCTTCTCTCGATCCATCTGAGCGCTTGAAGCACCAAAGCTCGTCGACAAGCTCGCCTCGACCTCGTACACGGCCGCCAGCGCCGCCCCGGGCGCGCACCTCGCCTGCCGACCCTCTCGCGAGCCGCCGTCCACTTCATCGCGTTCGCTCGGCCGCCATCCGTCTTCACCTCCCGAGCTCGCCTCGCCCGCCTCGCTCTGCCCTCCCCCGCCACCAGTACGACCATCGTGGCGCACCCGGCCCATGAGCAGCAGCTCTCGCCCCCGTGTCCCGCCGCTGGACCCGCCCGAACCGTCCGCCGGCCGCCGAGACGATGAGGCGACCTCGCGCCCGGCCGGTCCGCAACGCCCCGACCTGCGGCAGCAGCAGACGGACGCGCAAGCCATCGAGGTGGCCCTGCTCGACGCCCTCAAGCTGAGCGAGGACGGCGAGGGTCAAGAACCGCTTGCGGGAGCCCAGGTCGACAGACGATCGGGTGCGCCTCTTCTTTCTCCGATCCGTCCGACTTTGTTTCGTGGACGGCGAGCTTACTCGAGTGCCCTCCCTCGTGCCGCAGCCGTCGCGTCGCCGCCGCCACCGCCGCAAGATGCGCCCGTGCGACACACGCGCCCGGCGTTGCGGAGCGTCCAGAGCTCGTTCTTGACCAACTACTCGTCGACGAGGTCGCCCGCCAGCCGCACGACGTCGCAGACGAGCATCATCAGCACTGTGCGTGTCTCGTTCATCCTGTCGAGCCTGGATCGAGGCCAGTCCCGCTCACCCAGTACCGCGCCTCGCAGCACGAGTCGGTGCCCAGCACCTCGTCGATGCCGACCAAGAGCGCGCCCCAGTCGCCCTACGTCGCCCCGCATGCCCTCAACCACGGCCCGATCTCGCCGACGATGCGCCGCATGTCGCGCAACTCGAGCTGGGCCCCTCCTTCGCGTTCGCCCTCCGTCTCGTCCGAGAGCGCCTACCAGCACCTCCTGCCGTATCAAGCCGGCCCGCCCTTCCCGGGCTTCTACGCCGGTCCATATCCTGTCGTCGGCGCCGTCCCATACGCCCCGCCACGACCGCCGTCGAGCAACGCCCAGTACCCGCACGCCCATGCGCTTCCTCCACCACAAGTCGCCTTCGCCCACCCGTTCGCGCCGCACGAGCCTGTCGTACCGCCTCGAGTGAGCCCGCCGTACGTCGCGTACCCGCCAGGGTGGCAGCAGCCGCACCCGAGCGTCCCGCAGGCCCAGCACGTCCCGTACACGTACGGCCCGAGTCCGCAAGGGTCGGTCGTCTACGACGACAGCGGCTCGCCGGTCTGGGCGTACCCTCAAGCCTACACGGCGCCACCCATGTCGTACTACCCGTCGCCGCCAGCCGTCGCAGGGCCGCCTTTCGCCGCCTACCCTCGTCCGCCCGCCTACCCTCCTTTGTCGGTCGGCCCGTCCAGCGCCCCAGCATACCCGTCCCCGGGCGCAGCACCGGCCCCTGTCGGGTACCAGAGGCACTTTTCGCCAGTGCCGGCGTCGCCGAGCGAGTTTGCCGGCGTGCGCTCGGGCCCGTACTCGCCGCTGCCCGACCAGGCGAGCGACCGCGGCTCGTCGTTCCAGTACCCGATCTCGTCGAGCCGCTCGAGCACTTCGTCGCACCCGTCGTCGCGCGCGTCGTGGTCCACGACGAGCGGGCCGCAACGAAGCGCGCCGTTCGCGCACTCGCACCCGCACCCGCACCACCTGGGCGGCCCGCCGCCGATCCCGCCGCGGCCCATTCTTCCCGGCGCGCACGCCTCGTCTGGCTCGCAGCCGCACTCGAGCTTCTCGCCCATGCCGACGCTCGGCGAGCGCGACTCGTCCGGCGGCGGCACCACGTCGATCGGCTCGCCGGCGGCCAACCCGACCGTGTCGGTGTCGGGCGCGTCGCCGTCGTCGATGAGCGGCAACGAGGCGGGCATGACGAGCGCTCCCCTCGGGCCCCGGCCGCACGAGAGCGCGCCGGGCCGGTACGTCAAGCGCCGGGACCTTCCTCGACCGCCGACCCACTCGCCTCACGCGCTCTGGTGCGTCCGACACCCTCCCTCTCTCTTTCTCGACGGCGACGAGCCTGTTCCCGTGACTGACTCGCTTTCCTCTCGCAGGGTCGGCAACGTCCCGAGCGACGCGAGCCACGCCGAGCTGTGGCAGTTCTTCAAAAGTCGGCCCACGCCGCAGCAGTGCGGCGTCGTCGTCAGCCCGGGCGCCTCGCCGTTCGTCGACCTCGAGACGAACGGCGTCGAGTCGATCCATCTCATCGCTCGGTCCAACTGTGCGTCCCGAATACCCTCGCCTTCTCAAGTCGGGTCGAGCATCCCTGACCTGCTCCTCCTCCTCCTCGCGCAGGCGCCTTCGTCAACTACCTCACGCCGCTCCACCTGCGCCACGCCATCGCCGTCTCGAACGGCGTCGCTCTTCGTCCCGACGACCTGCGAGCCAAGAAGCTCGTCTGCCGCGTCCGCTACCAGGGCGACGACGCTCGGACCGGCGTCGGCGCCCAGCGTCAGGGCGGCATGCACAAGGCGTTCGTGCGCGAGCAGCAGGCCCGCATGGTCGAGGCGCAGAAGGCGCTCGCGCGTCTCGAGCTCGCGCACCCGCAGGCGCACAAGAAGGACGAGGACGAGGCGGCCGACGAGAAGCGCGAGAGCGAGGAGAGCGTCGGCCCGTTGAGCCCGGTCAGCGCCGGCCGCAGCGAGCGCGAGACGAGCCTGGCAAGCATCCGGTCGGGCAGCACGACGAGCAGCTTCCTGGCCAAGCACTTTGAGCGACGGTGCGCCCCCTTTCTCCCGCTCGAGCCCCGAGTGCAAGAACCTGACTTTTCCCCCTTCCTTCCCTCGCAGCTACTTCATCCTCAAGAGCCACAACGAGCAGGACCTCCTTCGCGCCGTCGAGACTGGCTCGTGGGCGACGCAAGCGCACAACGAGGTGCGTCCTCGTTCGCTCCTTATCCAACTTCCGTTCGGCCGTGACTCACTCGCCCTCCTGTCCCGCCCGCAGCCCGTCCTCCACCAGGCCTTCCGCACGGCCCGCAGCGTGTACTTGATCTTCGGCGTCAACGGCTCGGGCTGCTGGTTCGGCTACGCGCGCATGGTCGGCCCGATCTCGGGCCAGGCCGTCTCGACGAGCTCGTCGCGCCAGTCGCGGTCGTCGCACGCCGACAAGAGCTCGGCCTCGACCGACATGCGCATGTCGTCGGCGTCGCAGACGATCCTCGAGGAGGAGGAGCAGCAGCTCGTGTCGGGCGCCACCTCACGAGCGTCGTCCGGCCCGACCCTGTTCTCGCCGTCCGAGCAACGCCTGTGCGCCCAGTCGCCTCAAGCATGGACGCCGTCGCCGTCGACCTCGTACGCCGGTCGTCTCGCGTCGGGCCTGTCCCCGACGACCCCGTCCGCCAACCGCACGCCCACATACACGACGGGCGGCGGCGGCGGCGGCAGCAACGGCGGCGGCTCGGCCCCCACGACGCTCTCGGCGCGCAACCCGACTCGCGACGTGCCCCTGTCGGTGCAGCTCGCCATGAGCCGCGAGCAGGACCTCATCGCGCGCGAGACGGCCGACAACCTGCACCTGCCGCCGGCTGCGGCCGAGGCCGCTCGGCGCGCCGCAAGCCTCGACAGCAGCGTCCCGCCGCAGTCGGACTCGCAGCCGGTCAGCAGCACGGGCGCGACGCGGTGCGAGAACGAGCGCGAGCCGTCGCTGTCGCCGGGCGAGCTCGGCAGCGCGAGCGCGAGCGCGAGCTTGAGCGTGAGCAACGGGCCCGACAGCCCGAGGAAGGAGCTCATCGCCAATGCGGCGCAGGCGAGGAATGCGAGGCTCGACGCCATGGCCGGCTCGAAGCAGTCGCTCGAGGTGCCGAGCCCGTCCGGGACCGTCACCGAGTCGAGGTACGCCCCTCTCTCTCTCGTCCTCTCTCGCCTTCTGGGACACGGCCTGACTCTCTCACTGTACGTGCGCAGACCTGGTGTCGCTCGGACGGCCTCGTGGGGCACACCGTTCGCCATCGAGTGGATCCAAGTGTGCGCTCGGGCCCCTTCTCTCCGCCTCTCTCGTCCCTCGAGCCCGCCCTGACCTCTCCCTCTCCAATCCCTGCAGCGCTCCTCTTCCTTTCGCTCGGACTCGGCACATCCGCAACTCGTTCAACGGCAACCGCGAGATCAAGATCTCTCGAGGTGCGTCCGACTCTCTCTGGTGCTTTGCGCTCGTGCCGAATCCTACACGAGCCCGAGCACTAAGTTCTTCGAGTCGTACCGCAGACGGCACCGAGGTCGAGCCTACCGCCGGCGAGCAGCTCCTGAGCGAGTGGTGGCGCGACCGCAAGTCGCCCTCGTCGTCGTCGCCGGCCGACGACGCGCCGCAGCGCCCGCCGAGCCCGCAGCCCGTCCTCGGCGCCTCGTCGGGCGCCAAGGGTCAAGAGCCCGACGAGGTCCTCAAGCAGTCGGTCAAGGTCGAGGAGGTCGAGGACAACGACCTGCTGCGGCTCGGCTTTGGCGTCGGGCAGCCGCTCAAGGCGAGCGGGCTCGCGGCCATGGGCGACGCTTCGCCGACGTCGCCCGACGGCAGGGCCAACACGGCCTGATCCTCTTTCACGGCCTCGTCGTCGTCGTCGGCGACCGCCGGCGCTCAAAAGCTGCCACGATACCCCCCTTTTCTTCCCCATCGATACCCCTTCCCTCTCTCTCCCCGTCCCCTCTCGAGACCGGTCCCGTCTTTCTTCTGCGCTCCTCGCGAGCTGCGCCGTACGACAACCCCATACACGCCTACCCCCACTTTTCGTTCCCGCAACTCGCAACCTCTCTCGCAGTCAAGCCGTACCCGCCCTTTCTCTTCTCTGTACCCCCAACTTCTTCGCTCGCTCGGCCTTTACGTCGACCTATTTACTCTCGTCGCCGACTTGGGACGAGCGTCGTTGTCCTTTTGTACCCCGCTCCCTCTCGCTTTCTCTCTGTCCTCCTCCCCGTGCTTGTCCATGTAGCGATCCACCCCATACACGTTCCCTCTTTCGCAACCCCGAGCATGCGTCTCTTCGACCTTTGTGCGCCTCTCGAGAGGGAACGAGAGCGAGAGCAAGAGGTGGCTCGAGGCCGGCGCGGCGGCGGCGGACGAGCTGAGGCGAGGCCCGAGCGGCGCTCTCTGTCCTCTTGCTCGCGACGAGTTGGCTCGGGCTCGCTCTCGCTCGGTCTTTGAGCAGCTTCGACGTGCGCACGACTGACCGTGCGACGGAGGAAGAGGTAGAAAGGACGAGCCCGCTTCGTTGCATTGCTTGCTCTCGAGCCGGGCCCGGCTGATGAGCTCGGCGGACTCGCGCGAGACTGCATGCCTGGCCCACAGCGGCAGCTATGATGCTTGAGAGCGTGGACGGTCTCGACGAGCTCGCGCTCGAGGCTGCCGCCGCGGCTGCCTGGCTGCGTCGCGTCGTGCGCGCTCAGACCTCCTCCTCGACGCTCGAGGTTTTGAGGCCCCCTGCCTGCTCGACTCTCGCAGTTCGCGCTCTCATCAAAAGACGCAGAGAATACCGAGCTGCAACGACACAAGAGGTGCGCCTCGAGGCTTCTACAGCGGGCCCTCGACCCGTCCTGCTCCTCCTCCTCCTCCTCCTCCTCCTGCACCTCCTCCTCCTCCTCGCGCCCCTCGCCCCGCCAACGCGCTCCCACCCTCCCTCCTTCCCTCTAGCCCCACCTCGTCGTCGTCGTCGTCGCCGCCGAGCCCAAAGATCTCGTCGTCGCCGGCGCTCCACGGGTCCTGCGCCTGCCGGCGACTCGCCGCCGCCGCCGTCGTCGTGGGCGCGCCTGCCGCCGCAGGACGCGCACCCGAGCGGCCCTCCTCCATCTCCCTCTCGCGCTCGTCGCGCCGTGCCCGGTTGAGCGGGCGCCTCGCCTCGTCCTGCCCCACGCCGCCCTCGTCCTCGTCGTCGTCATCGTCGCTCGGCATGTCGCCGAGCGCGCTGTACAGCGTGCGCAGCTCTGCCTCGCGGCGGGCTTGCCGCGCGCCGTGGTGCGACAGGGCGAGGGCGATGCCGGACCCGAGCAGGTTGGCGACGACGTCGCCCGGCTGGAACGTCTTGTAGGGGAGGAGCGACTGGAGGAACTCGGAGCCGATGCCGCCGACTGCGGGAGAGTGGGGGCCGTGGGGAGAGTCAGGGAGAGGTTTTTCGAGGATTGCGAGGGAGAGGAGGAGGGAGGAGATGGGAGAGAAGGGGAGGGGATGGGAGAGGGAGGAAGGAAGGAAGGGAAGGGGAGCGAGGAGAGGGGGACGGACCGAGCATGCATACGACGACGGTGGCCGCCTCCTTGAAGTACCTCCACACTGCGACCCTCCTCGCACTCTCGTCGACGACCCAGCACGCGTAAAAGAGGGCGGTGGCGGCGGCAAAGCACACAAAGTGGAGGACCTTGTCGCTGAGGGGGACTTGAGGGGGCGCGAGGTGGTGGGCGAGGGTCGGGTGGAAGCCGAGGAGGGAGAGGACGAGGAGCGAGAGAAAGGTGAGGAGGACAAAGGCCTGTGTTTTCCGCGAGGGGAGAGAGGAGAGAGAGTCAGTCGAGGCCCAAGTGGGGGAGGGGTTTGTGGGAAGGGGAGGAACGTACGGGTCGGATGCGCAGAGGCAGGTCGGGCAGGGGGAACGACTTGAGGGTCCACTTGCGCAGGTCTCGGAGGCCCTTGACCTGGCGGAGTTTGGCGAGCGACTGGCTGAGGGCCGAGGGCCGATCCGAGGGGAGGCGGATCGAGGGGGCCATGGCGGTGCGCCGGGTGTTGGTGCGCGTGCGGGTGGCCGAGTAGTAGTTGTGAGCAAGTTGTGCGAGTGGGCGAGTGGGTCGAGGTGCGTCGGGTGGAGTGAGGAGGGGGAACTGATGAAGGGCGAGATGAGGAGGGTGACGGGTGGGGAGGGGCTGCGGCGGGTTGCTCGCTGGTCGGGGCGGGTGTCGGGCGAGCAGGGAGTAGCTCGAGTGGAGCCAGTGCTCAGCCGAGCGAGGTTGGCCGGTGTGGTCGAGGGGAGAGAGAGCCCGACACTCGTCTGGTCGCCCACACTCGTCGTCCTCTCGCCGACATTCCCCGCCTCGAGCATGTTGCGCACCCAGCTGTGCCGCACAACTGCCCTCTTGGCACCCCGCACTGTCCCCACCGTGCGCGCCCTCGCAACTTCGGTGTCGTCCGTCCCCCCCTCCAACACGTCGGCTCCGCCCCACCCACACGACCACAAGCCCGCCCAGAGCACAGTCGAGTCGCCCAACACGACCGCAGACGCCCTCTACACCGACCACGGGCCATCGGCATCCACCACCACTGCGACCGCCGACCCTTTCCCCGTCCCGCTCGCATCCGCCGCATCCGCCGCACCAACCCCGACCGCCACCTCGACCCCGCCACCAGGACAGTTCCGCACCACCTCGAACGATCCCGCACCCGCGCCCGCACCCGCACCTGCACCCGAGCCAGACCGCCTCGAACCTGAACCCCTCCCCGAGCCTCCGGCCCCAGCTCCCCTCGCGCGCGTCAGGAAACCCGTCGGCGCTTTCCGTGGAGGGTCCGTCCCACTCTCTCTCCCTCTCTGTGCGCACCGGACTGACCCAGACACGCCACAGCCTCATCGGGTTCCTCCTCGGCCTGACCACCATCGGTGGCTACGGCTACTTCCGCCTCCTCGACGACTACCACAACGCGAGCACCACCCTCCTCGCCTCGGTCGAAGAGCTCAAGGGCAGCACACAGCAGGTCCGTCCCCCTTTACCCCGCTCCCCTCCTCTCCTTCCCACGCTCACGCCCTCCCCCCCTCACACACGCAGATGGCGACCCACCTCTCGCGCATCGCCGCCCTCGAGGACTCGCACGCCCAGCTGTCCAACTCGGCCGCCTCGACAAAGGACGTCCAGGCCCTGCGCGCAGAGTACCGCAAGCTCCTCGACTCGGAGCACGTCGACCTCCTCAGCTTGCGCGCCCACGTCTGGGGACTCGGTGCGTCCTCCCCTCTCCCTCTCGCTCTCTCCTCTTTGTCTACTCGTTGAAGTAGACGGGCAGCGGGCGTGTGGCGAAGATGGTTGCTGCGTACTGACCCGCTCGCACGTGTCCGCAGAGCAAGACCTCAAAAACCTCACCAGGCGCGACACGAGCGTGCGAGTCTGACGGCGAGGGCAACGCCGAGGCGTGCAACACGACGAGCAGCATTGATCTCTGCCCTGAGTCCGTCCGAGAGCGCGAGCGAGACCGAGAACGAGAGGAGAGCGCTCTCGAGAGGGGTCCGAGCGAGACCGTGCGAGACCGAGAGGATGCTCATGAATGGCTACAGCGTGTCTGGACGAGGGAAAAGCTACAGATGAACAGAGAGAGACAGAGGTACACGAGGATCCAGCTCGTGGAGGAAGAACGCGCCGCCGCTCACTCGATGTCGGCCTCGGCCGCGCAATCGACGCTCACGACCCACGCCACCTTGCCGGCCGCCGCAGCGAGCACGACGCGCTCCTGCTGGAACGCCGACTCGCCCACGACCCACTCGTCATCATCGTCCTCGGCCTCGAGCGACGCGAGGTCGTCGGCCTCGACGAGCGCCGCCACGTCCTGCTCCTCGGCCGCGTCGTCCTCGACGAGCGCGTCGGCCTCCTGCTGCGCGAGCGCGTGCGCCTTGGCCTCGTGCGCCTTCTGCTCCTTGGTGCTCGCCGCCCGGCTCGAGGCCTTCTTGGCCTGCACCGGCGACGACGTGCTCGCGCCCTCGGCGTCGGCGTCCTGCTCCTCCTCCTCCTCGACCGCCTCCTCCTCGTCGTCATCGTCGAACAGCGACGCCGGCGCCCGAGCGCTCCTCCTCCTCGGCGGCGACAGCGTCATCGTCGCCCCACGGCGCGACGCCCGGGACGACCCTGCGGCGGCGCACGCTTCCACGGGCGCCACCACGGCTTGTCGGCCGCGTCCGGGCCCGACGACGACGAGTCCGTGTCGGACCCGTCGGTGATGAGGGCCTCCTCGTCGTCGTC